TTTGCTCGTTTAAGCTAGCAAAACACAGAAATCCATTTAAAATGGAATTGGAAAAAAAATGTTTATCCTTAAGGTAGCAATACACAGTTAGAAGTTTAGTTTTGCATTATGGCCATGGTGAATTTTTTAAATATGAAAGTTTTTGTACAATAAAATTGATTTTTAGATAATTGAAGAATAATATAGCCTTCTTAGTGGGTTTATATGAACATTTAGATTGTTTTTAGCATGTTTTATAGGCCATTTTCTGTTTGACAGTCCGTATTTTCCTATCCGTACCGCCCATAGGTCCATAAATTATTGTAGTGTTTATCAACAAAGATTTTGCGCTCGATCTTTTCAATTCAATTTTATGGAAAAACGAGCAGAAATGCATATGATTTTTTTTGGACTTCTTGATAGATATATGTCTATGGATTCTGGAAAGGTATCACTGTAATTGATTGAAATTTTCCTTTGGACCAAATTTTGGAGACTTTTGTGACATGTTCACCCCCTTTTTTTGCAATATTTTGTATCAAAGAAATGCAGATTGTTGCCATGGTTACACCCAAAAGAGATTATATTTCACCATTATAACCATTAGAAATCAAATCTATGGAAGATTTTCTTTCTATAAATATACACATGCATAACACAAATATTAAGCCTTATTTGTTAAAAAGGAAGGGAAAGAGGGTGTTTAAAAATTATGAGTGTCAATTTTAAGTTTTTTTCCTAACTGTGTATTGCTACCCTATGGCATTTGACAAAGCACAGAATTGCTTATTTTTAGACAAATCATACCACAAATCTATTGATATTTAGATTATAGATACAATTCTAAGGGAGAAACATCTTTTAGTATGACAATATATGTTAGTTTTGTTGTTTATTGTCCTTAGCAACCAATATAGACATTTTGACACAAAGACTTGGTTCGGTCATAAATTGATACTTTATTGGATATCCCTTGGAAAAGAAACAATGCGCATTATGTAGAAGCCTCGGAAGGGAACGCTTTATATTTTTTCATGCGACTAAATCAAATTTATTATTTTAGCAAGTATAAAGTCACAATTTAGCATGAATTAAGTCTAAATTTGTTCCTGCTGTTATAAATTAATTCAGTATTTGCTAAATTTTAACCAAGGCTTTGGTATGCTAATACACAACAAAATTGACATTCTAAAGCCTTAAAATAGCTTTAACTTGTAAAATTTGTCTACTGTTAAGATTAATTTAAGTTTTTAAACAAGAAAAGACAAGCACAGAAGGTATAGTTTTAGAAATTTGACTAAAAAAGGAGAATATACACTTTGACATGGCATGTTTCACCAAATCACTTTTTTGTTGCATTTCAGTGTCAACTGCTAACCTTCATAAAATATTTATTTCTGAACCAATTTTCAAAACTAGCAGGCCAATTTGCTCGTTTAAGCTAGCAAAACACAGAAATCCATTTAAAATGGAATTGGAAAAAAAAATGTTTATCCTTATGGCATTTGACAAAGCACAGAATTGCTTATTTTTAGACAAATCATACCACAAATCTATTGATATTTAGATTATAGATACAATTCTAAGGGAGAAACATCTTTTAGTATGACAATATATGTTAGTTTTGTTGTTTATTGTCCTTAGCAACCAATATAGACATTTTGACACAAAGACTTGGTTCGGTCATAAATTGATACTTTATTGGATATCCCTTGGAAAAGAAACAATGCGCATTATATAGAAGCCTCGGAAGGGAACGCTTTATATTTTTTCATGCGACTAAATCAAATTTATTATTTTAGCAAGTATAAAGTCACAATTTAGCATGAATTAAGTCTAAATTTGTTCCTGCTGTTATAAATTAATTCAGTATTTGCTAAATTTTAACCAAGGCTTTGGTATGCTAATACACAACAAAATTGACATTCTAAAGCCTTAAAATAGCTTTAACTTGTAAAATTTGTCTACTGTTAAGATTAATTTAAGTTTTTAAACAAGAAAAGACAAGCACAGAAGGTATAGTTTTAGAAATTTGACTAAAAAAGGAGAATATACACTTTGACATGGCATGTTTCACCAAATCACTTTTTTGTTGCATTTCAGTGTCAACTGCTAACCTTCATAAAATATTGATTTCTGAACCAATTTTCAAAACTAGCAGGCCAATTTGCTCGTTTAAGCTAGCAAAACACAGAAATCCATTTAAAATGGAATTGGGAAAAAAAATGTTTATCCTTAAGGTAGCAATACACAGTTAGAAGTTTAGTTTCGCATTATGGCCATGGTGAATTTTTTAAATATGAAAGTTTTTGTACAATAAAATTGATTTTTAGATAATTGAAGAATAATATAGCCTTCTTAGTGGGTTTATATGAACATTTAGATTGTTTTTAGCATGTTTTATAGGCCATTTTCTGTTTGACAGTCCGTATTTTCCTATCCGTACCGCCCATAGGTCCATAAATTATTGTAGTGTTTATCAACAAAGATTTTGCGCTCGATCTTTTCAATTCAATTTTATGGAAAAACGAGCAGAAATGCATATGATTTTTTTTGGACTTCTTGATAGATATATGTCTATGGATTCTGGAAAGGTATCACTGTAATTGATTGAAATTTTCCTTTGGACCAAATTTTGGAGACTTTTGTGACATGTTCACCCCCTTTTTTTGCAATATTTTGTATCAAAGAAATGCAGATTGTTGCCATGGTTACACCCAAAAGAGATTATATTTCACCATTATAACCATTAGAAATCAAATCTATGGAAGATTTTCTTTCTATAAATATACACATGCATAACACAAATATTAAGCCTTATTTGTTAGAAAGGAAGGGAAAGAGGGTGTTTAAAAATTATGAGTGTCAATTTTAAGTTTTTTTCCTGACTGTGTATTGCTACCTTATGGCATTTGACAAAGCACAGAATTGCTTATTTTTAGACAAATCATACCACAAATCTATTGATATTTAGATTATAGATACAATTCTAAGGGAGAAACATCTTTTAGTATGACAATATATGTTAGTTTTGTTGTTTATTGTCCTTAGCAACCAATATAGACATTTTGACACAAAGACTTGGTTCGGTCATAAATTGATACTTTATTGGATATCCCTTGGAAAAGAAACAATGCGCATTATATAGAAGCCTCGGAAGGGAACGCTTTATATTTTTTCATGCGACTAAATCAAATTTATTATTTTAGCAAGTATAAAGTCACAATTTAGCATGAATTAAGTCTAAATTTGTTCCTGCTGTTATAAATTAATTCAGTATTTGCTAAATTTTAACCAAGGCTTTGGTATGCTAATACACAACAAAATTGACATTCTAAAGCCTTAAAATAGCTTTAACTTGTAAAATTTGTCTACTGTTAAGATTAATTTAAGTTTTTAAACAAGAAAAGACAAGCACAGAAGGTATAGTTTTAGAAATTTGACTAAAAAAGGAGAATATACACTTTGACATGGCATGTTTCACCAAATCACTTTTTTGTTGCATTTCAGTGTCAACTGCTAACCTTCATAAAATATTTATTTCTGAACCAATTTTCAAAACTAGCAGGCCAATTTGCTCGTTTAAGCTAGCAAAACACAGAAATCCATTTAAAATGGAATTGGAAAAAAAAATGTTTATCCTTAAGGTAGCAATACACAGTTAGAAGTTTAGTTTCGCATTATGGCCATGGTGAATTTTTTAAATATGAAAGTTTTTGTACAATAAAATTGATTTTTAGATAATTGAAGAATAATATAGCCTTCTTAGTGGGTTAATATGAACATTTAGATTGTTTTTAGCATGTTTTATAGGCCATTTTCTGTTTGACAGTCCGTATTTTCCTATCCGTACCGCCCATAGGTCCATAAATTATTGTAGTGTTTATCAACAAAGATTTTGCGCTCGATCTTTTCAATTCAATTTTATGGAAAAACGAGCAGAAATGCATATGATTTTTTTTGGACTTCTTGATAGATATATGTCTATGGATTCTGGAAAGGTATCACTGTAATTGATTGAAATTTTCCTTTGGACCAAATTTTGGAGACTTTTGTGACATGTTCACCCCCTTTTTTGCAATATTTTGTATCAAAGAAATGCAGATTGTTGCCATGGTTACACCCAAAAGAGATTATATTTCACCATTATAACCATTAGAAATCAAATCTATGGAAGATTTTCTTTCTATAAATATACACATGCATAACACAAATATTAAGCCTTATTTGTTAGAAAGGAAGGGAAAGAGGGTGTTTAAAAATTATGAGTGTCAATTTTAAGTTTTTTTCCTAACTGTGTATTGCTACCTATGGTAAAATTTCATAGAGATCCATTCACTTTAACTAAAGTTAGAGTGCGAAAACTAATGCGTCTTCGGACGACGACGCCGGACGACGACGACGACGCCGGACGCCGGACGACGACGACGACGATGACGACGACGCCAACGTCATACCAATATACGACCACAAAAAAAATTTTTGCGGTCGTATAATTACTTATTTCAGTTACTTGATATTATATATTAATCAATTAAATCAAAATTAATCATGTTGTGTACTTTGTTTAACCTATTTTTAATTTACTTTTATATTATGTTGTAATTATTCTGCTCATTTTGGGCGCCGTGATTGGCAAATAAAATATTTGTTTGTTTGTTTTTGTCTTTGACACATTCCCCATTTCAATTCTCAATTTTATCATTCAAGCGACTATGGCGGTCGGTTTCGTCTCAATATGTATGAAAATTCGTTTAAAGTCCATGGACAAGATAATATTTGCTATCTTTTACAAAAAAGAAACAGCACTATATCCTGTCACATATGTTAACCTTTTCATATCTTTGGCGTGAATTGCACAGGCACTTATCACAGAAAAAAATTCCTATATACCTTAATATAACACGTGTGTTATGTTAAGGTATATAGGATTTTTTTGTTGAGACAAGTGCCTGTGGTGAATTGCTATAATACCAACCCGTTATAAAACACAATTTACATTATATGTCACGTGACCGTTACTAGGTATTTACTGTGTCATTATATGGGACGTAAACAACTTCAACATGTACATGCAACGCACAATACATCGTGATCGGAAGTTTAATATTTAAAAAAGAAAACAATGGATAAAAGTGAATGTATAACAAATTCTTTGTGTTGTTTATCTAGAAATTTCTGGGACAATTTGGTAAGTATTAAGTCATAATTATTGACGAGTTGATATAGCGTGACAAAATGTATTATATGAAGTTATGTAGTCTTGATATTGCCTCTATAAGAAATAAAAGTTATCTTCTGTCTATCTCTTCCTCTGAACATGATGTCGACTGACTCTTTTTTAAAGGTCGGGGATGCTATAGGTTGATTTACTTGTGTGTTTTCAAACCGTAAGACAATTAAAAAAGTGACCGAATTATACTATCTATAAAATAAAATGGGTGGGTTCAACATGTCTAACATTCCTTGACATTGATCATTCTTATTCGATTTTACTTTTGATTACGAAGTTAATCAGGAAAGTGGGAAACGGAAATCTACAAACATCTATATCCGTGATTTTTATAGAAATGAAATACTTTTAACTCATTGTAGAACTTAAAATGTACTCATAAATCACGTGAATATGGTTTGTTTATTCTTAGAAGTCGGGTCAGTTTCTCATTTTTTGAACATTTTCTGATAACCTACGCTGTATTAGTTTAAAGTTTTCGAGTGTGATTTGATAAGTTGGAACTGAAGCTTGATTCTATATGTCACTCTATAGTTTTGGAAAATAATCTTCCAATTCTATATGCTAGAGAAAAAGTGAAGTTTTAAAAAAACTGTCCATTCAGGGTAGCATTTATTGTTAACTGTGGTTTCAAATTAGATAAAACACAGATTCTATTGTAAATCGTACAAAGGTTAATGGTGGATTTCAGTTAACTTTAATTAACATAAAATAGATTTAAACTGCTTGAAATAAAAAATATTGAAGTATATACTCAAGAAAAACTTAAACTATATCAAAGTTCTAAACCTCTTTGTTTATCCAAAAAATGAATCCGTATTACGTCCACGTATACTTCACATAGCGAAATTCTTAATCCCTTTTTGCACGTTAATCCCCAAATCACCACCCCCTTTCATCTTTTCTGAGATTACTTGATCTAAACTAGTTAAATGTTACATTTACCTTGATTTTCAACGCAAAGTTTATATACAGGATTCTGTAAAATTACCTCGTCCCATAGGCAGTAAATTTAAGTTTTCATGCATGGCTATCGGTAGAATTTACAACAAACGTGCATGTCCCTGTTACGATGTCTTGTCTACTGTAAGATGTAGAATCATCGATACTGGAGTGAGTAGACTAATCGTCACTTACTTCTATAAACAAATAAAGCTAAAGTTTAACCAAATGTTTCGAGTACAATGTACTTACTGTCTTTGGCTCAAGTTTGTATCATATCTCGGGTACAGTAAGATGAATTATCATTTTAACTTGCATACATGTACTTGCGTATTGTTGAATTTTAGTGAAAAGGTCATTTTCCAGGAAAAGCTCACAAGGTACCTTTTTATGTTTTACCGCCTTTTCGTCAATTAGTATCCAATACAGTAACAATACATCGTGATCGGAAGTTTAATATTTAAAAAAGAAAACAATGGATAAAAGTGAATGTATAACAAATTCTTTGTGTTGTTTATCTAGAAATTTCTGGGACAATTTGGTAAGTATTAAGTCATAATTATTGACGAGTTGATATAGCGTGACAAAATGTATTATATGAAGTTATGTAGTCTTGATATTGCCTCTATAAGAAATAAAAGTTATCTTCTGTCTATCTCTTCCTCTGAACATGATGTCGACTGACTCTTTTTTAAAGGTCGGGGATGCTATAGGTTGATTTACTTGTGTGTTTTCAAACCGTAAGACAATTAAAAAAGTGACCGAATTATACTATCTATAAAATAAAATGGGTGGGTTCAACATGTCTAACATTCCTTGACATTGATCATTCTTATTCGATTTTACTTTTGATTACGAAGTTAATCAGGAAAGTGGGAAACGGAAATCTACAAACATCTATATCCGTGATTTTTATAGAAATGAAATACTTTTAACTCATTGTAGAACTTAAAATGTACTCATAAATCACGTGAATATGGTTTGTTTATTCTTAGAAGTCGGGTCAGTTTCTCATTTTTTGAACATTTTCTGATAACCTACGCTGTATTAGTTTAAAGTTTTCGAGTGTGATTTGATAAGTTGGAACTGAAGCTTGATTCTATATGTCACTCTATAGTTTTGGAAAATAATCTTCCAATTCTATATGCTAGAGAAAAAGTGAAGTTTTAAAAAAACTGTCCATTCAGGGTAGCATTTATTGTTAACTGTGGTTTCAAATTAGATAAAACACAGATTCTATTGTAAATCGTACAAAGGTTAATGGTGGATTTCAGTTAACTTTAATTAACATAAAATAGATTTAAACTGCTTGAAATAAAAAATATTGAAGTATATACTCAAGAAAAACTTAAACTATATCAAAGTTCTAAACCTCTTTGTTTATCCAAAAAATGAATCCGTATTACGTCCACGTATACTTCACATAGCGAAATTCTTAATCCCTTTTTGCACGTTAATCCCCAAATCACCACCCCCTTTCATCTTTTCTGAGATTACTTGATCTAAACTAGTTAAATGTTACATTTACCTTGATTTTCAACGCAAAGTTTATATACAGGATTCTGTAAAATTACCTCGTCCCATAGGCAGTAAATTTAAGTTTTCATGCATGGCTATCGGTAGAATTTACAACAAACGTGCATGTCCCTGTTACGATGTCTTGTCTACTGTAAGATGTAGAATCATCGATACTGGAGTGAGTAGACTAATCGTCACTTACTTCTATAAACAAATAAAGCTAAAGTTTAACCAAATGTTTCGAGTACAATGTACTTACTGTCTTTGGCTCAAGTTTGTATCATATCTCGGGTACAGTAAGATGAATTATCATTTTAACTTGCATACATGTACTTGCGTATTGTTGAATTTTAGTGAAAAGGTCATTTTCCAGGAAAAGCTCACAAGGTACCTTTTTATGTTTTACCGCCTTTTCGTCAATTAGTATCCAATACAGTAACAAATCGGGATTCTCATTTTCTTGTAGGTGATATCCGTGGTATAAAATTTGAAGCCATTCTTTCCGGCTGAGGGATACTGCAAGCAAAGGGTGTTGTGGTTGTGCGGAATGCATTGAATATGCAATCCGTCTTTCGAAAGGGACTTGCGTGTTTGACCTGTGTTGAGAGTATCACGTCCGAAAAAGCCATGGTGGCAATCTTTCGTTAGGAGAAAGCTCATTTGTTGGAGCTGAATTTTCCGACTCTTCATATATATCTTATCACAGTCAAAATGTGTTCCCGTTTCGTGCTCACCATTTTCCTTTCCTATAGTACATTTTCATTTCATGTTTATTCTTTTTCATCTGTTCACAATACTTTCAGGATCCCTTAAATTAAACATAAACAGCTAATAAAAATCTTGGCTCATTGCCTATATATATATATATAAATAGACCAAAAGAATATACAACGCAGGTTATGATCTTTTTATTTATATTTAAAAAAAGAAATGAAATTCAACAACAGTATTTAACTCGTGAATTACGTGCATGTTAAAAACGGTGGCAGAAATACCAAAGTAACAATCGAAAACTATAAGTCGAAGAAAATCAGCAAAAATCCAAAGAAAAAGACAAAAAAATCAAACAAACCTACATGCCTACAATACATATATACAGGTACAGTGTCTTAACTATTGTCTCCAAATACAAGATGGACAGGACGTATATATAAAATACAGAAAATCTAAAATGTCCAGTCCACTATGATTTAGGGAATATGTAAATTCATATAATAATGTTAGTGTATGCAATCTATATAATTCCGAAATAGAAAGTAAATTGAACTGGATACATGTAGTAACTGTTACCTTTAAACACAGTACATCATATTAATTCAGACAATTTGAAGTTTTTAAAGTATTTTATGAATATGAATCATATCCAGTAAGACAAGAATGATAACATAACATAAGTTAGAATGGGATGGTAAGAGAAACCTAGTTAAATATACACAACTGAACACATAAATCAGACCAGGAACTACGAAAAAAAGATAGAAATTTAAGGGAAAGGTTTAACTGTTGTACAGGGTTTTTTAAAGCAGAGAGAATGTATAAAATGCGGAAGTATAGAATTGTACGTATTTTAGTCATTCTCGGGAACGCCTAATCTAAACTGATTTATAAATCTTTTATAAGAATTTATAATTTTTTATCAACGGCCGGAAGCCTCTCTTGACTATATATGTTCTGTATATTGTACGTCATACTTTTTCCACTTTGAACCTAATTTTCTTTTAAAAAAAAGTAAACCTGGTCAAAAACATTTATATACGAAGTTTAAAGACATTTATTATACAAACAAATAAACTGATATAGGTTTTATTTTACAAAAAGCTATGTGAAAATGGAAAAAGACTCCTTTGTTAGTTTGTATTTAGACCTTGTATTTGACTCTAGCTGGACATGGGTTACGCATGTACGAAGCATGTTATTTGAACTCTTGTGGATAGTTGTTTCAATGGCAATCACACCCGATCTCCTTATTTTTATATAAGTTATTAAAAAGAAAAGAATGTCAACATTAAAGAATTAAACAAGGGAGCCACCGGGAAGAATCATTGCGTGGACCAAATCGGTCCACGAAGATTATTCTTATACAGCTGGTAAAACGGTTATTTACATATTTGTTTAATCGACATAATATGTATGTAATGAAATTAAACGGACCTAGAAAATTCTTCATCAAACGATTACACGTGCTTGTCTGTCTATTTATATTTATATGTTATACCGGCTCATATAGTCAGTCTTCGAAGGTCATCTCGATGGTTAATTAGATATCGTCTAGTCTAAAATACGCACGATATGCTGATATCGTATAACGAGTCCATGAATTATTAATATTTCTTTTTGACTTTTTTGTTACTTGGATTTACTTTTTAGTGTGTTATAAATCAAATATGAGAATCTGTGTCAAATCGGTGAAAATGAATTTGACAGCTAATGCCCCTTTAAACATGAAAGTTGATCGAAATGAGAGTCTCCTAGTACTATCATACTTCTGCAATATCTATATTTTCGTCTACTGACTTTAATTCAAGAGTATATTAATTTCAAAAATTCATTGAATTTTTTTTTAAGGTCACGGATAAATTTTGCGTGACCTTAGTAAATTTCACTTTTTTCTCGTAAAAAATTATGTGTTTATTCCATAATGTCATTCAAATATCTTATAATTACATAATCAAACTAAAACAAATTAACATACATAGCATATTATTTATTTAAAACGCTGTAGCCATGATTGATTGATTGATTGATTGATAAAAAAATAATGTGAATATGAAATTGACATAATATTGATCAAAATGAGATGCAACAGGTGTTGGATATATCATTCATAGTGATATGCATTCATTCATTGTTATCTAAAAAATTGAGATATTACTTATACGTAGCTAAGTGTCAGACATTGGATTTTGAACTTCATAATTTGTAATTTAGTCAAATGGACATTGGATTTTTAATTTCATCATTTGTCATTTAATCAAATGTGGACATTATTATTTATCCAGTTTTTCAACTTTATCAACATCAAAGCGGTAGGTATTTGAACACGTATGATGAAACGTCACCAAACAAGCTTTGAATGATATAGTTTAATTTCGGTTGATTATCAATGTGCATATGCAGGCTATATATCAGTAGAACAAACATCAATATTTTGATGATTACTAAATGTTTGAAAATTGCAATTTGGCTCGCATCTGGGTCACCTTGATTTTGAACTTATGTACCTTTTAAAAAATATTTCATCTGAGGACAAGATTGTGGTCTGTGATCCATTGACATTTAATTATATCATTTTTGGTATCTTCACACTTGTTTTTCCTAAATAGAGGTTAAAATCTATTGAAACCATGCTGCGTATGGTTACCCTGGCATGTTGGTCTTTTGGCAGTGTAAAATTAATTGTTCTACAGAGACATGTCTTCGAAAAAAAAAAATACCAAACTTTTAAAAGAATTAATATAAAATAATGAAATATATGTCTTATGATGAAAGAATAGTTAGTTAATAATATCTTGGATATAATATAAATTGGAATTTTGTATTTTGTAGACACAACCCATTTTCAAATGCTTTTTTCCTTTTATTTTCTAAAATTGTTGGTGCATTTTTTTTTTCTAAACGAGAATAAGTTACCATTAGCCCTCAGGCAAAGTATACTTAAATGAAGTGAAGTACTCTTTTTTTGGGCCCTATTGGTAAAATAATGCCCAAAGTCTACGTACTGATACAACCCTGGCTCGCAAATATTTGGTTTTGAGCGTTCATGTAGAAGGTTTATCCAGAAGCGCTTCTGACGCACGATATTTATAAAGTGGTTTTTTTTTTATTTCAATGCATTAGAAACCGAATGAGTAGTGCTATGTTATAATGTATTGCGCATTACTCAGACACCACTTTTTTATTACTTAGAAACCACTTTTGCATTACTTAGAAACAACAACTTTTGTATTACTTGGAAACCACAGTGTATAACTTAATGTCAATAAGATTGTAAGCAATATTATTTTATTTTATTAACAGAAACCAGTAGCGGAATGTTGTTCCAATGAAGTGACAAACACGTTACAACATCTGTCCAAAACTTGGTCCACGTCAACACCAAGTGATGAAGCAAGAGCAATTTACTTCGGTACTATTTCCAATTAGTTACATTGTTTCCCTGTGTGAAGTGGCTTGCACGTATGATTCTCCTATCAAACAATTATAGTTTGCTATATTTACTACATATTGACATTCAAAATGGAATCACACGACACTATTACCATCAGAAAAAATATAATGTGCAAAACCGTATATGCATGTGAAATGCAAAAAAATCTCCGTATTTTATTTATGCTATATATTGCTGGGAGAGAATTAGCATTGTCATACATACATACATTATTTCTACTACGATTTTATAATAAAGGCATATGCGCTTATTTATCAATTATTAATAATTATCAAAATGTTAAACCTGATTTCAAAGTTTGTTCTATACTATATGTAATTACTATATATGTGTCTTTTTTGTCGGGTTCCTGTGTCTTTGAGTTTTATATTTCATTGAAATGTACCCCCACGTTCCCTTATAATCATAAAAAGCAACCAAAACAAGTCCTAAAGTAGATTTGTAATTACTAGTTTTTTCATTGAGGTACATGGGGGTCTAAATTTAAAAAAAAATATTTATAGAACTTTTTAAGACTTTGCGAAGATGAAGATGTATGAATATATTTTTTGAATTATAATAAAAAGTACGGGTCACTGTTTTTTTTTCAGGGTACAGGTTGTGAAAAATTGTGAGGTTTTGAAAAGATTATACATGGAAAACCACACTTAATTAAAATTAATTATTAAAATTTTGAATACAATATGAGAAGATAGCTCTTATAATGTGCTTTCAGAAAATAGGAATAAAAAGTCTCGTTTTCTTGCAGCAAAAAAAATAGGTAAATTTACTGTACATTCCTCTATAATATCCAATTGTCAGAGTTATCTCCCCTTTTATGACTCTGTAAAAAACGTTCGAATCGAACACAGATATTCTGTATTTGTAAAATCAGTCGTTATAAAGAGTTACATCATACATTTTCTTCAATTAAATGAAAAGTTTTGCAAATGAAGTGCATTCTTGTCTCAAATTTTAACATTTCAAAAAAGATCTATTCCGATTGTTTTCTGTCATTTGACCATCCAATACGGCGGGAGACCCCCCGATCTACATTTAAAAAAACGCATAAAAAGCGATAGAGACAATAATTATGTAGTGCATATATCATACAGAAGGTATGGAGTTTAGCTATATATTAGATAGCAATTTAGTAAATGTATGTAAACACCTCTTGGTTTTCTTTCAAAACGCACTCGTGTGTATGAACATGTTTGTGTTTATGTTCCAAAATATTAAAAAAAAAACGTTACAACTGAACATTAACATAATTAAATTTTATACTGGTATTTTCTTTATTTCATTTCAGAACTTGAGACTGCCATTATGTCAGTGGAAAAGTACAGTTTACTAATTGCCGGAGTTCTTATGTTAGTTGCAACACTGGTGTTAATTTTAGGAACATGTTACATGACCTGTTTCCATAACGACACGTTAAAATATAGTGCTGTTCCTCAATTTGACTTCTTGGACGAGGGCATGCGTGATCTTGAGAGTTTAATACACAGGCTTTCGGAAATAAAACATCCTTTACACAAAACTGTTAAACATTTAGCCTCTGAATTTGAGGAATTTGACCTGTTTAAATCAAAGGAACCTGTATCCGATATTTGAAAATATGGCTTCATAGTAAAATAGGAAAGGTACTTCAGATCGAATAGTGTATTAACAAACATGCACTTTTTTTGTTTTAGCGGTATCTAAAGGACGATATAGTTTTCATGATAGTATGCGACTATGTTCTGAGTAAAACATTTTAACGAAAAGGAAAACAAGTTGGCGTCCGAGGATATATGAATGTCTGGATGAATGGATTGTTAAAACAATGTTGGGTTCTGAGGTGTAGAAATGGAAATGGGTGGATAAATGAATGGATGGATATATGAATACAGCCGATATATGAATAAATTAATTGACTTGACGAATTGATGGAAGAATGAATGAATAAATAGAGTTGAAGAATAAATTGAAGGATGGATGGATAAATGAATGGAATAAATTGAATGATGGATAGATGGATAAATGAATGGATAAATAAATGGAATGAATTGAATGATGAATGGATGGATGGATAAATGAATGGAATAAATTGAATGATGGATGGATGGATGGATAAATGAAAGGAATAAATTGAATGATAGGTGGATGAACAAATGGATAGATAAATGGTGTTATTTGAATGTACCGACTTGCTTAAAGTAGGTGATTTGTTGTATAAAAATGATGGACAGATTAAACAAGTGATGGGTGGATGGTTCCAGAAGTAAAAAACAAAAAGGGGAAGGTGAGCGGAGAATCTTGTCCACTGACAGATAATTACAATGTATATAAAATGATATTAAAAATAACGCAAGTTTAATTAAAACGTTCTGTATCTTTTAACGAAAATACAATCGTTTAGTCTACTATGCATAAAGAAATGTATCAACGGGACCAAGATAATTAGTACATACGATACCCAATTTATATTGCACTGATGGGATTGGCTGTAACCATGAAAAGACATCTCAACGATATGTATGTACTACTAAAATCCAACCAAAGTGTGCTTAAGGTTTTATAGACATTTTTTAACTCGGGGTTGAACGTATTATGCAAATAATTGTATGTAAATGATTCCAAGATATAATCAGTTGTTGAGTGGTTACTTTTTTTGAACACATTTTGTTTATGTTATTATTTAATGTTAGGAGATAACCGCTTTATATATTTAGAATTATTATACCTACGTTATTTCTTATACGATTTTATAATAAAATTACGATATAATTATGCACTTTATTATCAATTATAGTTATCAAAATATTTTGGCTGATAACAAAGTTGGTTGCCATATGCAATTTGCCGTTTAGAATTTGTCAGGTTATTGGTTGGATTTTCATTATGTAGGAAATTATTAGCCAAATAACTATCTTTTGAAAACATAACGCAGATTGATTTAGATTCTAAAAAGGCGAATTACTATATATGGAAACGTTATATTGAACTTGACTTGACCTTTACAAGAAATGCTCATTGTTAATAGCTTGCATTGATTGATTGTCGATTGAATTCATTTCTCTTAGAATGAATAGTAATTGAATACAAAAAGGGACACAGTTATATCCAATCGGGATGCCGACATCTATTACTTCATCTCTATGAATTAATGACAGATAAAAATCAATATACTTCCGTACTCACGCGGCACAAAGCCTTCCGCACCTGGGTCGTTAAACTGTGTATAACTATTATTAGCAGACATAGCAACAAAATACATATACGTGTTTAGATTCCTCCCACGTATTGATGAAGTTTTGTAGCGATATCAGTTGAACAACACTCCTTAAAGTATATGGTTTGCTATAAGTGTAAAGAAAAGTTAAGCGTGGTTAAGCGTAAAAACCGAGTTTGACAAAATTGTGTAGCGACCAAGAATATTATTTCAAATATAAACTGCATATTTGTTCACTAAACTCGATCTCGGGACCAAACTTTCAGTCAATGATATACATCGGTTGGAAATAATTAAAAAGGCACTAATTTAGTTTTCGTTGATAGGCTTTTATCAAATATAGATTATACTACTTTAAAAATTACTCCATTGATAATTGTACGTATCTATTTATTTAAAAAAAGGCTTGCAAGCCTTTTACAATCGTGCAGAATGTATTGAAAAAAAAGTCACACATGACTGGCGACTTTTTGACAACAAGATACATTGTTAATTGGAACTGAAATGAAGATCATGCAAGTTGGTTGTTTTTCGTACTGGTTCAATCGCCATTATCATTTTAGAAAGTCCATGTATTCGGCCAATCGCCAGCTTTTCTAACGACGATCGGGTCGTTTGAAAAGATTTTTTTCTGAACTGCAGTGATATTTAAAATGAACTAATGTACCTTTAGAAAAAGTCACACATGACTGGCGACTTTTTGACAACAAGATACATTGTTAATTGGAACTGAAATGAAGATCATGCAAGTTGGTTGTTTTTCGTACTGGTTCAATCGCCATTATCATTTTAGAAAGTCCATGTATTCGGCCAATCGCCAGCTTTTCTAACGACGATCGGGTCGTTTGAAAAGATTTTTTTCTGAACTGCAGTGATATTTAAAATGAACTAATGTACCTTTAGAATCATGTGCATAACAGTGTAGCCGAGACCATTGATTGGCGCGCAAAAATATCCCATTGACTGGGTCAGATTAGGTGAACGTTCGTCTGTAACGCCCAAAACTCACGATGTATTTATTATAGACATTTAAACTGTGAGGTCACCAAAGGGTCTCAACGCCTAAATAAAATAATTCGAAAAACTAATCAGGAATAACCTTTGTGTTTTGATTTATATTGAATACTTACACTGAACTGCGGTCAAGCTTAGCGAAAGGTCGTGCAACATAATCAGTCAAACAAACTTTATTAGATTAACTCGTTAAGGAACGATCGTTTTCATTGGTCAATTCAAACCTTCGACCTCACACCTGCGAAAATAGAACACGCGTACTATAAAGCTGAATGGACTGATCAGTATTCACGTAGCCGGTCAAGGTCGTTAAAAACTTCCATCGTCGTATTCCCGAACATGATTGTGTTCTTGATTATCGCATGGCAATTCTAGCTTTTATACATGTGCATGTAAAATTTTAAACTTTAATCTTAACAGTCACGTCGAAATATTTAATTCAACTGTCTCCTCTCAATTGGTCCTGGATTAAGGGAGCTACCATTTTATTTTGATTGGGGGTGAAGGACTTGGATGAAACATTTTGTCCTGCATTTTTTTTAGTTGTTATCTCTGTCCTGTCTTTCTATTTTTCAGTCTGTTAGGTCCTGACTATATTTATTCGTTTATCCTGATTTTTTACATAAATCGTCATCCTGCCTTTTTTTTGTCAAGTTGCTCACCCTGCCTTATCTTTTATTCAATGGACTTGATGAATTAACGTTGTACTTGAAATGAAACCGTACTTAACTACAAAAATAACCAAATTACATACTAAAGATATTGCTCGATTTTTATAGTAAATGGGTTTGTGTTATAAACTGTCATGTTCATTATTCATATTCTTTCATAAGTTTTAGGATAGTGTGTTTTTTTTTCTGATTTAGTTTACTTGATTTTGAAAAAAAAATCCCGAAATTCTAAGTAAATTCAGAACATGTAACCAGCCATGCCTTGTTTAGAGAAAAAATGGAGATGGCAAACCATGGCACAGTGGAAGGAAATGTACTTTATAAACTCCAGCGATATACTTTCTTAATTTATAATTAACTGTTTTGCTATCCTCGGTTGAAAATTATATATTGTAAATATTTAAATAGTTGCATAGAAAACAATCAGTTTTAAACAGTGTTGTTATTCACTAAATGTATTGATAAAAGGTGACTCCATTTTTGTACATACTTTTACAGTAGTCATCCTTAATTTCTTAATATTTCGTTTATAAGTTTATCATACATGTATGATTTTGTATTTCATTTTAATACGCACGCATGCCACACGTTACTTTGGCGGATTGTTCAACAATGTTATGCAAAGCTCTATTCTTACGGTATGAAATTAAAGGATAAATTTTCAACCAATCAAAATTGAAAACAGTACATTTATATAGTTCCTTATAAACTACGACATTTCTCACAAGTATTTATTTATTTTTTAGTTCCACACATGCAAAAATAAAATCTTCGCCGATGAAACATTTCAAACCTTTTTACACCAACATGCCTTCACTGAATTCATTTGAATTTCGTGGTGACCATGATAGTACATTGCATAGTACATCTATATTCACGTGCACACATGGTACGATCTTTCGGGGATAATTTGCTCGTTTATGACACGTCATTTCTGAATGACCAAACGCTTAGCTTCTTTATTTTCGTTTTATAGCATGAAAACAATAAAAGAGGAATGTGCAACCCATCATAAATTTGAAATGCTTATTATAAGTAACTACGACATTGTCAGGATAATAACCTAGCGTCAATATGAAAGAAATTAAAGTGGTTCATACATTCATCCGTATAAAAGCGGCACATGTATTTTATTTTATCCTTATATTTTTCATAGTGCGGTACAAGTGCTGCATGCATAAAGAATATTACTTAACACAAATTATTAGTATAATATTTCGACCCCACTATTTGAAATTCACAAAATAGTTATTTAATTATTTCGACCAAAAATCATTGTTTTTTACGTTCGTAGTAACGTAGTACATTCCATTGTCGGTCACCTGTGTCAATTCACGTGCACACAACAATTGTTGTTGTATTTAAATCTTTCGGCCAATGAAGTGAGACATTACAAGTTGTTTGTTTGTGATACGCCAGAATGTTATCAATGAATTATCAATCGCTAAGCTTGACTGCATTTCAGTGTAAACGTTCTTTACTTGTGTTTTCGTTATGTTTTGATAATCAATTTTTTTATGACATCGCACGTTCTTTCAACAAAAAAAAAGGATTTAACTGGCTTTAAAAGTTACAATGCATGTGTTGATTATTAATTTTTTTTTCGGACGTCAAAGCGATTTAACAATTGCGGTTGCATGTCCAATTATGTCATCTTTTAACTTTTATCGGGTCAAAATTTTATTTTAGAACGAATGCATGATCAACTTTAAAAAGTTTGCGTACACAAAACATATAGACAAAATATACTTCTGTCCTGTCTTTTTCGTACTTGCAAGTTATTAGACAATAAAAAGGCTATTTGGATCAAGCCTTGTGGAATTTGCATTTACGTTTTTGAATAGGTAAAATGTATAGTTTGGTGAACTTTTCTGCTAACTACTATACTTGTGAAAAACCCTTGGCAACAGAAACATTTTCAGCTTTTTTTTAATCGACCCAATTTACATAGTAATGGACGACTTCGTACATTTTATGATCGCAAATAAAATATGTATATAATATACTGTGCACTGTAGTTCGTATATATACTGAAACCCTTTGGCAACCCCACAGTTTAAATGTTTATAATAAATACGTCGTGAGTTGTGGGCGTTACAGACGAACGTTCACCTAATCTGACCCAGTCAATGGGATATTTTAGCGCGCCAATCAATGGTCTCGCCTACACTGTTTTGCACATGATTCTATCTTAATATTGAACTCAAAACATTCCTCGTTGTAGTATTTTTATAATTTCTTTAGTGTCAGATTTTTTTTTTTTAAGTTAGCTTTTTTTCTTGAACTCTTATTTATCCCTTAGTAATATATCGTTTTCACCATTACGCAATTCAACTTTTAAAGGTAAAGATAAAGGTTGAATCGATCATATTTATATGTCAAATGATTTAGGTATTCGATAACCTATCCCATTTTAAGTATAGACTTTGATACACATATTTATGACATGATGATAATTTTTGTAAAAGCTATTTTTAGTTTTTACCACCTACGTTCATCTAATGCATACGTATGAATGAATTCACCAATAGACAAGCCCGCATCAATCTACAACAGATCTGTCTCAACACCAAAATCATTAAAGAACAAAAACAAAACAAACAAGATACACTTAAAAGTACTTTTTTTTACAATAATTGGGACTCGCAGGGCATGTATATATATTTTGTACTTAATATTTCATAAATTGTTTTTATGACATATATCTTTAGTAAAATATATGTCAACACTTTAGTTTGTTCTGTTTTATGTGTAAATTACTGTAAATCACAAAGTCAATGTTTTGCTATGGGAAACCCCACAAAATTATTGCCTTTACCAAAATACATAGAAGATTGTATAAAGAATTTCTGTTCTATTTCAGTATATTCCATGAAACTCTGGCGAATTTGCTTTGACAAATTTCGACATATGAAACATGACCAATTAATATTTTGCTATAGCAACCATGAAAAATAAATCTGATAAAATTCGTAAAAAGAGACTCACAACTACATGTGGCATATTAGGTAATTTTGTTAGAATTCATTACATTCACATGTAAACATGATAAACAAAAGGTGTCAAATTCATGGTAAAGGTAGTGAATCTTTGATTGTGTATTGATTCAGTCGTCTATAATCGATGCACATTCTATATTCTTTCACTTGAATTATATCATGAAGTGGGACTGTCAGACAAAACTAGGTCTAATGTTAAAGGGCTTTCAAAACTTGAACGATAAAACTACAAAAGAGAGGCGAGGCGGAAGATACCAAAGTGATATTATATATCTCATAAGTCGAAGACAAACTGACAACGGCATGGCAAAACTAGAGGCTCTAAAGAGCCTGTGTTGCTCACCTTTGGTCTATGTGCATATTCAACAAAGGACACTCTCCAACATTGTAGGCAACATAGAATTCATAACAATAATCTCTGTTTTGTTGATCTTGTATTGCTGATCATTCAGCCTGTTTAGTTTATCTTCTAGTTTTTCCTCAAAACACAAAAGAGGGTAAAAAAATATCTCATTTCTGGGCAATCACTTATATAAAGAGTGACAGTCTACTAACTATATCGGCAAAATTTGACTTTTAGTATATCTTGCCCTGCTGATCATTTTTATGATTTAAAGTGTCTATTTATCTCTTATAAATTTTCATCTAAAAATGCAAAGAGCATAAAAAATGGTAAAAATCGACATTAAAAGGGCAATAACTCCAATAAGGAGTCATTGGACGATTTCCTCCACTTGTGATCTATTATAATTTTTAAGATATAAGGCAAAAACGCAAAAAATTGGTAAAAATCAAAGGACAATAACTCTTATAAAGAGTTGACTGACGATTTCCACCACTGGACTTATTTGTAGAACTTGTCTTGCTGATCATTTTTGCAATTTAAAAGTTTCTCCCTATCTTTTATATTTTCAAGATAATAGGCAAAAATGGAAAAAAACGGTAAAATTTGTCATTTAAGGGCAATTACTCCTATAAGAAGTCGTCTGACAGTTTTGACGTTTATGGACAATTGGTAGAGCTCAACATTCGGTACATTTTTACTCAAGTCAATTTTCTCTATTTATAACGATTTTCAAAATAATTGAGAAAACTTACGTTTTGCCCGTGTTCAATTTTTAGCCATGTCAGCCATCATGATTGTGGCCAAGTTTGGTTAGATTTCAGAGGAGAAGATTTTTGTAAAAGTTAACAGGCAACGACGGACAACGAACGCCAAGTGATGAGAAAAGCTCACTTTGGGCCAGATGAGCTTAAAACGAAAAATGACGAAAAGACAACGTAGAAAACTAAAAACTGAGCAACACGACCCCCTACAAATACTGGGGTGATTTCAGGAGCATCGGAAGGGTAAACAGAACTTGCTCCACATGACTTGTGGCATATATCAAGTTGCTCATGCAAGTACAAATTCGAAGAGAGGATGGGATTGGGGTGTCAACAATTGAAACATATCCATCGTCATCTGTGAAACATATTAAATAACGGTCAACCAAATCGTGATTGCCTCTTAGATTTTCGAAGGAATAACTTCAACTTGAACACTTGGAACCATTCTTTGTAAGCAGCAAACCCTCTATCAAGGAAACAAATTAGCAAAACACAAGCTCTGGAATATCGTGTCAACTGGGAGATGTAGACTTCATATGCAGGCACTGCTGGAATGTTGCTACAAAGAAATGGAAAGTTCATAATTGGGAAGCTGAGGTCATTTCTTCTGTTGTAAAGTTTAGTTCTCACCGACCCTTATTGTCAATTTCGAGATGTATGTCAAGATATGAAGCAGACTTTACTGTATATGTGGTTACCTGTTTGAGATAGATGCGTTCAACATAGTAACCAAACTTTGAACAATTTAAAGAGAGAGAACATAATCAATTTAGCGGAACACGAAGTTAAAGGATAATGACAGCAAAATACACAATAATACATAAAAAGAAATAAGGAGCGGATCCAGGATTTTAGTTTAGGGGGGGGGGGCGTAAACTTAAATTTATGCGGAGCAGAGCGAGGCGAAAATTTTTTTGAGGTAAAATTATCGAAATATTCTTTATTAAGCTGAGGATAACCCATTCTATGCAAATTTTAGGGGGGCGCACCCCCGCTTTGACCTCGCCTGAATACGCCCCTGGAAATGAGCTGTCATATTGACAGCAAACTGGGATTTCTGTATTTTGAAGGTAACCATTGTTGAACTTAAGAGGGCAGCTAGTAAGAATGAAATTGACGTATTTCAAGCATTTTTACCTTCCGCTTCTGTGCCTATTTTCTCAAAAGTGCACACTCTGAAATGTCTCGCCTGCTTTAATTATCATGATTGAATTCATGTTGAGACATATACACCTTACAATCATATTATTCACCATATATAGTTACTATATTGCTTATAGTATCTGAGAAACAGACCTTTTCAAGAAAATTGAACACTGACCAATGAACCATAAAAATCAGGTCAAGGTCAGATGAACTATGCCAGACAGACATGTACACCTTACAATCATTCCATATACCAAATATAGTTGCAATACAATACAATACAAATACAGGAGCAATTTGGTAAGAACAGAAGCACAATTAGTTCTCATAGACTCTATTGAAAAAATTTGACAAGGAAAAAAATAAATGATACTTGAAGATGGCAATCAAAAGTAATAAGTCAAGGAAGTGAACACAATACGATGAACCCAAATGAATGAAACTTTACAATCATCAAATATTTATTAGTAATGACAATATAAAAATAAGGAAATATTATTAGTTACATAGTGTGCTAGTGATCTAATATGATATATATGGGGTCAGTAAATTCCATATGGGTGAGAGCGAAGCTCAAATCCCCATATGGAATTTACTGACTCCATATATATCGTATTAGGTCACTAGCACTCTATGTAACAAATTTATCTTACCGATTATCTTAACATGTGGTATTTAGACTAGTGCCATTTCAAAGTGATCAAGTCTTCAATACCGTTAGTATTAAGAACCAACTTCCATTGGTCTATACAAAAACAAATGGCAACAATAACAACTTGTTAGCTTTAAAAGTGTTTTCTGAATTTATTTCAATCATTCATCATCAATTTCTTCTTCTGTTGAAACCTTTTAGATTTTTCCTCAACACCCTGTTGTTTTTATAAAGGGACGTAACACCACTACTAACCATGTATTGAAATAAGCCCCACCTACTAACCCAATTTGGAATATACACGGTCTCCACACCGCTGTTTTAACTAATATGTATAGGAGGTAAGATAATTATATGATCTTATATTTATAGGTAACTTTTAAAATGTATGATCCACTTTCCTTGTTCACAACACACACTTATGGAATAAACTTCATTTATAATCATTAAAAATTTAAGCAACACTGTAGGTTTGAAAATTTATTCATCATTAACAATTAAAACTAGTATTAACAATTGTTTCAATTTATAAATAAAATTTATGAAATGTTTTCTATGCAGTTATCATAACTACCACTGACCAATAATTTTCCATGGAAATCACAAATATACCTTCAAATTTAATTGGATAAACTCACTTGTTGCTGTATATTAAAGTATTTTACTTCTTTTAGCACCAAGTAAATAACAAAGAATTAAAACTATAATCTTTAAATTTTCAAAAGGTAACATAACTTATACAAATTCAACACTTTTATCAACAACAATCACATAAAGATACATCATAAATCAATTAACATAACTCTACTTAAAAAAAACAATGTAACTTTTTAATATACATATATAAATTTAACATATGTGGTTTAAGATCTGCTAAATCATTATTCCCTAAAGAACACACCCATTACGATATAACTATAGACAATTGCCAAGGTTCCTGATTTTGAACAGGTAGATCAACAAATGGTGGGATTAAACTAGTTTTCTTTCAGCACTGAACCCTCCCTCTTTTTTTATATAAGTCAGTGGAATAACAAAATGCGCAAATAAATTCCTTTTCAAAACATCACTCAACTCTTAATTAGTTTTTATAACGACAAAAGTACAAGTAAAAACTAAATAATGACAACTTATTAAAGAATATTAGCCATTACTAAAAACAAGTTCAAATAAACTCATCATAGATACCAGGCTTAAAATCGTGTATGCCATATGCACGAGATACCAGGCTTAAACCTTTCAAAGTATTTAACCAACTGATGTAGCTTAAAATCTAATATTTTCATCAGAGTAGATTGCACATTGCAACATGATGTATATCAAAGATATGGTAAAGGGCCTATTGAAGCTAAAATCTATAAAAGATTAAACTATGAATATATTAATGCGTGTTTGATTCTTATTTTTATCATATTTTTTGTAGAGATTCTAACCTAACATAAAAACATCTGTATCAATGATTCACCAAAGATTTGGATATCAACATTTCAAGGCACATATTGAAATTGTCTTTTGCATTTGACTTTTCTTGTATGATGGTTGGCACTTTTGGTTATTGGTTTTAAATTGTGAATTAAAAAGGCTTTATCACATATATATAGTCGTACATAAACATTTCTGATATTTAATGTATTAAACAAAAATTAACCTGATAGTATAACATAGCGTATTAATATAAGCTAACATCATTTTTGAATTGTTACAAATATACAATTTATTCAACAATTATAATAAAGCTTATCAAAATATAAAATTTAACAAAAAGAAATTGTGTTATTTATACAAAACATGCAAACATAATTTATTAATCACAGCTACATAGGGCAGTATCACAATAATTTGAACGTCAACACATTACCGGTATATACTCAGGAATAAATATTATACAATTACTGTCTTTTGATGAGGTAAATATGTGGTTTTATTGACTTTTGAAAAACTGATATTCACTGAGGCCGTTACCAAATTGTAATTTGTTTTACAAAACCAAACTGTTCAACTGATCAGAAATTTCCACAAACTGCTGTAGAAAACCACAGTCGAAGTTGTGAAAGTGCAAGGTGATAAAATAAACCATATATACAATCCTATTAGTCTTTAATTTTACTACATTGATATCATGAAAAAGACTCTAAGAATTTCTGTACATCCTTTTATTGTAATTGTCATTCGAAAGGTGAAAGGTAGGAATTTTTGAATTGCTAAAAAATGCCAAAATTTAGTTTTTTGAATTATTTCCAATAAAATGGTGTTTTTTGGTGCATGCTACAATGTTTTCTTTAAATGTATCTCTAAAATACTTGGTTAAATATACGTTAAGCTCAAATATGTTCTTATGAAGTTTTAAAGGGAGATAAAATCAATATTTCAAAAGATCAATGATTTTATGTTATCTCTCATGGAAACTTATTAGTTATTGTAATTTCACAAATATTTTACAGAATATGACATGTTTTAATTCAAACGGATATTTGATTCTTATGAATAAAGAAGACTTTCTAAAACAAAAAATTTAAAGGAAGCTTAGTTTAGACATTTTTATAGCAATTCAAAAATTACTACCTATCACATTTCGAATGACAATTACAATAAAAAGATATATAAAAATTCTTAGTATCATTTTCATATTTTTATCACCTTGCACTTTCACGACTTTGACTGTAGTTTTCTACAGCAAAATGTTTAAATTTCTGACCAGTTGAACAGTTAGGTTTGATAAAAGAGATTGTAATTTGATCAGAATTTTGAATAAACTGCAATAGGTGGAGAGCAACACTTACGGTCAAGTCACAGTAACATCAGCAGTTCATTAACTAGCAGTAAAACAATACCCCAGACAGCTTGAGGAGTTTAAATTGTGTACAAACAATGTTTTATTAATTTTTTTATTACTGATTCTGGCGTATTTTGAGTAAAACTTACATCCTTTTGCTGCCATAATAAATTGCTTGTACCACATGTTTCAATTTGGTTAGTCAAAAGAAAATCATTCTCTTTCACCTCCATCATGGTGGTCGAGGGGAATAACTTTAAACAGCAAACACCTTCATTTTAAAAAAAGATCTATATTGGGTCAACAAATATCTGGAGAGTTGAACATTTTTTTGCTCTCAATCATTCTATATGGGACCTTTTAAAAACTAGTAATTTAATTTTGTTTAAATTAAACAGTGACATAGTCTAATAAAATTCATTTTTAAATCAGACTGAATAGGATCCTTCCTTCACATACTTGTTTTACAGTCTAACACCTTTACACATAAATTGTCAAGTTAACTATCACTTAATAACTTAACTATATCTTGTAGAAGCCTGGATCTATGTTCCACTTGCTGAAGATGGGTTTTCATTGCTTCTGAAAATGACTTATCTGGAATTATAAAAAAATCAAAACATGAATATTGAAGTATTACTACAGTTTAAATAAAATAAAATGGATCAAGGAAAAAAAATAATGGCAAAGAAAAAATGAGAAAACAAAATGGCATAACATATAAATACAAAAGTGTGTACACTGAAATGTCTCTTCTGCTTAACTACCATTGATTTTATGTTGATAGCCCTAAATGTAAAGTTTTACTACAAGTATCACATTAACTTAACATGATCCAAGAAAAAAAGGGCCAAGGACAGATAAACTAAGCCAGAAATACATGTACACCTTACAATCATTCAATACATTGAATATAGTTGACCTATTGCTTATAGTATACAAGAAACAGACCAAACCATGAAAACTTTATACTGACCAATGAACCATGAAGATGAGGTCAAGGTCACATGAACCCTGCCAGACAGACATGCAACTTTACATTCATTCCATGGATCAAATATTGTTGAGGCCAACCTTAAAAATATGTTTGTTTGCAGTTTTTCCGACTGTACCTTCAGACTGCAGGGTCGGTAGGTAGGAAAAATATTTTATTTTATCAGCCAAAATAAAGTTTAAACAAGCAGTTACACAAACCAAGTTTCTTATCAAGAAAAAACATTTTAAAATAACAAACACTGAAAACCAACATTAAATGAACAGGCATTTTCAGGTAAAAACCTTTTTAACCAAAACTGAAACTTAACATAGTGTCATTATACAAATTATGATATATCAATATGATATTATGAAATACTGGAACACTTATAAACAAGCATTAATGACTAGAATTGTTGTAAAGAAACATATTCACTGACATATATGCATCTTTACTAGAATGTTTTCATGAGTAGAGTATTTACATCAGAAAAATGTAGATATTAAAGATACAAAAGACAATGTAGGATTCTAGTGTGTTAAAAAAATCTTCCTCAATTGAAAAAAAAGACAACTTAAAAAATAATATATATTAGACATCTGACTGTTATAAAGGTTATATTCTGAAAGATATGTTGATGCCAGGCTTTAATTTAAACGAACAAAAATCTTAAGACCAGCTCTGGGGTGAAACCCATAGCACCCCATTAAAAGTAAATGGTCTGTACTGAAATGTTTTGACTGCATAACAAAATTAGTAAGGGTTCCGCGGAACCCAGTGTCTCGCCTACTTTTGCTGTTAGTCGCAGGCTCAACAAAAATGGGGAAAAAATTATTAAAAATTTTCCTCTAGATACTATCTTTTGGTTGTAAGAAGTTCTGTTCAAGTTTGGTAAAAATCCAAGAAGGTTTATGAATCTAATAAATGTTTTAAAAACTTTAACTGCAGACTGTACGTAATGTTAACTGGAATACAACTAAGTCCATTTATAAGTAATATACCGAAAAACAGGAAATAAATTTTTACAAAATTTCCTTCTAGATACTAGCTTTTGATCATAAACAAGCTTCTGTCCAAGTGCGGTACAAATCCAGGATAGTTTAAGAAAGTTATTAAAATTTGAAAAACTTTAACCACAGAGTGAATGTTATGTTAACTGGCAGAAAAACTAAGTCCATATATGAGTGAAATAGGGATAAACAGGATTTTTTTTTTTTACAAAATTTTCTTCTGGATACTATTTTATGATTATAAACAAGCTTCTGTTCACGTTTGGTTGAAATGCAGGATAGTTTAAGAAAGTTATTAAAATTTTAAAAACTTTAACCACAGAGTGAATATTTGTGGACGCCGCAGCCGCTGACGACGAAGCCGACGGAATGTAGGATCGCTATGTCTCACTTTTGCGACAAAAGTCGCAGGCTCGACAAAAATTGGCAGCATAGCTCCTAAGGACATGTTTCAATTCAATTCACACAAGTCACACAGTTTGGGTATATTTAATATTGTAAGAGAGACTGTGGAATAATTGCAATGAGTGGGGCAGCCCCCCTTATCCTAAAGGAGCATACTCATTGCAATCGAAGATAGATTTGATACAGAGAGAAAATATTTTCTCAAGCCAACCATTCATTTTCTCTACATCTTTGTGTAGTTTGTGTGGCTTCTTATTGATTTAACATTTCAAATGCGTGCTTCCATCGTACAGGTGTGTTAACAGGTATCCATGAAGTCACGGAGGAGTGGTTTCATCTTTGTCGTCTTCACAACAATTTAAAGAAAATATGGCATACTTCAGGCTGCTGTTGAATAGTTGAACCACTGATATTGGTTCCATAAAGTCAGTCTCAAAAGATTCTGTATCCGATTTGTTTGAGACAGAAACGGTTATCGTGTCGGTTTTATGAATATCAGCTGCATCATCATCAATGAAATCATCGAAGACATCATTCCATGTGCAATTCTGCCTGAATCAGTATAAACAGTTTACTATGAAACTTTTCTGTGTATTATTTGTCTTAAAATTGACAGAAGACGACAGAATAAAGTACTCCTCCATGACTTCGTGGATACCTGTAAACAATCGCCATGTGCTTTACCATTAAAAGGTACGATGAACGCTTGACAGGAAGGGAAGAAAAACTGAACTTCAAACGTGTAATTGACCTAGACTTTAAATCAATTACGGAAACGACCCGAAATTCAGGATCGAGTCAAGACCTATTAAAAATAATTTCTTCAAATTAAAAGCAATAAAATTTTCACAGTCGGGCGGATTTTTTGAAGGTCGGTCAGTAAACTGCAAACAAACAATATTGTAATTTAAGCCTGACATATCAAATATAGTATCTAAGAAACAAACTTAACCACAAAAACTTAACATTGACAAAAGAACCATGAAAATGAGGTCAAGGTCAGATGATACCTGTAAAACAGACTTGTAAACCTTACAATCATTCCATACACCAAATATAGTTGACCTATTGCTTATATAGTTTAAGAAAAACAGACCAAAACACAAACACTTTACATTGAGCAATGAACAGTGAAAATGAGGTCAAGGTAAAATCAAACCTGCCAGAATGACATGTACATCGTAAAATATTTCCGTACACCAAATATATCTGACTTATTGCATTCAGTATTTGAAAAATTCGTAAGGGTTCCGCGGAACCCAGTGTCTCGCCTACTTTTTCTGTTAATCGCAGGCTCAACACAAATGAGGAAGTAAATCAATAAAAATATTCCTCTTGATACTATCTTTTGATTGTAAGAAGCTTCTGTCCAAGTTTGGTAAAAATCCAGGATAGTTTATGAATCTAATAAATGTTTAAAATCTTTAACTGCAGACTGAATGTAATGGTAACTGGAAGAAAAAAAAATTTCCTTCTAGATACTAGCATTTGATTATAAACAAGCTTCTGTCCAAGTTTGGTACAAATCCAATAAATGTGGATAGTGTCCACATGTGGACACAGATGATGCCCCCGCTTGCATATCATATAGTTATAAAGGGACATAACTGAAGAACGGTAAAAGTGACACTACCCAAATTTGAACTTGATCTGAGTTTTGTGGTAATAAGCATTGTGTGTAAGTCTCATAACATTTGGTTGAGGCTAACTTAAGTAGAGAACAGAAACTAAAAATTCAGCAATTTTTCTATTTGTAATGATGCATAACTCTAGAACGGTTGTGTATAAGTTTTACAACATTTGGATGAGACAAACTAAAAAATTCAGCAATTTTTATGTTTATAATGGGACATAACTCTAGAATGGTAAAAGTGTTGCCACCTAATTTCGTACTTAATCTGTATTATGTAGTAATTAGCATTGTGTATAAGTTTCATAACATTTGGTTGAGGCAAACTCAAGTTAGAGAACTGAAACAAAAAAAATGTACTTGATCTTTACTGAGTTTTGTTGGAATGAATATTGTGTATAGGTTTCACAATCTTTGGCTGGGGAAAACTTCAGTTACAGAATGGAAACTAAAAAATTTTACAATCTTTCTATTTATAAAGGGGCATAACTCAATAATGGTTAAAGTGACACTACCCAAATTCAACTTGATCTGTGTTTTATCAGTGGTAGTCAAAATTAAACATTGCATTGTATAAAGCATTGATTGTAGTTGATTCAACTATAATCATGGTCAAAGGAAGATAACTCCAATTTTAAAAATATATTATATAAACTTGATATTTAGAAGAAAATAAAAATTTTGCAATTTTTCCTTTTATAAAGGGGCATAACTCTAGATCGGTTAAAGTGACACCACCAAAATTCAAACTTGATCTGTGTTTTGTGGTAATAAGCATTGTGTATAAGTTTCATAACATTTGGTTGAGGCAAACTTAAGTTAGAGAACGGAAACTAAAAATTATGCAATATTTCCTTTTATAAAGGGGCATAACTCTAGATCGGTTAAAGTGACGCCACCAAAATTCAAACTTGATCTGTGTTTTGTGGTAATAAGCATTGTGTATAAGTTTCATTACATTTGGTTGAGGCAAACTCAAGTTAGAGAACGGAAACCAATTTCGGGACGTACGTACGTACAGACGGACAAGGGTAAAACTTAATGCCCCCTCCGGTACGGCGGGGGCATAAAAAAGTATAAGAAAGTTATTAAAATTTTAAAAACTTTAACCACAGAGTGAATGTGTTGTTTCCTGGCAGAAAATCTAAGTCCATTTAAAAGTAAAATACGGAAAAAATGGATTTATTTTTTTACAAAATTTCCTTCTAGATACTAGCTTTTGATCTTAAACAAGCTTCTGTCCAAGATTGGTACAAATCCAAAATAGTATAAGAAAGTTATTAAAATTTTATAAACTTTAACCACAGAGTGAATGTGTTGTTTCCTGACAGAAAATCTAAGTCCATTTAAAAGTAAAATAAGGAAAAATGGATTTTTCTTTTACAAAGATTACTTCTGGATACTATCTTATGATCATAAACAAGCTTCTGTCCAAGTTTGGTAGAAACCCAGGATAGTTTAAGAAAGTTATTAAAATTTTAAAAACTTTAACCACAGAGTGAATGTAATATTTCCTGGCAGAAAAACTAAGTCCATTTATAAGTAAAATACGGAAAAAATGGAATTTTATTTTTACAAAATTTACTTCTGGATACTATCTTATGATCATAAACAAGCTTCTGTCCAAGTTTGGTAGAAATTCAGGATAGTTTAAGAAAGTTATTAAAATTTCAAAAACTTTAACCACAGAGTGAATATTTGTGGACGCCGCCGCCGCCGACGACGACGCTGACGGAATGAAGGATCGCTATGTCTCGCTTTTTCGACTAAAGTCAAAGGCTCGACAAAAACAGACCAAAACACAAAAACTTATCTTAAACCATTGAACCATGAAAATGAGGTCAAGGTGAGATGACACCTGCCAGTTGGACATGTAGACCTTACAATCATTCCATACACCAAATATAATAGAAAAATGCCTGTAGTATCTGAGATATGGACTTGACCACGAAAACTTAACCTTGTTCACTGATCCATAAAATGAGGTCGAGGTCATTTGAAATCTGTCTGACAAGCATGATCACCATGCAAGGTATGCACATTACAAAAATATAGTTATCCTATTACTCATAATAAGAGAAAAAATTAACATTACAAAAAATCTAAACTCATTTTTCAAGTAGTCACTGAACCATGAAAATGAGGTCAAGGACGAAGGACATATGACAGACGGAAACTTCATAACATAACACATCTATATACTAAGTATGAAGCATCCAGGTCTTCTACTTTCTGCAATATTAAGCTTTTAAGAAGTTAGGTAACGCCGCTTCCGCCGTATCACTTTCTCTATGTTGAGCTTTCTGCGAGAAGTCGCAGGCTTAACAAAAACTAAATTTGGTCACAAGGTTGCACTTGTATCTCTTTTCTTACAACCCAAAATGAGAAGAATGACCTGAATATATGTGCACATCTGTGTAAATAAATATCTTACAAAAATGTGTCCATAGTACACAGATGCCCCACTCGCACTACCATTTTCTATGTTCAGTGGACCGTGAAATTGGGGTCAAAACTCTAATTTCCCAAATTGGCATTAAAATTAGAAAGTTCATATCATAGGGAATGTGTACTATGTTTCAAGTTGATTGGACTTCAACTTCATCAAAAACTACCTTGACCAAAAACTTTAACCTGCCCACTCACACTATCATTTTCTATGTTCATTGATCCGTGAAATTGGGGTCAAAACTCTAATTTGGAATTAAAATTAGAAAGATCATATCATAGGGAACATGTGTACTAAGTTTAAAGTTGATTGGACTTCAACTTCATCAAAAACTACCTTAACCAAAAACTTAAACCTGAAGCGGGACAAACGGACGAACAAACGGACGCACAGACTGAAAAACATAATGCCCCTAGGTGGGGCATAAAAATGTATCTAGTTATAAGTTCATATAATAAACTATATAACAGGAGTTGAAATGGCAAAATGGTTACTGATATGGTCAACATTTTGTGGTTTTGAAACAAAACTATTGAAAAATAACTCTGTGCAGCAGGACATCCTACCTACATGTCAGTTACAAAATTAAAACTAATTAGTTGTTAACTTTCATGTATCTATGAAAGCTGAAATGACTAGGTTGGTGTTATATAGGACAAACATTTCAAAGTAAGAAAATCTTCAACAACTAACAAGGAAGATGGAGCAAATGCTCACATGACCCTTTGGACCATGTGAGATTAAAGCACAGCCCCAATACTCTTGATTTTAATCGATATCTTTGGTTATAGGTGACTTTATTTTACATCATTTGTATTTTGTTGGGCATAAAATCTATGTCAGTACATTGAGCAAAGGGATGAATATTCTAATGGGAATGATTTCCTTATAACTGCTTAGATAAATGTGTTAAATAATAAAAGTAATATATTTCATTAGACAGGTTGGATTATGTTCTTAAGAATAAATGTCAAGTGGGCACAATATTGCTGTCGGATCAAAGATGCAGGGATCCAGTTAGCCCATAACACATTTAAATGTTGTTAGAAATCAGCATATAGTAAGAGAGTTTTTCAAGTAATGGAGATGATAGAATAAACTTCTTACCATGTAAATCATTATAATTAAGGTTCTTCTATTCAACTTACCAAAGACTACAGAAATCAAGATATCCTTTGTAAATACCGTCTTTATACTCTCTGCTGCCACAAATATAACAAAAGTGTCTTTATTTTTCTCTAAACAAGCTGCAACATCTAGTAAAGACTTTCTCAGTAAATCTGGTAATAATGATCTGTAAGTTAAGAAAGGTTCTCAGAATCACATGACTTTCTAAAACATCCGGTACTGTGGATTTATTTATTTTCATTGGTACATGTACCAATTTTCATGGATTAAGGAAAAATGATTTTTTCATAGATATTTGATTTCATGGTTTTGCCAAAGTCTGCATACAAGCTTTATTTTAGATGTGTACTTCATTGAACATTGTAATTCGTGGTTAACCTGTATCCACGAAATCCACCAAAATTGGTATCCCACAAATAATAATGAAACCATAGTAACCATGGTAACAGGGATCTTTCAACCGTTTCTCATGTCACAGCAGATGACATTCTTAAAAAACATCATAACAATGATCAAAACATGTAACCTTACACTTTTATATTCAAATTCCTCTAAAAATGAACTGCTAAAAGAATTACTTAATTTCTTTGGTATAAAAACAGATCATAAATATGAACTGCTTAAAGAATTACTACATTTCATTGGTATAAAAACAGATCAACTGGGAACACATCAATTTCAGATTAGAATTTTAATATATTGGACAGTTTACCATCTGAAATTTTAGACAAACTTATAACCATCTGTTCACTATTCAATTAATACACTGTAGATATGAAATATCAATCAAGTTAGTTCTCATCACAGCATTAATCAAGGGTATCATTTAAAACCCAACCAAAAATATAACTAAAAAACACACCACAATACCATTAAATTATAATAAACACAGAACCAAAAAGCAACAGAAGCTCTGATTTACAACTCACCACAATGTTCCTAAATGAAACAAATATCTTACTATGAATCCTATGCATATTGAAGTACCGTAATTAAACAAACATGATTTTTTAAAATAGCTAAAAACTGAATACCGGTAGTTAAAAAGTATGTTTCAATGCTGACTTTTGTCATTAGATGGAGTAAAGGAGTAGGTCCAGTAAAACCCATTTATGGCCCCAAAATATAGCAGTTTTACAAAATTGTTAAAATGTAAACTTTTAGCTATTTATGGGAAAGTAGAATACTTCTGCTACATAAATATGGGTTGTTTTTGACAATGCAATGCACATTTATCGGGTACTATCATTATAAAGTCATGCTAAATTACTGAAATCTTCACAATTTTAGCATTTGAGTTAAATTTTAGACGGTGTTCGTCTTAAATGGAATAGGCCCCATTTGTGTTCATTCTTAATATTTAAATGTATGTTGTATTTGATGATAATACATAACATATATAAAGGTTGAGAGTAAACACGGATGCGGCCACTTTCATTTTTGACAAAAACCATCTGAAAAGTGACATAAAAATTATTATGGCATAATTGATAGATTTTTCATATTTAAGCTTGAATTAGAGCGTATTTAATGATTAAATCAGTTAAAATCTTTCACATAACCTAATTGAATCTACTGAAGTAGACACTTAAAGTGTTTAAAAAGTGTACAAAATCTTTCACTAGATGAACCTAAAATTTGAGTCCTAAATCGGCCCTTACTGGAACTACTCCTTTCTGAATTGCCATCAGATGAAAATCTTAAGGCAATTATTTTAAAATAATGACTCACAAAAGAGACCCCAAGAGTAAATGAAGTTTTCTAAGCTACAAAAATTGTTACATGCCTCATGACACAAATACTAGTAGTGAAAGTCTCAAACTAGAATACCATTAGCTTCATGAGAAATAAACCATAAAGAGAGTTATTAGTTGTAGATTCTTTAATGAGTTTGTATGTCCCTTTGGTATTTTTGCATCTATTTCAGGAAATATATAACAATACCATGTTTATTTTCTGTTGAATTCATATACAACTTGACTCCAATAGATTGTTAGCTTGACAAATGGAAAAATACTCTTAATGAAACCAAATGTTGACCTATTTAGATTTATTTTACTAATGAGTTGCTGTAACATTAATATTAACGCCATATTACATCTTATTCATATACACTAAGATAACAAATCGCAGTCACAAAGTAAAAATATTGATGTATACTTACGTGTATCTGACAGCATCTACAATACCTATTAAGTATGATGTATCTATATCCATTAATGTTTTACTATGGTTATACTGTTGTTGAACATATTGTAAGAGTCTAGGTGAAACCTCAGCCTTCTCCAATAAACTAACTAAGGAAAGGTCAATATCCTTCAAAGCTTGAGAATCGTTTCCATCAATCACCATACAGCTTACATATTCCACAATCTACAGAAATTGATTTAAACATTATCAAGACAGAGATTTGAGAACACTAAGTACAAATATGTGATCAACATTTTAATACAAGTTTTTTTCTAATGCATTAATAATCCTTACTCTAAATATTTAAATAAAGGTGTCACTAAAGTTGTAATTTCCATTCTATAGGCCGGGTTCTAATACACTGTATAATATAAATTATGTGAGTAAGATCATTTTAGTAGTATAGACTTGAATGAGACCTACCGAATTAGACATATCACCGGGTTTTTACTTACATGAGAAACACGATGGGTGCCACATGTGGAGCAGGATCTGCTTACCCTTCCGAAGCACCTAAGATCACCCCCCCCAATTTTGGTGGGGTTCATGTTGCTCAGTCTTTAGTTTTCTATGTTGTGTCTTGTGTACTGTTGTTTGTCTGGTTGTTTTTTTCTTTTTTAGCCATGGCGTTATCAGTTTATTTTCGACATATGTGTTTGAATGTCCTATTGGTATCCTTCGCCTCTCTTTTGAGAAAGACTTGTCTCAAACAAATGTTTAAAAGAACAAATGAACTTTTAGACAAATTTTCACCAGTAAGAATAAACCTTATTCTCTTTCCATTAAGACATGATAAGCAGAAGATGGTCAATAATGAAAAAAAAAAACATTTGTCCACTACAAGTTAAAAAAATAAATGAAAAGCAAGGAATTATTCTATGAACTTTTTAGCTATCTTAATAATCACCTTTGACCTGATAACATTGGTTAAAAGTTCAACATCTGAAACTGAAAAAGAATGTGGGAATGGTGGTAAATCACTTTCCTGATCTGTTACAACATCTTTTGTAGCATTGGAGGAAATATTCTTTTGTCCATTACAAAATACAGTATCTAGAGTCCCATCATTCTGTAATGAGCTTTGAGATGTGTCAGTTTCCTGACCTTTCTGAACACTTCCTTGTAAATCAGTGTCAATACTTGACAAAACATTGGATTCTTGAGATAAATTCACAGTTTCTCCTAAGTTATCATCTTCCCCCAAGTCTTGGGATTCTACAGACTTTTCAAGTTCGCTATCAGATTCAAGTTCAGACATTTCTTTGTTCTCATTTTTGACTTCTTTGTAGTCACCACATGATTCAATTGAAGATTCAAAAGTTGAAAGAAGTTCTGAATCAGATGTTGTTTGTATATGAAAGTTTTGAATTTCAGTCTTTGTTAATTTTCTGGTTTCGGTAATTTCAATGACAGCACCACCTGCCTCTTTCCTCTGCACAAATGTAACCTCATCATCTTCATCACTGTCCTCTTCAGTTGCAGAACTACTTGTTAAAGATTGATTGTCTACAAAATGGACTTTTCGTAATGCTCCTGGAGTTTTTTCACCATCTTGACGAAGAATACCTTTTGTTTCAATGTCTGTTTTCATAGGTGCTAACACCGTTGGTGTAACTAAGTTTTCACTAGTATTTCTGGAATTTTCGTCTTCATCTTCATCACTTTCATGGACAATCAAACTTCTTTTTCCTTTCTTTGTTCTGAAATTTATTAAACAGGACTTAATTCAAATAGTATCATGGAAGTTGTTGCACACATATATTTATAATTGTCTTTATTCTTAAATATGAAGCTTTAACAAAAATCTAACCCCATTGTACGCCCTTATAAGGATCCCTATATTCGACATTCTCAGAAATGTATTGTATGCTCTAACAAAATTGTGTCTGTTACAAAAGTAATTTACCAATAATAGTTTTTAACAAGCTGTAAGATGTGTGCCTTTTTTCCAGCAGCAGTCAAGGGGAAAAGTACAGCAACAAACACATCTTTACTTTTATGAATGGTCATGTCATTCAATTTAATGGGACAGTTGTCTCATTTACATTCATTATACCGACAGATTTAGTGCTGATTTAGGAGTTGAAAGAGCCAAAAGGTGGAGGGGGGGGGTCTTAAATATAAAAATTGTAGTTCTTTGAAACAGTGATGATAGATGTAAAAATCCCTATACATGTATAAGTAAATCATTTCATTAGAATAGGTACTACACATACTTAATTGCCCATGCACATCATATTCCTTCATCTTCATACACAAAATCATTTATCAGCAATACACTAAACATACAATCAACCCCTCAGAAACCATAAAGAAAATCCTTTAAAGAATTATATTAAAAATAAAAACCTACAAAATTTGTGTCATCTTTGACAGATGAAATAAGAATCTTCTTCCTTCTGTCCTAATTCCTATATTATTCATATAATTCTGTAATATAATCTGTACTGTTGATGTAGCAGTGGTAAAGATGTGGTTTAATAATGACTCATATTTGACTATTCCTTCCTCTACATCTGGATTTATATTGTATGCTAAAAATAATATAGTCATTTTAGATTAAGTTTTTCTCCACAGCATGTGTTCAGCATGTTGGGCCATTTAATTATTCTTAAAAACATGTTAAGTTTGTACAGTTATTCTCTGTCTTTTGGCTACTGTGCATTCATATATTTTTGTGGATATCAATTTACATGGATTGAAGAAAATCCTACTTTGTGTAAATTCGATTTCCTGGTTTTTAAAAATTTGTATTCAAGCCTTACGAGAAATTGATACTTGGTTGAACATTTAAATCTGTGGTTCATTTGTACATTGTACTAACAAAATCTACTAATGTTAATGAATCCACAATATTCTTTAGCTTGACTTATGGTGTGGGTCCTTGCTCATCTTCAAAGACTGTAAAAGTTCATGCTCTTGGTTTCCTTCATAAGAGTATTGGGTATCCACCTATGTATTAGTGTACATCCCACCATTGTGTTATTGTGCCATGGTCATTTTTTGTATTCTTGGCTTTCAATTTTGCTTATGTGCTTTGCTTATGTGCTTTGCCTATATGCGATTTTGTTTTTATTTGCTGACATATTTGTTTGTTTTTATAGTGATTTAGATTATAACACAATATTGACTGCTGTACCCCTATTTTTTTGACATCTTTACCTATTATGTCTGTTTGTTTTGTTCAACACATTGTTGTCAATACAATGGAATTTTATGCAACTGTCATACAAGTAAAAGGTTTAGCTAGCTAGAAAACAAGGTTAAGTCCACCATTTTCTACATAAGGAAATGCCTGTACCAAGTCAGGAATATGGCAGTTGTTTTCCATTCGTTTGATGTGTTTGAGCTTTTGATTTTGCCATTTGATAAGGGACTTTCTGTTTTGAATTTTTCTTGGAGTTCGGTATTTTTGTTATTTTACTTTTTAGTTATTATGTTGTATATTGGGTATTGCCTATGTGTATATAATATTGAAAATTGTTACATAATTACATTTCTTCACTTTAGCACTTTAGCATTTACTGCAATGGCAATCAGATTTCTTTATGATTTATTTGAAAATCTAAAAGAAGATGATAATGGTCATCTAAAAATATACACAAGGTTTATCTAACTTACGTATATCTAACCATGACTGCAATGGCAATCAGATTTCTTTATAATTTATTTGAAAATCTACAAGAAGATGATAATGGTCATCTAAAAATATATGCAAGGTTTATCTAACTTACGTATATCTAACCATGACTCTAATGTCATCTGCAACGTTGCTGTTAGATTTGACAAAGTACGACAACCAGACTGTAAGATTTCTTCATGGTCCTCATGATGCTTCAATGCTCTCAGTATCATTTCCAATGCAGTTTCTCTGACTTGTACCTAAAATTAGATAACACTTTTGAACATTCCCTTGGGGCCTCGGTGGCCGAGTGGTCTTAATAGTTACTACTGTAATCACTAGCCAGTCAACACTGAGGTTGTGAGTTCGAACCCCACTCGTGCAGGTGCACTCGACTCCAATCTTAATTGCTAGGATTGTCAGTTTTCCTATCGAAGGTTGGTGGTTTTAGTCGGGCACTCCGGCTTCCTCCACCAATAAAAACTGGCCGCCACGAAATAGCCCAAAAGCAGTGCTTAAAAGTGGTGTTAAAACACCAAAAATCAAAATCAAAATCAATTGAACATTCCCTTATATGAACACATACATTTATATCAAATACATCTACTGTTACATTTTAGGACTTTAATATGCTTAAGAATGAAATAGGATTCTTTAAAAGATATTGGGGCTGCTATGGAAAATGATGTACAATACTGTGGATTCATTATTATTCGTTGGATACCAATTTTCGTGGATTACGTGGCTACGAATGACAAAGTTTCTATAGGCTTGTATGCAGACTTTGGCAAAACCACGAAATTAAATATCCACGAACATGCAAGTTTTCCCTAATCCACGAAAATTGGTACCCATGAAAATAAATGAATCCACAGTATATATAGAATATTACTCATCATTTTCTGCTTGAACTCATCATGAGAAAAAAATCTCAGCTGCAAACTCTTAGTTATGAGTATTATAGGTACATATAATGTAAAAGTATATAAAATATGAACATCTTATGCAATACATTATAAACATAATTTTTTAACACCTACCTAAAGGTATATTTCTCATTTTACCCATTTCAATTTTCAGTCAGAAAACCCTGCTTAAAGTTCAAATGATATTTTCATAACAAGGCAAAAAAAAACATAAAATTATCCTTTTGAGAAAAGTTATTCCTATCAGCTAAAATTACCCTGAAATTCTCTCCTTGAAAAGTTATTAATATCAGAAAATAACTTTAATTTAACTTGTCCTCGAACCATTTTTTTTTACTTGTAAAAAGACCAAATCCATGTCAGAAGATGCTTTACAGGGTGATGTTTTTGGAACAGCCTTTTGTACCATAAAGATAAGCAAATTCTAAAGAGTAAAAATGTAGTCAATTGTTCCCAATAACTTTGAAAAATACTGAAAATTCAAATTTGACAAAGTCTGAATGAAGGAAAACAGTTAGAGATACTAATAACACAAACTAGCAACCTTCAGTATATTCTATTAACTTGTAAAGTTCTATATAATTATGGAAAGCCTGAGAAAAAACAATTCAAATTTATCCAAAATACGATATGCACATCTATGTGCCATCATTGTGCAAAGTTTGAATATGATGAAGGAACTGTAGAAGTTATAGATGACACAATTTAGGTGCCCTCCATGTGTTTCTGATTTGGGGGAGGATAGACAGAATGACTGACTGAAGGATGAAGCTGTAAGGTTTCTAGACTATCGCTTCTGGCCATGCAGGTCAAAATTTAATGGACAAGTTGTTGGGATTATTCAAAATATTTACCTTTTCTGTAATCTGATATTGGTATGTTGTTATCTTGGCTAAGATGTCTAAACAATTTGATTGCACATCTTCCTGGTTCAAATACACAGCCATGCAACCCATCACTGCTGCAGCTGCCTGACATTTTATCATTATTGGAATATTCTGTGGAAAATGGCTGAACTTCCTTAGCAACTGCAGACACAGAACAACGTGAGACAAGGGATCCTGGGGAAAAATCAAACAAATATTTTTATATTTGGTGACATAAGTAGGCTGGACTGTTTAAACAAAATGTTAAGTAGTTCTGTAAGAAGGTCTATAGAATATATTAGTCACGTAAAATAATAAAATTAACAATATGAAGGTTGTATTTTGGCTTCTTGTCTTGAATTTTGACTCTGACTTCTTTATTTCTTGATAAGTTGAGGACATAAGACATAATTTATTGGAGTCAATGAAATAATTTGATGATATTTAAAAGTTTCATTTTTTATAGATATCACCCTTGAAAAACTTCAATTCATCATCTAGTACGTTTTCCTGATTGGTCCATACAATTTCACTGGTATTTTATAACATGAGTAAGGTTAAAAGAAAAAAAAAGTAAATAAAAATATATAATAAATGCTTGTTAATCAAATAATCAATTTTTTTATTAGTCAAGTTTGAAAATTTTCAAGGTTTTAACTGATAAGTTTACATACCAGTATTTGTCTCAGAATTTCAACAAGAAGTTTTATAGATGGAGCATGTATTGGCCTGTCCCTTTCTGATTCTGGCATTTCGTCTAAATAACTGGTAACCTCATTTAAGTAACCCAGTACAACGTTCCTCTGATATTCTGCTACTTCCTGTGAGAAAATATGTGTATTAAGTACGCTTGAAAATATTAGTGCCTTAGCACTGGAACAGGGCCTTCTTCATAACAATAATAATATTACATGTCATATCGGTCTTAAAAGGATAATCACTCCCATATTTTGGCGGGTTTGTGTTGCTGCTCAGTCTTTAGTTTTCTATGTTGTGTTTTGCTTACTGTTGTCATCTTTTTGTAGTTTTTATTTTTTTGCTATGGCATTGTCAGTGTGTTTTTCAACATATGAGTTTGAATATCCGTTTAATATCTTTCACCTCTCTTTTACACAAATTTGTTACCAAACATTTTCATTAAAATCATACCTTTTTTTGTATTAACACTGATTTTTATTGATTCTTCAGAACTGTATGACGTAAAAAAAAATAACATTCAAAACAAACAACTTTTGTATAAAACTAATTGAAAAATTATAGAAATTTTAAAATCCTAAAAAATCCTTTTACAGACGCACAAAATGAAAAATAAACAGATTGAATATCTCACTTTCCTCATTTGTACAGTCATGGAAACCCTTAAATCATTCAATTAAAAAAAAGGACAAAGAAAGTGAGCAATGCTATATAGTACCAAAAAAAATCTAACAATCACATTGCATCTCCATTTCCACATAAGTAACTTTAATATCACAAACCTGCAAAAATCTGAATATCTGATCAGTCATTTTTGATGATAGTTTTGAATCTGTGTACATGTGGACTTGTTTTGTTAAGAAACTTGCAGCCAGACCTCCAAGCTGTAATGAAAAAAATAATTTTGACTGACTGTGTTCATCTCATGTAATGAAAACATATTTTCCAATTTTCCAAATCTTCATGTTTTAATTCAATAAAACATTTTGTAATGAGGAATCTTTCTTAAATTTTACACAAATCAAATTGGGAACTAATCACTCACCTGGCAAAAATATGCAATTTTGTTACTGATTTTTTTTTTTTTTATTGTAGTTCATATTTATTTAGCTCATTATTTCCATTTGATATCTATAAATCTTAAAAATGGTTTAAAGTTCCATATTATTTTAAAATCTTTATTTTTTGCATTATAGGAACCTTGACAATCATATTTGTTATCTACTTTATTAAAAAATCTGCTCTTGTATAAAGTAATAGAGAGGGACTTGAAAAAAGCTTACAGTTGACAAAATTGTCATGTATTTGAACTTCAAGAATAATACAAATGTTAAACAACCTTAAATTGGATGTATTTTCTGTCAATTTAAGAAAAAACATTACCTGTTTAGAAGATGCTGACTTCTCAAATAAATCTGGATCCATAGAAGGATGTTGAACATGGAACCAGTCAGAGCTTTCTTCACTTACTGCTCGTTGAAGTGGCTGATAAAAAATATTCCATTTAATATTCATAAAATATATATTTTAGGTGGATTTCTAAAGCAATACAAGCTATCACCACTCTGATAGAAAGCTGTCTGCCATCAATTCCGTGTTTGACCTTCAGCTTTCAGTGGCAAGAGTGTTGCACAAATGCTGATAACATATATGGGATGTTTCAAATATTTTATTTTGTTAAACATTTTAAGAGTATTGCAATGGAAGAGGATTTTAAGTTATTTTTTAACCACAATTTTCTCATGCTTTTTTCACATTTTAAAACCTTATTTGAGATTTTTTAAAATGACTATGTAGGATAATGGTATATATACAATAATTAATTATAATCAATACCTGATTTTCTCCTTGTCTGCCTGGTTTTGGGGGTGGAGTCCTAGAAACAGCAACTCCTGGGGTATGTGGTAACAACCTTCTCTCCTTAGCCATAGGACCAATAAATACCCTCAATTTCTTGTCAGCTACTTCTATTGTGGAACCTCAACAAAAAAGTTTACACTTCTTAGGAATTGAATTCAAATTGTTCTAAATTCAAAATTTGTTGTTCAAATAATCTATTATTTCCTTCTTATAGAACTTGACAAATTTGGTCATAAAACAACAAATAATTAAAATTGAATTCAGTAAAATAAATAACACGAAAATTAGGGAAATATTTCAATGAAAGCAAAACAAGTAATAAAACCCACACAGAGCTGATTTTCAGTTGTAATAATTTTCATGCATTAGTCTGGTATGAATGAATGATTTAATTAATATACTTTTTATATACTGCACCGTTTTCCACAACAATCCATTATGCCTTTGTAATAAGGATCATGGATATATATTCAAATGTAATATTTGAGTGTTTATATATAGATTCTACCACTGTATTGAGTGTGATATGATATTTATCCACTCGAAACGGTTAAATTTTCAAATTTAATACGCGAGGCTTACTGAGCATTTTAAATATTTAAAATTTAACTGTCGAGAGTGGATAAATATCTTATTGCACAAGATTTGGTGACAGAATCTGTGTCTCTAATGATTTTTAAACGGTATGCAGACAAATTGGATCCTTCCTTTCGAATGATCTGCAAAAAGATGTGTTCTTTCTATGTGACTTCATCAGGCATGGTCACCTTTTTTCATGACATCACAATAGGAAATTCAGAGGAAAGCAAGAAAATTTGACGTCATAATCAACCATTGACCAATAGAGAACCGAGATCAAACAAACCATTAGTTGATTAAATAAAAATAATCAACAGGTCAGGAAAAGGATAAATCGTGTAAGAATTAGAGAAATACATATATTCAACAGAGGCTTATTTTGTAAATAAAATTTTGGTTAGCACTAGAAAAGGCTCAATTTCATCTCTGAGAAAATAAACCAATTGACAGTATATATATATGTTATATGAGACTGCTACTGCATTTTTCTTTACATGGTCTTTATTTACAGACCAAAATTAACTGTTGGAAATAAAAAATTATCATTATATCATATTTTGGAAGTTCTTGCCAATTTTTTGTTGCTATTTTATCTATTGATTTTTTCAAGGAAATTTACTTAACTGATTCATGAAACTCAATATATGAAATTTTACTGATATTAAGGAAATTATGTACCGAACATAGAGTGACGAATTTTGTGATTCATCATGATTATGACGGTTTTACATAAAAGTTATATAATTGGAACATAGATCACAAACAAAGATACCTACAGGAACTATTTCACGTATTTCATTTCAAACATTTGTTTACCTCCTAACAAGTTTATCTCAGAAGTTAATCTTTCCTTGTTGACAAAACAGGAAACATCTTTATTGTGTGAGGTTAACATCAATCCACCATGGTGACACTTGGTTAGCATAAGTAATGGAACTACAATTCCTGACGGAAGATCTGTAAATCTATCAGAAGATGACATTGGAGCTGTCTGTACATCGCCATCTTGTCCAAACCCTAAAGATATAACAAAGTCAACTAAAAAGAATCTGTATCAGGAACAAAGAGTAATCAATGTCAAGTCTAGAGTGTACTAGTCTAGAATTTCCAAGTTTGGAAAGGACTACAACTCATCCAACCAAACAAGAGGGGTTGGATTTTGTTTAAAGAATAAAGGATTACTAAAAATAATGTATAGAGAAAATGGGCCAAAAGTATAAAGAATAGAGAATAAACTAGGTGCTAAAATATTAAGAATAGAGAATAATGGGTCAAAAGTATAAAGAATAGAGAATAAACTAGGTGCTAAAATATCAAGAATAGAGAATAATGGGCAAATCAAATCAAGTCACATCCAGACCCTCAAACAATTCCTGTCCATGCCCATGGTTTTACCTAATTTGAATCTAAAAATATTAAGTGTATTTGAAATACCCAGAAAATACTTTTCAATATCTCAAGCATACAAAACTATATATGCATGATGTCTAAAAGAACAAAAATCCAATATTAAAGACTAATTTAAAGACTTAATGTTATATTTTCTAAACTTATTACTTTGGCTAAATGTGATCACTGCAAAAAAAATTGGAAGCCATGTTAAGAAGATGACATTCTTGAATCAATTCTAGAAAATAAGTTTTATCCAGTTTTACATTTCTTTTGTTTTTTCAATTGAATACAGATTTTTTTGGGGGCAAGACTTTTCTTCTTTAACTGAATACTCCCCAATTTTTAAGAGCTATCATTTGATACTTATGGAAATTCAAATTTGAATACTTAGTGTTATAATATATTGTACATTAAATATCAGGTTTTCATCATTTCAAAATTATAAGTTTAACTACAATTAAAATATTTATCTCTGCATTTAAATACTGAAACCATTTATAGTATTGTTTTAAAAGACAATTTCCTGAAAGTCAAATATATATCTGATCAATTAAAATATGGTTATGCACTTTAATGATAAAACAAAATTTCAAGTGTGTGCACTTAAGAAACTCCTTAAATAAATATTATAAAAACATAATAAAATTTGTGATATGAGAACAAAATGTACTTTAGAACTTAACAATGAAAATTCTTCGAAAATTTGGTGTGTTTGTAGCAGCTTTCTGGATTTACCTTCATCAGGAATGTTTAAACACAAAAATTTGAAAGCCAGGCAAGGATGTATCAATAATTGAATACTTTAAGAGCTATATGACAGAAAGGGACCTGAAAAGAATGGCCATATCCATCATAACGAAATTTGTAGCACCTGACACAGAACATTTTCCTCTTATAGTATCAGTCAGCATTAAAATGTCATTTTAAATATGGCACAGTTATTAAAATTGTTTTGTTTTATAAAGGCAAGCAGGTCGGACAGTTCAGTAAAACACACACAGGTTACAACTCACCACTGTTGAACTGATGATTAAATATGAAAAGAAATGTGTGACAAAAATTTTAAAGTTTATTCAACATAATTATTGAAAAATTTCAGGTGTAGGCAACAAGGAGTAGGTGTCTGACAAATCAGGAAAGTGCTCACACTTTACAACCAATAATTGTCAAGCTAATTGAACAAATATAAAGTTATTCTGTTCAGTTAAGTACCTGAGAAAAGTGTGATGGAAATGTTTGTTGGAAACAACTGCATTTTGAAAAGTTTTAGGCATGGTTGGACCTAGATATATTGAAGTTATATGCATAAAGTATTATGTAACTTTGGGGGATTTTTAGATTCATTTTTTTCAACTCTGTAGAAATAGTCAAAAATGCCAAAAGTTCATTTGTTAAGGTCCACTCAGTTACACCAGAGACATATATACACATGTGTATATGTCTCTGGTTACACTGTTTAAAATCACCTATTGCTGCCCAAATGTCTATTAGAGGGGCAGATTTAGGGGTAGAGGGGCATAGGCCCCCCTTTATGGAGCTACATATATGGTTAATGCATACTAGATGATCATAAGACTTTTTTAATACAAGTCCCACTCATAATGTTGCCTGTGTGGACCCCCCTTTTTTAAATACCTGGATCTGCAACTATATTGTCCATTTCAATTACTACAATTCAAAACAAATATAACCTGAGGGGAACAGCTTTTAAAACCATTTTCCCCCAACATATTTATTTTAACAACTTCTGTATATCATCGAAATACAATGTACATAAAATACAAGTAAAACTTTTAACTCTCTGAAACACAGGACGCATTTAAATTTTGTATATTAATATCCAGTCGTGCCTTTAAAACTTTTTAAGTAGCACAAGTTTGTCTGTACATGTACATGAATAAATTTTTAGGTGTAAAAATGGTTACTGAAAAAGGTTATGAAGAACCTAAATTTACTCGTCTTTCCCCAGTGATTTGACTTTTCAAATACCTATCAAATGAAGTTCCTCTGTTCCCTCTATCTTTAAAACCGTACTGTCCGTGATATTCTTGATGTGAACTATTGGTATTTTATCCATCTTCTTTCATTTTAATTTTGTTGACAATGGTCACATGTTACTTTCAGTTTGAAATGCATCCGGGTGACCTACTTTCGTTTTTTTTTAAATCAAAGCCCTGAAGTACTATTTTGCTTAAAGCATTTCAAGATATTTTTATTTCCAATTATGGGCCCCAAAGGGCATAAACATTACAACATCAATAATTTTTTCATAATACAATACAAACAATGAGATAAAAAAAAAAGTTAAACGAGAACTATTTAAGTTCTTAAAGAATACGTAGATAAAGAATCTATAGTATGTTGTTTTTTTTAATACTAATGCAATTTATTGCAAGTGTGGTTGATATAGATAACAAACAAGCAGCCCAAAAAGAAAAAAAGAAAAATAGATATCCACATATGTATAGTACACAAAAAGTTGGATCAATTAAATATATAATAATTAGCCAAAAAGAAAGTAGAAATTAAACATGTCCATGACTCATCCTGTGTCAGCAGCAAATAGGAAAGCATTATGGTTTCCTAAAGGCAGCTGACACCAAGGGCGATACCTTATGGGCCATAGGCATGTAAAATGTGTGTAAATGTCTCTTTCCTACCTGTATCAAAAGCAAACAAGGAAGCATCATAGGTAACTTGAATGCAGTTGATACCAGGGGACGATGCCTCAAGGATTAAGAGAACATTTGAATAAATAATATATCTTAACAATTATTTTTTTTTTTAATCGGCTAGTATGTTTGTGATATTCAGATGAATATAATTTTCTATGTCCAATCAAATGTATATACACACATAGATTTCCTTTAACTAATCTTCACTAAGGAAGATGTTTGTATATAAAATTACATATTATTTTAAGTAACTCAACATTTTCTACACTAAATAACCAGATAATTTTGCTTTGACTGTTCATATGATTAAAATAAGAATTATATTGTGCAATACTAGCTAACATACAATTTCTATCATCCTCAAATTTGTTACAATCAAATAGAAAATGAGCCTCATCTTCGACAGTATTGGAAGAACATTTATTACATATTCTGTTAATTCGGGGAATACCCTGATATCTACCTAATTCTATTTGTAATCTATGAGAAGATACACGTAATTTAGTAAAACTTCTTCTAAGTTCAAAATTCTTGATCAATGTTAGATATTTTTCAAAACCAAAATTTGTTTTATATAAAAGGTAGGTTTTCAGTTTACTGTCTGAAAATTTATCTATTTGTTTTTTCCAACAGCTAATAAACAATATTGATAGCTTGGTTTGTATATATTTCTTAAATTTGTATAAGGATTCACAAAATGGAGCATTTATGGCATTTGTATAGTCAATACCAAGTATTTTAAAAACAACATTTATTGAACCATACCATGATGTTATATTCATGTGATGTAGTGTCTTTGATTGTGTATATGCCTCTTTTAATAGAGGAAAATTATTACCTAAATTCTCTAATCTATACCAGTACAATAACATTCCTTTTATAATATTAAAATATATTGGAAAATTTAAAGAACTTCGGACATTAAATTTAAAGAACTTCGGACATTAAATTTCAAGAACTTCGGACATTAAATGATTTCACCTTTTGAAACTATTTTGAATTCCATTCTTAGGTCATGCGAGCTTTTGCTATCCCTTTGCGTCCGTCGTCCGTCCGTCCGTCCTCCGGTGTAAAAAATTTCAAAGATCTACGTACTCTCAAACCACTGGATCAATTTCAACCAAACTTTTAGAGAATGATCCTAAGAGTATCTTGTATAAAGTTTGTTTTCATTCTGGTCAGCCAACAAACATGGTCGCCATGGCTAAAAAAATTAGATAGGGGTGAAATTCAGTTTTTGACTTATAGCTTAAAAAAAATAAAGCAGTTAGAGCAAAACTGACAGGGTAAAAATAATCAGTAGTACAAGATCGAACTTCTGCTATTTTTTTTTATTTTTAGAAAAATAAGGCAAAACAGTATGGAGTTATTATCCCTGATGTGTCAATTTTTGGTCACTTTCAAAGATTTTGGCTTATATCTCAAAATCTAAACCAGTTAGAGGACATAAGACATGGGTAAAATTCTATCCCCTCCATATTTTTCAGAAAAATCGGACTACTTATAGTTATTGCCCCTGAAATGCAGTTTTTTTCTTCAAATTTCACTGTTTTTTGTTATTATCTGGAAAATTATAACTGATAGAGAGAAATTTGAAACAGTAAAAAAGACCAGAACAATAAGATCTACAAATATGTCAAAATGGACGAATTGTCAATTGGCCCCTTATATGAGTTATTGCCCTTGGAACACGAATTTTACTCATTTTTTGCAGAAACTATAATATATGCAGAGAAATTGTGAGCAGCAAAAGTTTTCAACAAAATAGGATCTACAAATAAGTCAAATTAACTGAAATTGTCAATTGACTGTTCTATATATAGTACAGAAGTTATTGCACTTGAAAGATGTTTTTTTTCCATCTTTTCAATTTTTTTACAGAAATCATGGTAGATAGAGAGAAATTGTAACGAGAAAAAATGTTTAGCACAATAAGATCTACAAATAAGTCAAAATGGCTGATATTGTCAACTGACTCCTTTTTGGAGTTATTGCCCTTGAATTTAAAATATGACTCTTTCTATTTGAGCAGTTTTTGCACAAACTAAAGTAGATAGTGAGAACAGTAAAAAAGCAAAACTTTCAGCAAAATACAATCTGCTAGTAAGTCAACATGGCCAATTATTATCACACTATACAGTATGGTCTAATCTATAATTACTGATTGAGTCCTATTCCTGATTTTGACATTTTGATTGAGGGTGGATTCTGATGGCGGGTGATGCATCCATAGCAGGAGACGCCTGCCCTGACGAGGCACTCAGTCTTGCGTCCTTTCGGTGTCAGTGCTATTCTCTCAGTTTCTTTTCTTCATTTGTCTTCCTCATGCTCAATTTATTAGATTTGAACATCGGTAAATATTTGCTGATTTTTGAAGGCTGTATGGTAAAGTTGAAAGGTAGAAGATACAAAGGGTTAATTAAAAAAAAAACCCTTAAGTATAAGAATCGAAGCATTGTTGATGTTGTGATCCAGCCAATTTTGTAGCTAGTCTGACATTTTTCTGACCTCACTTTCAATATTTTGTTTTTATTTTCATTTTTATAATCTTTAATACTGTAAAATTTCTATTCAAGTGCATAAAGATTGAGAATTTCGCAATATTGATGCAAATCATTTGAATATTTCAATTTTAGACAGTGTCAGTTTTTTTTTAAATCTTCTATTTTTAGAAACATTTGCAATTCATTGATTTTGACAAGAATGGAAAGGGAAATCTTCAAGCAAGTATCATATTTTTTAAATGCCATTAATGATAATTGGCTTGATAATTTCCAGAAAGCAGCATTGAACAACAACAAAAATTTAAAAAAATAAATAACTATTTTTTATCTAATTGGTGTTCATTCTTCATTAAGAAAACATACATTTCCTGTATTCAAAAGTACATGTACAAATACCTAATATTTCAAATTACTGTTGAATAGCAATCTAATGGGGAATAAACAAATAAATTTTATAGCAGAAAATACTCAGGTAAGCATGTTTATTGTTTCAACCAAATTACTAATAATAGTAACTTTAAAAAATAGACCTTAATTATTGACTTATGCCAGATGATTATGACACTGATTTTACAAGTGAAATAAAATCTGCTTGCATTTTTTATACATGTTGTATTTTTTGTCTTTTCTTTACAAAAAAAAACCCACATCTAATTAATAATCATTCAGCTTTTACACAAAATTAACAGAACTATTTCATGTAGAGTGGATCAAAATAAATAATTATAGGTATACTACTGAGGTCAAAAATTTGTATATTCAGTTAGATGTGTAATAAATTGTATATTCAATTATGTAACAATATATGCACAAGAGATATTATTACAATGGTCAATTAAGACTGCATTAGAGTGGAGTTGATTCCATTTAATAATTACACCATCGAGTGTAATTGTTTGAAAATCATGACAGTTTTAATCATAATAATATACTCTTACTTCTCCGAGGAATGAGTTGGAATAATAGCATTTAAAAAAAGTGTGGGAATCAATACACATCTTGAACCAAAATGTATTTAATAAATTACACAAACATAAGATACTGATAAAATACTTTCATAATTCTTATCAACTTAGCTTAAATTTGATATATATCACCTTTTTTCATTAATTAATAAATTGCAATTTTACATAAATTTTGTTTTATAAAGGAACTATATGCAAGTGTATATCTAAGATAAAGTAGCTGTTCAACCAACCTTTTCTTAATTTAAGGGCAAATAACATGTCAAAAGTTGGCAGTTGATGATTAAAATGGTGTAATAAGTTTCTGCAAGTCATAAAAACACATAATTAGTTTCATTATATGTCTTCATCTTAAAATACTGCACCATCTCCAAATCCAGAGTGATCACATAGATCCAGCATGGCTGAATCAAAAACAGATTACAAACACCATGAACAAACGAAAACACAATTCACAAAACACAATACAGAAAACTTAATGATTGAACAGCATGAACTCCACCAAAAGCCTGGGGAGATTTTATCTATGTATTCTTATTTGCTTAGCATAACTGATTCATTTATCAATCTATCTTTTTTTTTAAGAATAAACATTGCATAAGTGATAAAAATTTATAATTTAGTTCGCCTTGCCCAAAGTGCAATGTGAGCTATTGCCATAGCTTGGCGTCCATCCGCCTAAAAATGTTAAACATTCCTCTTCCTCTGACACCACTTGTTAAATTTTAAGCAGGAATGATCTTCTGCAAACTACCCTTGTTTGGGTTTCAGCTGGATGATAAACATGATCACCAAAGGCAATCTTTAATTCTTTGCCAATGTTAAAAAATCTTCTCCGCTGAAGCTACAATTTGTAGTGCAACTTTAGGTGGTCGATGATTTGAATATAATATAAATCAAGTGGCAAACAAATACGGTTTGTGGCACATAGTTCCCATTGAAACCCTTATGTGCAGCTCAAATCTTATTCTTTGTAACTGCTTCTTCAATTCTAACTAAGCTTGGTAGGAATGATGTTTAGTAGGTTCTCTTCAATCGATCATCTGAATGGAATGGAAACGTGGTTGCCGGAAGGCAATCTTTGATTAAAGTTGCTGAAAAATTTTCAAAAGTCCTTTCCTAAACTACAATGAAAACTGTTTAGAACTGATAAATGATTGAAGTTTTCTCAATAAACAGTCTTTATTTAATGTTGACGAGGATAGAGGCAAACAAGGCGGCATTGGTGGCACAAAATTTGCATCTAAACTCTATGGAAAATCAGATTTTTATTTACAATGTACTAGGTTAATTCTAATTAAACTAGGCAAAATGATCTATAGAAAATCATCTACAAACTATCCTTATTTGATTTTGATCGGATGAAAAATATAGCTATAAAGGGCAATTTGAATCTTTTACTCTGATTGGCCAAAAACAATTATTAAATGAAATGTTTTCAAAACTTTAAGGGATAGATGAAAACAAGCAAACTGAAGCTTAATTTGTCAGAGGTCATCTTCACTTGACCAATGAAGGCCCAGGGTAAGTTTTTGTCAGGTGAGCAATCATTTCACATTTGTAGGAGCCTCTACTGTCTATTCTACCTTAATATTTAGTTCAGAGTTATGATGGGCATGTTTTTTCTTTTGCGAGAGAAAGATCATAAAAGATATATCATTCAATAGTTTCAAGAATGTCTAGGCCAAGTTTGTTTTGAGTTGGCCCAGTAGTTTCAGCAATGTTTCTTTATACAGTTTAAAATGTCTGAAGCCATTTGATAAGAATTGTTGAGAAAAGATCACACCAAGCCTTTTGGCAAGTAATTTTACTATTACTTTGTAATTATCAACGAATTAAAATAATGCAAGCAGAGAAAATTTATCAAAGTACTAGGTAATATATAGAGTAGCAGTATAACTTATCTGAAAATCTACAAAATCCACAGTCTTCAACTAATCAACAATAGAAGAACTCTTACAATAAAAGGTATGTTAAAAATATCAACTAAAATGTCACACTTTGCTAATTTGAGTATAGGTACCAGAAGAAATATTGTTGGAGACTGCATGAACTTCTATGACCTTTTGCCATAAATAAGACTAGTTTAACATAAGTAAAAGAATTACAAGAAATCCCAAGACAGTCAATTTTTAATTCTTTACATTGTTCTGACCCTAATTCTGAAACAAAGAAGACCAGGGTATATTTAATCTGTATTATTTTGTCATGCTCCTCGTCATATATAAAACTGTTCTAGAATATACCGGTACTGTAGCCTGATTTAAAGAAAGGCAGTTTTAAGCAAGACATTTAATTTATCATGACAGCTTTTTACACAAAACTCAGTTGAACCATACAATTTTTAGCTCACCTGACCTGAAAGGTCAAGTGAGCTTTTCTCATCACTTTGCGTCCGTCGTCTGTAAACTTTTACAAAAATCTTCTCCTCTGAAACTACTGGGCCAAATTTGACCAAACTTGGCCACAATCATCATTGGGGTATCTAGTTTAAAAAATGTGTCCGGTGACCCGGCCAACCAACCAAGATGGCCGCCATGGCTAAAAATAGAACATAGGGGTAAAATGTAGATTTTGGCTTATATCTCTGAAACCAAAGCATTTAGAGCAAATCTGACATGGGGTAAAATTGTTTATTAGGTCAAGATCTATCTGCCCTGAAATTTTCAGATGAATTGGACAACCTGTTGTTGGGTTGCTGCCCCTGAATTGGTAATTTTAAGGAAATTTTGCCATTTTTGGTTATCATCTTGAATATTATTATAGATAGAGATAAACTGTAAACAGCAATAATGTTCAGCAAAGTAAGATCTACAAATAAGTCAACTTGACCAAAATGGTCAGTTGACCCCTTAAGGAGTTATTGCCCTTTATAGTCAATTTTTAACCATTTTTCGTAAATTTTTGTAATCTTTTACAAAAATCTTCTCCTCTGAAACTACTAAGACAAATTTAACCAAACTTGTCCACAATCATCATTAGGGTATCTTGTTTAAAAAATGTGTCCGATGACCCCGCCCGTGAACCAAGATGGCCTACATGGCTAAAAAATAGTACATAGGGTAAAATGCAGTATTTGGCTCATATCTCTGAAACCAAAGCATTTAGAGCAAATCTGATGAGTATAAAATTGTTCATTAGATCAAGATCTATCTGCCCTGAAATTTTCTTACCAATCAGGCAACCCGTTGTTGGGTTGCTGCCCCTGAATTGGTAATTTTAAGGAAATTTTGCCGTTTTTGGTTATTATCTTGAATATTATTATAGATAGAGATAAACTGTAAACAGCAATAATGTTCAGCAAAGTAAGATCTACAAATAAGTCAACTTGACCAAAATTGTCAGTTGACCCCGCCCACGAACCAAGATGGCCGACATGGCTAAAAAATAGTACATAGGGTAAAATGCAGTTTTTGGCTCATATCTCTGAAACCAAAGCATTTAGAGCAAATCTGACATGGAGGTAAAATTGTTCATTAGGTCAAGATCTATCTGCCCTGAAATTTTCAGGCCAATCAGGCAACACATTGTTGGGTTGCTGCCCCTGAATTGGTAATTTTAAGAAAATTTTGCAGCTTTTGGTTATCATCTTGAATATTATTATAGATAGAGATAAACTGTAAACAGCAATAATGTACAGCAAAGTTAGATCTACAAATAAGGCAACATGACCAAAATTGTCAATTGACCCCTTAAGGAGTTATTGCCCTTTATAGTCAATTTTTTACAATTTTCATAAATTTTGTAAATTTTTGTAAATTTTTACAAAGTATTTTCCACTGTATCTACCGGGCCAAGTTCATTATAGATAGAGATAATAGTAAGGAGCAAGAATGTTCAGTAAAGTAAGATCTACAAACACATCACCATCACCAAAACACATCACCATCACCAAAACACAATTTTGTCATGAATCCATCTATGTCCTTTGTTTAATATGCACATAGACCAAGGTGAGCGACACAGGCTCTTTAGAGCCTCTAGTTTAATTATTTTGTGAAAGGTTGTGTCAACTCCACTACCTCTATAAATAATTTTATGAGGTGCTTCAAAAACATTATGCCTGCGCCCTGTCCCAAACAGATTTGTTTCTGGTATAGCCCTCAGTCATTGTTAGAAGAATCTGGAGAACTTATATGGTATCATGCTACATACACAAACCCACACATATATAATTGATATAAATGGTATAATATTTTTTATATCAAAAATTTGGTTCAATTTCTATTTACTTCATCCTTTATTCTAAACAGTTTCTAACGTGTCTACTATGTTGGAAATGTATTCACTACATTTTCATTGACCAGTGTTCATGTGAAGTTTGTTTTCAACTGCCTCAAAGTTTCTGAGTAGTTGTTAGCTAATTTTACAGAGGTAAACACATATGATCCTTCAGACCAGGTGAAAATGTACAGTTACACTTTAATCCATCAACTATTAAAATATGTTCTTGCAACAAAGATATTTATTACTCCACAATATCGAAGACTAGAAAATGTTTTCCAAAATCCATTGTATGTTCTAAAAAATATTCAATGTACTATACTAGGAGTGTAAAAAATAATACTGACAACAAATGTAAATGAATCCTTTTAATAAATGTTATACAAGCCTGCTTGTACAAATAAAACTTGCAATATTTTAGAAATCAAATTCTACATGATGAATCAGATTAACTACTTTTCAAATCATCATCAGTACAATGAAGTAAGAAAACACAATATCCCTATACAAAATGTTGGACATACAAATCAAAACATAACTGCAATATGATGTTGCCTTTTGATGCGTTTAGAAGAAGAAAACAATGCAGGAATGTTATGATCTTTAATGAAAACTTCAAGTGAAAAGAATGACATAAAATAAATAAAATTTTAAAAGTATTTTGTAATCCATGTTATTTCCAACAAACTAAAAAAATAAGTTGTGTTTTATAAATTGCTTGGACTGCAAAATTAAATAAAAATATGGGTATAAAATTATAGAATAAATAATTGTCTCCTTTTCTTTAAAGGTAACTTCTATTTTTCTTGCCACTGGACGTTAAGCAACCAACAATCAATCAATCTATTTTTCTTTTGTTTCTTAAATCTTAATATGAAACATAGCTATATAGCTGACAGTTTTTCAATTTATTATTAGGAAAACACCATTGTGCACTAAATAATGCACTAACTTTGGTCTGGCGTCAAATCTTATTTTAACGATTTTTTTTACGATTTTCAGAAGGCTTCAGACAATCAAAATCACTCCCTAGGAATCACCAAAAGCATGATCCTGTTTACATGTTAGTTGACAATCACTATAATGATCTTGATATAATTTCTGATAATCCTATATCTAATATATCCATACAACATTTAATCTCTGATGGAGAGTAGTCTCATTGTAAATAATGCCACATCTTCTTATTTCTATATTAAAGAGATACAAAATTCATCAAATTCTGATATGCCAGTACTAAAGATCAATTAATCTTTCATAAGTCAACATTTAAAAATCAATGCTTTATCAATAAGTTTTTTAAATGTACTTTGGCATAAATATCAAATATGCGATAAACACAACAATTTAGTCTCCCTTGATTTGCTTAAGTGTGGTAAAATTCTGTCCATCTAATGTTCATGTCACTCTCAATATCATTTTTGCATTGTAATGAACAAAAGTTATTCTAATGAGTATGCATGTACATCAAATATCAGGCATCCTTCTCTCTTTCATAATTTACACTTCTAGATGGCGCTGTAGGAAACAGTCTCTGACATTGTGTCATTAGTCTTTTTAATCCCTAGAAAAAAAAATCAAACAAAATACCAGTAAAAATTTTGATTAAAGGTATAATTACAATTATCTCAAATATCATTTTAATTTTTGTCTGAATTCTAGCTTTCATAAAATATCTTTAACAGAAATATAACAGAAAAACAGTGCTGTTTGGATGTACAAGTACAAGTACCCGTCCACTCTGTGTTTTTGTTAGATGTATTTCTATTTGTATCTATCTGATGAGTTAAGCCTTTTTCAACTAATTTTTATAGTTTGTTCTTATGTTGTACTGTTACACCACTGTCCCAGGTTAGGGGGAGGGTTGGCGCCTTCAAACTAGTTTAACCCTGCCACATTCTGTATGTGCCTGTCCCAAGTCAGGAGCCTGTAATTCAGTGGTTGTCGTTTGTTGCTGTGTTACATATTTGTTTTTCGTTCATTATCTTGTACATAAATTAGGCCGTTATTTTTCTCGTTTGAATTGTTTTACATTTGTCATTTCTGGGCCTTTTATAGCTGACTATGCAGTATGGGCTTTGCTCATTGTTGAAGGCCGTACGGTGACCTATAGTTGTTAATTTCTGTGTCATTTGGTCTCTTGTGGAGAGTTGTCTCATTGGCAATCATACCACATCTTCTTTTTAATATTCATTCTATTGTAAAACTGTCTACAATCAATCATTCACTGATTCATTCTTCTTCTCACTTTCAGCTTACACTAGGCTTACAAATAATGCAAGAGGAAAATTTTATACAGCAGTAATTTCCATTAAACATTTCCTACCATAGAAACAAGATCTAGAATAGTGGAATCTAACATTTAAAAACTTTAGATACTTTTTTTAAGTGCTGAAATTGTTATTGACAGCAATTGTATTTTGAGGGCACTTTCAGGCTTATTTTGACCCACCACATTCTGTGCCTATTTTCCAATCTATCAAAGACCATAACTCCTGAACGGCAAATGTGAAAATCATTATATTGAATTTGATCTCTATTTTGTCATAAGTTACAACATATTCAAATTATGAAAAACCATTGGTTGAACGGTTAGTAGACAATTACACGGAAACAACATAAAGTGCAATTTTCAAATCTATCGAGGTCCATAACTCCTGAACGGTAAAAGTGAAAATCGTCTTTATTGATCTAAACATTCATTTTGTATTCATTAACAACATAATAAAATTTGAAAAGCATCGATGGGACAGTTCATAAGTTATTGCACTGAAACGACATAAAGTGTCATTTTCCAAGGACAATAACTCCTGAAGGGTATAAGTGAAAATCGTCAATATCAAACTTGACCTCAATTTTATCATCAGTAACAACGTGTTGAAATTTGAAAGCATTGGTTAAACAGTTCATAAAGTTATTGCACAGAAACTGGTGGCAGTCGCCAGCCCAACCAGTGTACTTCACCAAATTAATAACAAGAATTTTCCTTCAGATAATATGATACAGTAATAAACCTGACTTACCTGCATATATTTTCTCTGAGTTTCGTCATTTAACACATGGGCTACATATCTTGAAGAAATCTTTTCACGACCAGTACGAGCGTGGATACCCACCATAGTTACCCCTATTGGCCATGGTGCATTACCTATAGCCATTTCTAAATATGCATCATTTGCCTGAAATGGATAAATCATGGTTCTCCATAAACACAGAAAGCAGTTTAATTGTTAAACTGATTTCATGTTTCACAGCATAAAATTACTGGAGTAGGTATTTTTATTTCTTTTTGCCATTATTCTAGTCTGTAGCTACATTTTTTTAAGAGGATATCTATATCAAAATGGACATGTATTTAGAACTAACAAGGAATGGCCCTAATAACTGATTGCATGAAAGATGCATTTTAACACAAAATTTGTTCAGTTGACTTAAATTTCCAACAGTTAATATTATCTCCATAAGTATTTACAGACAAACAATAAGAAACCCTGCTTTTTAGAAAACATTCTATACTGATGTAAATGTCTTTATTAATCACTGCAGATATTGTGTCAACTTTCAAGATGAAGAACAGCATTAAAATCTTCATATTTTATTGTCTCATTCATAGTATGATGTAATCCCACATAAATTAATGAATATATTCCAATTTTCTTGAAATCTTGAAAACTATATTTAAATTTTCTAAATTATGAACCCATAACTTCTGACTACAACAAGGCTGTGAATGTTAAAAAAAATCATTCCAAAAATAAAAAAATAATTTAACTGACAAAAGTTTTTCCAAAATCACAGGTATGCATTTAATAGTCATAACTTGGCTGTCCACCAACAAAGGGAATCTGTTTAAATTATGATTTTAAAACCTTCCATAGTCTATGATTATACTCATTAAGTGTATTTCTAAGCCTTGCAAAGTCTGTGATAATATTCATGGAGCAGAAATGTTTATGAGTATTTGGAAGAAGGCTTGTTTGCCTTTGTGAGATTTAGATTGTCTTCATAAATCGTAAACTCATCAGATCAAACCATTTTTTACTGATGTTTCACGTGCTGTATGATTAACGATTTATGTTTGTAAATTTGGAATTGAACATATATATGTCACTGAATTAGAATAAATTCAATGATTTATTTACACTTTTTACTGGTGAATGGAGTATTCTATACAATTTTTACCTGCTGCTGTCAAATAAAACATGAATTAAATGATAATGTAGAGCACTGTCAGGCATGCCCCCCTTTCCCTAAAAAAGAAAAAAAAAAAATATATTAAAGGTAAAATTAGGGCAAATTTTGTGTCCAAAGAAGGTCCTCTAATTCCTAGAAGGGGAGCTCCCCCCTAACATCAAATAATGGATTCGTCCCTGACTGTAAGACTTTTTACATTTGATCATGTTTTCAGCCATCGCTTGTTTTCTTAAAAACACCTATCATTCCATCGATATCTTCATTGGTAACATAAACACACCTTAATGTAGTCCTTCTTCATAAGCTGCTTAATAATGCTAACCATTGGGTCTAAAATGTCTTCTTCTACTTTCTGAAAAAAATATGAAAGAAACTTTAACTTTACTATTCATACATCAAAATGACTTTAAAATACTGTAAATTCAGAAATTTCTGTGTGCATTTATTATTGTGGTTGTTGAATTATGAAAATAACAGCGAGATTAATTATTATGATTATACAGGAAATGCTGATAAGCAAATAAATTGGCTCTGTGAAAAAACATGAAAGAAGATATACCCTTAGGTGTATAAATATCACATCAAATATGTTTGATAATAATTTCAAAGTCACTGAAGCAACAATTAGGTGTTGAGACCTTAAACTCTGCTTGCAATGGAGATGCATGAAAAGTTTAATAATGCAACAGTTTTCCAAATATCCACTGTTTATCATTGGAACATATAGTTTAAGCAGCCGCTAAGATTGGCAACATCGAGCTATAAATTAATTCAGAGTTGTTATTTTACACAATGAACATATACTGACCTTATGCTTCAGATTTTTAAAAAGAGGTTTCATATAAGCTACTGTCTGTGTTTGAATAGCATATTCTTCACGACCCTTCCGAGATGTTTTTTCCTCTTGTGGTTTGTTGTTTAATCTATCTCCCCATCCTTTCAGTATAAACTGCAATTGAAAAAAGAAATTTAAGGGGAGGGTCATTATAAGATAGCTTGCAACATGAAAGGCTTCCTAAAAATAGTTTCTTTTCAGGGTTCATATGGTGAAAAACATACTTAAAAGTAACATCTTTTTAGCTGTTCAATTCATAAAGAAATTATTTAAGAAACTAAGGCTCTAACTCCCTCAGGCAAAGTACCTTTTAAGGCTTCTTCTTATTTTTCAGCTCTTCAGTATTTACACATCCATGACTTTCAAATTGTGGGTTTCAAGCATTCCTGATGAATGTAAAACCAGAAAGCACGATGGACACACCAAAGTGTTATTTTTATTTACTAGCACTTGGTCAATGTAACTGCTGGTAGACTGTTAGTCCCACAGATTATCATTAGCCCAGTAGTCAGTACTTTGCCAGTAACATCATTTATAACATGTATTTCTTTGCAAATAACATAATTCATAACAATCATTTTTTAAATTTTCCAATGATAGAAATTATTAAGAAACTCCATCAGGCAAAGTTGACCTTGGAAAGTTTTGGCTATTCTTTTTTGGTAACTTCTGTTTATATTCCTTGAATTTCAAATTTTTGGTTTTGAGCTTTCCTGTTGAAGGTAAATCCAGAAGAGCACTTGTGACACACCATATCTATAAAATTTTATTGTTATCACTAAGGCTGGCTATTTTGAACTCACAGTATGTTCTTTGTTGATGGCCTCTGTTTCACAAAGCTTCCAGTTGTTAAATTATACTTATTGTCTTACTTACATAAACTCAAATTCCAATCAAAATCTCTTTGTTATGAAATAAAAATTGATAGGAAACAATTATGATATCATTTAACAGCTCTAGCAACTTTATATTATATTTAAAGTTGATTTTTTTTTAATAATGTTTGAAATCATTGAAAACTGGATCTGTTGGGAAGACATGAATGCTGCCTGCTGCTTAATTCCAAGAGCCGTAATTCCATGAGGACCCAAAACAAAACATGTTTTGCAACTTATTTTTATACAATCAGCTTAATATCTAGACATAACCAAAATAAGTCTAGACAACACTTGGATTCTGAAAAACAGAATGACATACATGGGTAAAACTAGGTGGAACAGCCAATTAATAGGGTTGCATTTTTTGGGAGGGGTTAAAAATTACTGCAAGATAGTAGTGCATTACATAACTTAAGTATTACCTTTAAAAACTTTAGGCAAATTTCCATGTCTTTCTCTGAATCACCTTGAGCCAATTGTTCTTGCATTTTCTACAAAAGATATTAAAACTTACCATAAAATTGACCGCAAAGTTCAAGATTTGTTTCCCTTGTTTAGGTTATGTCTTCTCCACTTTACAAAACTTATTACGAAAACAATAGTTGCATGCTTCATGTGAGTGTGGAAGGTTGTCTGTTTGATCCCAGGCATGGTCAAACCAGTGAAGTAAAAAATTGTATTTGCTGCTTCTTAGCTAAGCATACTGTATTTAGGAGTAGGTACAAAGACTGGTTAGCCAGAAGTTTGAATAATGTGTTCAGGTAGGATGACATGTCTTCATGCAGCCTGCTACCTTGTGAACTAGGAGTGGTATGTTAAAAATTAGGCTCAGTGTGTCAGTCTAGTACAAAGCAGTAAACACTGTTTTAATCTTATTTTTTAGAAGAAATACACCATAAGACATTCTTTGAAAACAGAACATGGATACTGCTGCTAAGAATTGAAAGCAGCTTTTTTTCAACTATAAATTGCAAATGTCATCCCATGAAATATTTTTTTACATTTATTACTGTTATTTGTTTATCATGTTTTTCTATGTTATACATGTATTCATATCATTATTCATATTCATTATCATATCATATTGACGCTTGACGAAAGACAAACCCAAATCAAGCACACCTTTTTACCTGCATGCTTTCTAGCTAAAGCCCAAAAATCCCTTCTTACCTGTAATATCTTTTCATACATGTATTCTGTATTCAGGCATTTATTTATAGAATAGATATTAGTGGGCATTTCAAATTACTTATAAAGCCATATAGGGAAAAAACTTGGCTACACAAGTTTTGGAACTAGTAGAAAACACATAAACAATATTTCACATACATCGATATCGTTCAATGTCGTACCATCATCTCTGACGTCTACATTTAGTTTTCCTTCACCTCCTTCTGATGTGGCAGCATTAACAATCTCATTCAAGTAATCTTGGTCAACTCTGTCCATTGCCATCTTAAAATCACTGCCTTCTCCCTGAAAATACAATATCAGAAACATATTAATTTAAAGCATTTAAACTCAAAGACATTCAATGAAGACTACAAGAAAATTTCCAATACATGTATTTTGTTCCTGGATTTTAACTATAAAACTGACATGTCAGCAAGGGCTCCTCTTGAGCATTTTTGTGTTAGGCACAGAGACTGGTGCATGGCATACAGCACAATTCATGTTCATGGACCAATCATATATCAATTTTCATAAATTGTTTTATGCCAGGAATTTATTCAGGATGTGTCCTTGATAAATAAAAAGTTTTGTTAAAATCTAAGCACTAAGTATTTTGGTAGGGATATCATAAATGGTTGGCAACTAATACTTTTTGAATGAGGGAATGATTTTGGAATATAAAATCATACCAACATTTCAAATTTCATTGAAATCATTATCTTAGCAAAAACATGTTTCTCAAAATTTACCATTTTTTTTACAAAAGATAAATTTGTACCACAATTTTGACATCAGTGATCAATTTGAAATGCCTAATTGCTAATTGCTTTGTATGCCATACATCTATGTTTTCACATTTTCCCAATTTTAATAATATCTATGTTTGACACCAGGAAACAGTTTTAAATAGCATTTTATACCCATATATCAATTTTTGTTGAAATCATAGCACAAAAAGTGTGTCTCAAAATTTTTCAATATCTTTTTAACACAATGAAAGTTTTTACAACAATTTTTTAACACCTTTGATATATTTGGTAAAGCTGATATGGCAAATTTTACCACCAACTCATAATAAAATAATATATTTTTGTCATTTTAAATCAATTTTGAAAAGCTTGTCTTAACCTTGATAGGAAACTTCCTTTTAAAAGTATTTACACTGTGCATTAAAAAAAGGTTAATCTGTTGAGGCAAAATTGACTTGACGTACAGCATAGAAGTGCCAAGGGAAATTCAGACAGAAATATAAATGCTGATAACTTCATGGCACTGCTGACATTTATAAACCTGTTTCATGGTGTTGAGAGTATAAAATCCTACACATGTGAAATATTTCTCTAAGTGTTAATGAAATATTTGATCTGGACATTGTTTCAGTGTATGTGTTACTGTAATTATAAGTAAAAGAGTTATATTTACAAAATATATTGGATGTGTAAACTCAGACTTTCACTCACAAACTTTACATAAAGTTTTTTGGACTTTATTCAGTTTGTGAGCGAGTCCACCAAAGTTTACACATCAATTAACTCTGTAAAAATAACCTTTATTACTATAAAGTACTAGTAATATTGATTTGAAAAAGGAGACAAAATTTCATTATTTAAGAAACTTTGATAAAGTCTATTTCTGACAAGATTAAATTGAATTTTCAAATAATTTACTTGTCTTTTAACCCTTTTTTAAATATTTTTATCAAATAGTCATACCTGTACTTGAGTAGTGCAAACATCAAATAATTGAACATTATGGCTATAGAATTGTATCCCTTCTGTTTGCTAGACACTATAGGATGACTTCTAATTTGAATAAATCATGAAACAATTTTACTCAAGTTACATCTACTTTTCGGAATTTTGGATCCAAAACACTCTTCAACTTTGTACTTGATTTGGCCATTTCACTTTTTTGATTCGAGCGTCCTTTGAAGACAAAATGCATTTCTGGCGTAAAAAATAATAAGCCTGGTATCTTTGATAAAATGTTTTCTACAATATGGCAACTTTATAGAGATAAAAGGCATACCTTCTTCCCATCTGGTTCAAGCGTCTCAAGTTTTTTCAATCTTACATAAGCCTCATAGTCTGTTTCCCCAAACAGCAAAATGGGCTCACCTCTTTCTCTTAACTTTCTCACCACCTGAAAATTTGAGATAAACAGAATTAAACTGTTTGAACTTGAAGTACATGTAGAAAAAAGATAAAAATACAGCAATATTTATTTTTAACAGTAACTAGTAAGTGTTAATTACAAAAATCTATTTATGGGTTGCATTATAAAAGGGCCAGTTGACAATGGTTGATAGAGGATAATTGACAGACTGTCGTATGTAAGGAATGTCCACGACTAAAATGTTGCAGACTCAACAAAAAGTATAGATGTAAGCAGCAAAAGTATCAAACTATAAAAGTATTGCAGAAAATAAAATTAATTACCTTGTAAACCTCTAAAAATGGCAATATAAAACAGATAAATAAATTATCATTATCCTGATTAAGAGTAATTTCGAGCAATTTGATTGGCTGAAATTATCCTAATAAATTTCAGTGCAATTTTTTATTAAGTCAATTGGAATTATCTCCCTTATACCATTGACCTAATAAAAAAAATAAGATTTTTTTGAGTTGCTTTATAGACTAAGTCCTAATATTTTTCATTTTTCAACAGTTTTAGATTAAATATTTAAATATATTTGGTTGATATTGTCCAAATAATTGAATTTGAATATAACAAGTGGTGATAAAACAAAATCAGGATAAATTCGTTACACAGTGTGCAATTGTCCTAATACGGAATTTATCAGGTCAATAAAATTCATATCGGGTTTGGCTTTGCTTCACCCGATATGAATTTTATTGACCCGATAAATTCACTTATTAGGACAATTGCACACTGTGTAACTAATATTCTTACAAAATTCCTTTTGATACTTTCATTGTTCAATTTTACCATATAATTTTTTTACTTCATTAAACCAATATTTCAGCCAAATACATAAATAATACCTCTTTCCTGGGCAACAGAGCATATTTTTGTTCGTCTTCCTCTAAAATCTTCTTTTCTTCTTCCTTCTGCTCTTCTTTCTATATGATTAATAGAAGTTATTAATTCAATGATAACATACATGTTCAATGAGATAAGGTGACCTCTTTGGTTAACTGCATGCAAGATATCAAACTAATTATACATTAGTCATTAGTGTGTGTTTATAAGACTTCTGATTTCATGAGCTTCTTACATTTTATATCAAATGGAAATATTGCTATTATAAATCAATTATAAAAGTCTAAGAGCTGATTCATAGAATTCAATGAACTTAGTTTCACTGTCATTTCTACTTCCATTAAAAATGGGGAAAGAAGGAGTCAAAAACTGATAAAATTGTTTGAATCCAATCAAGTTTAGTTGCCCCTTACAAGTCAGGAACCTCAGTCAGGTTGTCTTTGTCTCTAATTGATTTTTTGCACGTTTATAAAGTATGTCAGTTGAATTCATATACAACTTTTCCAGACCCGGGATCATTTATATCTTTCCACAATGAGATAACATGTCCATTTGTAATGTATAAATAAAGAAATAAGCTGACCTATGAATGTTTATTTCACATTGTTGGGTTGCTGTCTCACAACTGATCCCACCTCTTTTTTTATCAATATGAAATGACAGAGACAGAAGCTTGACAACTGTTACCATGGTTGTTCATGTTAAAACAGATATTCATATTCATAAATAGTCTTTTATAGCTGACTATGTGTTATGGGTTTTGCTCTTTGTTGAAGGACGAAAAATGACCTATAGTTGTTAACTTCTATGTCATTTAGTCTCTGGTGGAGAGTTGTTTCCTTGGCAGAAGCATACCTATGATGTCACCTTGTTTAGTTGCCAAACCAGCTTGGCCTACGTAAAACTTGGTTTTACTGTTGCAAATATCAGTTTACTTATCTCCACTAAGCCTCACTAGGTAAACTCAATTTGCGGCAGTAAAACCTATGTTTTAAGTAGGCCAAGCTTCAAATACAATCCAGTTATCTTTTCATGTCAACATGCTTGTCAAATATATCACAAGATTTGATTTATGTATATGAAAGACATTCATGCATGTATACTCTGTCATAATTTCATTTAATAGAAAACTTACTGTTTTTGCTAATTTTTCTGGTACTTTTAATCTCTGATGTTTCTTCCAATACTCTTCTTCTTCTTTTTTGGCTAGATCTCCTCTTTTAAAATATTTTTTATTTGAACTCTAAAAGTACAAATTAATAAACTTAAATATATATACAAATGTTTCTATTCAATTTATGGTGTTGAGTATCGTATGCCTACCTTTAATTCTAATTTGGGACAAGTTTATCCAAAGACAACTAGAAATGTCTGTAATGATAAATCATACATGTAATGATGACTGTGATGTTAGATCAAATATAAAAGGTTATCAGTTTATGATTGATTGAGGGGAAGAACACCACATTAAATATTTGCTTGTCATAGTGAGGTCTGAAAAGTTCAAAAAGGTTTCCTGTATTTTTTTTTTAATTTGGCGGCTTTAAACAACCTTCAAACTTATTAGACATGATTCATTCCTTGCATTTGGAGTTATACAGCTTTTGCAAATGAGCTCAACTTCCATCATTAGCAATGGGCTTGACAAAATTAAAGCCACCAAGGATTGAAACTTTTATTGTACATACAAACTAACAACAGAAATGAAAAGTAAGTCTTTTTTGTGTTGATACATGTCCTAATATGTTTGATATAATGGAAATATCATGCATAAAATATGCAAGAAGTGAACAAATTACGATATTTGAACTTTCTATCTTTCCTGCTTTGTGTAAATGTTGTGGAATATAATAGAGGGTCAAAATTTATAAACTTCAGTTACAGAGATGCAGCTAATCTTAGAATTTGAGAGGGCCTGGCAAATGATGTCTTTGAGTCAGACACAATGACTGGCAAATATATTTTCCTGTTTGGGGCTGTCAAAAATGAAATTTCTGTTGATCCTGGTTACCTCTCACACGAAGAATTGTATACATGTACATTGTACATATAAACAAAACAAGCTTTAGTCTTCTATAACTATTTTACAACTCCAGGATTCCCATTTAAATAATTTATTCGGACACCTCCTTTAAAGATTGGAAATTCCCCCCCCCCCCCCCCCAAGAAATTTGGAACCAAATAATATGATTGAATAATCCTACCCCGTTTCTACTTTTCTTAAATGTCACAAGTTATTTTAGTTCTTTTAACTCAATAATTTTATTTTTTTTTAAATCTCCGAATCATTACTTTAAATTCCAACAAATCAACACCAAAACTGAAAACATATTACAGTACTGCATTTTTATCAGGTTATCAACTACTACGTAACTAACGAAATAATACAATTTAAACTGCCGACATCGATTTACAAAATCTTAATGACTGCACGAGCTTTAGAATGGCTAGAAATACGACGCAAAAGTAAAGACAGCTGATCATGACTAGTGTAAAACTTTGATTTTCGTGTATTGATTGACACAATTCGTAAAATATGTTTATAAAAACATGATTTTCATTAAAATTTCAAACATGAAAATAGATAGAAAGGCAATATCTTTGTTATAATACAACGAGTGTCAACAAATCTGTTATTTCCATTATATGCAAATTTATTTACAAACAAAATCTAAAATAATGCTGGGACATACATGTAAAACATTGACGTGCATATGAAAAGTTTGTTAATTTTTTTTAAATATAAAAACTAGGATTCGAAACATGATCACGGCATTATAAATATTGTAATAAAAAACAATTGTTTCAAAGAAATTAACGGGAAATATGTCAAAATAGAAAGCACAAGTGATCTGGCTGACCAAAATGTTTTACTTGCGAGAAATGATTGACAGGTATGAATTGATATAGAGGCTCCGACGGGGAATGTGGTATCGAAAGGAAAATAACAGTTTATTCACAATGCCTATATTCAATTTGTTTATATATTTTATAAATACGAAATATGCTGGCCTTATACTTAAAATTGTGTTTCTATTAATAACATAAAGGAACAGGACGTTAAAAGGGGGAAATATTATAACCATCAACGAAAACTCGTATAATTTAGGGGATTGATGTCTCAACATTTGGATTAAAACTTCGATTGAAAACCGTCCTGGTTGTTATAATTTTGAATAATATGAAATATTTACGGTTAACAATACATTGTTAAAACTCGTCTTTCTTTCATTTTCAAGTTCAAATAAAAGTCGATCCCATATTCATGATATTAAATTTTTATTTTTATTGTAATTTTTTTCTTTGAATACAATACAATATTTTACATTTATCTATCCTTAAAAAATTAAATATCTGTACAGGTAAAATTTAATTCTAATCAAGCTGGTACAGATTGATTTACGACCTTCCACTGATATTGCACAGGTTAATATCACAGCAGGTGTTAATTACACTCGGACAACTGTCCAACCAGTCCGACATCTAGACTATTAAGACATCCATAGTAATAAGTCTCTACCTGTACTGTAGGTAATAAATTAGTCAAGAGCTTATTCAACATATGAATTGAAAGCAAACAAAAGAGTTCTCTAAGGAAACTCACCTCAGATCAGTCAGGTAGTTTTTTTTATTTGTACAATTAGATCAGTAATAAGCCACATTCTGTATGTGCCTGTCCAAAGTCAGGAGAATGTAATTCAGTGGTTGTCGTTTGTTGCTGTATATCATATTTGTTCATAAATCAGGCCGTTAGTTTTCTCGTTTGAATAGTTTTACATTTGTCATTTGGGGGCCCATTATTAATTAGCTGACTATGCAGTATGGGCTTTTCTCATTGTTGAAAGCCGTACAGTGACTGATAGTTGTTAATTTCTGTGTCATTTGGTCTCTTGTGGAGAGTTGTCTCATTGGCAATCATACCATATCTTCTTATTTTTATATTTGTATATTCATTTTTTTCAGGTATAAAATATCATCTTTTCAATTAAACTACACTTCAAAAAGAGAAAAAAAAACTCTACCTGGAGATAGCCTGTCTTTGCTTACATTGAAAATGATATCATATATAAAAATCCTAACTAAAAGGACAAACTCAGGGATTTTTTTTTATGACAAATGTTTATATTTATAAATCTGCTGTAAATGGGATATAGTAATGTATCTTAAAGGTTTGCTGACTTCGTCCCCTTTCACAGGCAACACCTGCCTCATATTACAGAATATTTACTTAAAAAATTACAACACAAAAAAGAAAAAAACAGGGGTGTCCATTCCACAGGCAAAAACGCCTGTGAGTGTGACTGAAAATATCTAACGATATAAACACAATTTAAATCTTATACAAAGATTATTTTCTAGTACCAAAATGTCAGAATTTTTTTCCACTTTTCTCTTTTTCTTTTCTATTTCAGCTTGGATCAAAGCCTTGAAATCCATGTTGAAGTTTTCTGTGATTAAAGTTACAAAACGTCAATACAACGTAAAAATCATTTTGATTGGTCGTCGTATGAAATCTTATCCAATTAAAAGTCGGTTTGCATTTGGACACAGTTTAATGACCACAAAGGAAAACATTGCAGACAACTTTTTGTTCAATTTTCTCTTCCAAGTTCCAGTCATATACATGTACATTATGCATTTACCAAGATCTATTTGTCTTCTGATTGTTTTTATCACTAATATGAATGCTACCAAGATAGTTGTCTCTTCTTACAATCTATGGAATGTAATGTTTAACTGGGAAATAAGAAAACTCAAAATATCAAAATTGGTAAGATTCTTGATATAAAAACAACTATAGGTCACCATACAGCCTTCAACAATGAGTAAACCTAATGACATACCACATAGTCGACTACATTTGTATAAAAGGCCCTGAAATGACAAAAGTAAAATAATTCAAACGAAAAGCAAATGACCTGATTTATGTACAACACAATGAACAAAAAACATGTATGATATGTACCGCAATTTAATTATTATCTTCCGGTATTCTAATTCACCAATATTTTTCTGTTGACCCTTGTTAGAACTAAGGCCACAGTTTAATTAACACATGGGAATGCATTGAAAGTATAAAGAGTATTTTTACATGGCTCTATCAATTTACTTTCTTTTCATTTTTATATGACCTCAGAAAAACTCGTATATTGGTATGACCTTGGCACCGTCGTCATCATCGTCGTCCGAAGACAAATTGGTTTTTGCACAATAACTTTAGTTTAAGTGAATGGATCTCTATGAAATTTTACCGTAAGGTTCAATACCACAAAAGGAAGGTTGGGATTGATTTTGGGGGTTATGGTACCAACAGTTAAGGAATTAGGGGCCAAAAATAAGCATTTTTGTAACTTCGAGACAATAACTTGTGTTCAAGTATATGGATCTCTCTGAAATTGTACTGCAAGGTACCATACCACAAAGGGAAGGCTGGGATTGATTTTGGAGGTAATTGCCTCAAAATTTTAGGAATTACAGGAAAATTTTTGAAAATTGTTTACATATTCAACACTGTTCTTCTAGGTAACAAGACAGTTCAGCAGTCAATCAGCACCCTGTTTTAAAGACAATTTGGCACCATTAAAAAATTTTGGGACCAAGACTAATATCCGCACCTCATTTTTTATCTATATTTTTCTGTAATCAGTAAAAGTTATAATAAATAATTAAAAAAACCCTGTATGAAAATTTCCACATTCGATTGTTTAACTAAAGTGAAATTTAAGATAAAAAAAGGGAAGGAAACCATGTACATTGATGTACGTAGTAACAGTTAATTTAAAACTTGAAACTCTTAGTTATTTCATTGATATGGTAAAATTATAAATTAACTGTTAACAAATCTTTTAATTTTTCGAAAAATACTAAGGATATTCTAACCCAGAAATAGATTACTTTAGCTGTATTTGGCAAAACCTTTCAGAATTTTGGGTCCTCAATGCTCTTCAACTTTGTACTTCATTTGGCCTTTTTAACTTTTTTGATTAAATCATCACTGGTGAGTCTTTTGTAGATGAAACATATGGCATACAAAATTTTAATCCTGGTATCTATGATGAGTTTATTCATGAATTGCCATATAATACTCCCCTGGGAGGACTATACTTTACCTGAAGAAGAGGTATGAAGGTTGAAGTATAACCTTTAGATGTATATTTTTGTTCAAAATCTTTTGTTGATATTTTACCCATATTTATTGAACCAAATTTCCAGTTCAACAACACAATATGGGAGATAAGTCCCTTACAAATGTAGTATAAACTGAATTTAATATACTTGGTGTACCATACTTGCAGATATAATGTGAATGCAATAGCAACTTAAAAACACATAGTTACCAAAACTAAACTTCTACAGGTTACAATTTAATGATCAACATGTGTGACTATACGGTATGAGTTTTAATATGTGTCCAAACCTTATACCCGGTAGTATGCTATAAATTCTTCATATGGGTAGTCAACAATGAAAAGACAGTTGCAACAGCTTTTGGTGAGCCTGACTTAAAGTTGGGCAACAACTAATCTACCTGATAAAGCTATTTTACTTGCGTACAAATCATTACAATAACATGAAGAATATGTATGAAAGAAGAGTTGAAATTACTAAGTGTAAAACAAAATTCAATTTCATAAATGTTTTTGCAGATTAAATCAAGTAATCCAGATGTTGTAGCTTTCCAAGAAGTAAGATGTGGCGATAGCGAGAATGAGAATCAGATATTAGAATTGCAGAAATTATTACCTGCATATAAGTGGGCATTTTTCAAATGCTCTAATAAGGTCCAAAAGATAAAGCACTCCATCAAGAAAGGATATAATAAAGAAGGTTTGTATCATTTACCAGTGAATAAGACTAATGGTCAATTTTCTGAGTTGTTCTTCAATAGGTTTTTGTCTTCTATGGTTTGCCAAACATTTTGGTTCAATATATATATATATATATATATATATAATATTGGAAGTTACACACTGGCCTTTAGATATTTACCTTTTTCAGTGAGTACCATCTTGGTGTTCTCATGAAAGTGCGGTTGAAGACTAGTTTAACTCTGCCACACATTCATGTGTTTATCCCAAAGCAGGAGACTCATCATTGGTTGTCTTTCGTCAAACTGTGGATTCATTTATTTTCGTGAATACCAATTTTTCTTAGATTGAAGAAAATGTATTCATGGATTTGTCAAAGTTGTATATGTTAGCGTCAATAAGTGAAATTAGGCATTAAGCTTAAATCCTAGGCATTAAGCTTAAATCCTAGGCAATAAGCTAACGCCTAGGCAGTAAGTCTATTGCCTAAATGATGATAGGCATTATTCTTAAATCCTAGGATTTAAGCTTAAATCCTGAAAAATGTGTCCAGGCATTAATCTTAATGCCTAAAATGTAAATAAAAAGACATTTTTTTTTTAAAAGTTAAAATACACTTGGTACATAAAAACATGATAAGAACTGAAGTTTAAAATGTCAACTACCTGAAATAAAGTCACTAGTTCTGGCCCTTAAGTTTTAGCTCGGATATAACCAAAGCATGTAATTCATGACCATTGTCACTTTGCAGTTCTTGGTGCGCACCAAAAATTGTGAAAACATCAATTAAATCAAAAGTCACATCTGAAGCACATTTTGACGTGAGAGCTCTAATGTAACAAACTTTTGTTTGGTGATTTTTTAAGAAATTTATAGTTTCCATCTGGGTTTGATTGGAAATCCATTAAATCAACCTGTCCTGTACAGTTGAACTCTTTGGGTAAAATGGGTTTCACAACTTCCTTCTTTCCTAAATACTTTTTATACGACCGCAAAAAAAATTTTGTGGTCGTATATTGGTATGACGTTGGCGTCGTCGTCCGAAGACACATTAGTTTTCGCACTCTAACTTTAGTTTAAGTGAATGGATCTCAATGAAATTTTACCATAAGGTTCAATACCACAAAAGGAAGGTGGGGATTGATTTTGGGGGTTATGGTACCGACAGTTAAGGAATTAGGGGCCAAAAAGGGGCCAAAAATAAGCATTTTTGTAACTTCCAGACATAACTTGTGTGTAAGTGTATGGATCTCTCTGACATTGTACCACAAGGTTCCATATCACAAAGGGAATGCTGGGATTGATTTTGGGGGTAATTGCCTCCAAATTTTAGGAATTAGGGGCCAAAAAGGGGCGAAAAACAAGCATTTTTCTAGTTTCCAGACAATAACTTGTGTTCAAATGTATGGATCTCTCTGAAATTGTACTGCAAGGTACCATACCACAAAGGGAAGGCTGGGATTGAGTTTGGGGGTAATTCCCTCAAATTTTAGTAATTAGGGGCCATAAAAGGGCAAAAAACAAGCATTTTTCTAGTTTCAGGACAATAACTTGTGTGTAAGTGTATGGATCTTTATGAAATTGTACTGCAAGGTTCCATATCACAAAGGGAAAGCATGGTTTGAGTTTGGGGGTAATTGCTCTAAACGTTTAGGAATTTGGGGCCAAAAAGGGGCCAAAAAACAAGCATTTTTCTAGTTTCCAGACAATAACTTGTGTTCAAATGTATGGATCTCTCTGAAATTGTACTGCAAGGTACCATACCACAAAGGTAAAGCTCGGATTGAGTTTGAGGTGATGAATCATAAGGGGGTTTAAAAAAAATTGGGGGGGATTTTTTTTTTTCCTTTTTTGATACATGTGAACCTCCTGACGGGAATAAAATAATCCCGTTTTCAGGGGTCTCCTCCCGACCTCGCGTTGAAGAGAAACAAATCCCGTGTATGAAATTTTTCATGAATGAAAAATTTCTGCCCAACATATCATCTCAGACATCTGATGTAACTGACATCACCTGAAGTTATATTTTACCTGTAAATCAATTAACATGCATAATTATATGGCTTCACTTGTCAGCTTGGGTGTCAAACATACTGGTAATCAATGATTTTTACCTCAGGCTAACTGCCGTTGTGTAATAAAAACTTTGTGTATTTATTGGGTTACCTTACTTGATTTATCCTGTTTTAAGTTACTTTCCTTTAAATAATGTACATTTTTAAAAGAATATAGATAAAATATAAATTGAACAAATAATCATAAAAGGATGGTAATGAAATGATTTTAAATGTCTTAGGGCAAATAAAAAAATAATAATTTGAAAATTATTTGAGGGTTCTATACTTTCTTTCAAGGCTTAAATTGAATTAATATAATAACTATGACCCTTGTTATAAATTAAATTATATCAATTACCATATGGTAAAAATTAAATTATTTAATGCCAAAAAAGACGCAAGCCAGGGCAGACCGTGCAAGGGCTGTATAGCCAGTCAAGGTCGTTAAAAACTTCCATTTGTTGTTATAAATTGAAATGAGTTTCTGATTATTCAAATAAAATCTAATTGCAAATGCAGATAGGTTAACAAAAGATCTGATTGCAACGTTTGTCATATAGAATAATGATATGAATTGAAAAATTTAAAGAACATACTAAAAAAAAAGAATGTTAGATTGAACATGTAGAATATAAAGATAAAGAAACTTTATAAGTACAAGGGTACTATAAACATAATACATAATACATAATACATTCGGATTGAAAGATGAAGAAAACAAACTTTAAAAGACAATTTTTACAGCACACGGTTACATTTACGACAAAATTTATGTCGATTAAAAACCTCCTGATCTGAGTCCTAATCTCCTGACCAAAATTTCCCAATCTCCTGATCTGAGTTTCACAGTCCATCACATGTATGTTTTTTTCTTTAAAATTTTCCATTTTAAATTGGTTATTTCTGATTTATATATAAAAGCAAATAATAATGATATGGTTTGAATAGGTAAATTAAAAAAATTTAAGTTCTTAGACCACTTTCATTCTGTGTGAGAAATCTATGCTGTGTCAAATATTTAATTACAATCCAAATTCAGTGCTGTATCAAGCTTGAATGTTGTGTCCATACTTGCCCCAACTGTTCAGGGTTCGACCTCTGCGGTCGTATCAAGCTGCGCCCCAGCGGAGCATTTTATTGTAATTATCTTGAATATTATTATAGATAGATATAAACTGTAAACAGCAATAATGTTCAGCAAAGTAAGATCTACAAAAAAGTAAAAAGACCAAAATTGTTCAATTGACCCCTTAAGGAGTTATTGCCCTTTAAAGACAATTTTACACAATTTGTTTGTTTTTTAACTTTAAAAATCTTCTCAAATGAATCTAGTATGAATTTTGTATTTTATTTCCTTGTAGGTCAAGAAACATAGACACTTTGGCTCAAAAGGAACATATGGGTGAAATGCATTTATTTGCTTTTGAAGAAAATATGACAGATACAATGAACATTTCAATGGCATTTTTAAGCCACTCATTAATATATATTGAAAAGCAAAAATAATCATTGATGAAAGATTTAAGCAAAAAAATAAACAGGTGAGCGATTCAGGCTCTTGAGAGCCTCTTGTTAATAATTCTTAAAAAGGAAAATTTCAATAAAACTACTACCTAACAATAATTAAAACTAACAGACAATTTTTCACAATACAACAAAGGTACATTTAACACATCCTTATTGTGCATCTCTCAGGGGAGATAATTCATAGATTTAGTTTAAACTTATTCCTATTTACTCTATTGTAGGAATTGGAATATTAAGCAAACTTGAAGTTTTAAATGCTAAAGCAGTAGAACTACCTTATACATATGGACCAGATACAAATAAAAGGCTCCTAATACATGTAAAGTTACTACAGGAGAACCATGTTGTCAATATCATCAATGTTCATTTCTCATATGATAGACAGCAACAGTGTGGAAATGCTGCAGCTCTGTTAGACTATGTTTTTAGTAAGAAATATAATTTAAATATATTTCCATTGAAATAAAGTTTAGAAAACAATTTTTACTAAAAGATGAAATAAAATTATGATTCAGATTGAGGACAGCACATATTTTTCTAATAGCTCCCATCTGTATGCTTGAGATCAAAAGTTACAATTCCAAAAATGTAAACTGTAAAGATAGTTTTCTATTGAACTAATTTTAGAAAGAGTTACTTCCCTTTTGTTGCCATGTTGGAGATGCATGTGAAAGAATTCCATCATAAATCAGTCAAATTCAACATGTTATATACTGACTGCTACACATTAGAATATGTGTTTTTTTTCTGAGCAATTTTAATTTCTTCAAGCCATGCTTAATTCATCGCTAAGTTACCAGATTTGTTTATTCCACATGTTTCAATTCAATAAGAAAATCGATCATTTGAAACTCCAAAATGGCGACCAAGGAAAATAACTTAAACTCAAATTACATCATAACGAAGCCTACCATCATAGCAAGAAAGATTGCTATAAGAAAAATAGGAATTCAACCATGCTTTAAAAAAGAAAAGAAAAAGAGATTACTATCAGTCCCTGAAAAGTCATTTAAAAAAAAAATTGTTCTTGCATTATAACCAAGAGAAAAAATTATGTTCCTCCTTTAACTTCTCTAAGGTGTTATTATTTATTCACTAATACTAAAATAGCATAACATCTTCTCAAAAAATTTTCAAACATGATTTCTTTGTGGTGTTCTCCTTAGCATGTGAATTTTGGTAGTGAGAAATGTAGATGACAGTATGTATTTTCTTTCCTTCAAAAATCCATTAATTGGAGGTTATTGAGACAAATAGTAGTGATAACCAGACAGCAAAATTGTGGGCAATATTTATAGGAAAAGTCATTGACTCAGTTAAGATGTTTATCAGGGGAAAGTTAAATACTGTTTAATTTGGTAAGTGCCGTCTGACATACCTGTAGTGCATAAAGTCGGTGTGTTGGACTTTTAACAAGCCACTCATGCTCTATGTTTGGTAAATGTGCAATTACTATAGCAGACCCCAAAAAAATATGAATATTTACAAAATATTTCTCCTCAGCAACAATTATTTTGCAATTGTTTATATTTATGAGAACAAAAATTTAAAATTGGATTTTACCTCTATTATCTTTTCATTTTTAAATTTCAGCTAAAAGATTGAAAAATGTGGTACTGTTGGGAGATTTCAATACTTACAATGATTTTGAGGCTCCAATGGATTTAATAACATTTAAACCTGGACATGCAATGATGCATTGTAAACAGGAACTCAAACTAATTGGCAACAGATATGTAAATTTTGATGATTCCTGGCAGAAGTTGCATGGCAAGGACCATACTGGTTTGACTTTTAGCAATATGGTAATTTTCTTATGAATTATAAAATTTTATTTTAGTGAATTCCTATAAGAGAATTCTGAAGAAGCAATTTAACATATCTTTACAAATATATACAACAGAGGTATACAAACACATAATGCATTTGTAATAGACAATTTGATATTATACAAAAATGAGTTGTCATTTTACCCAAAAAAAAACACCCACATACAGTAAGTTATGTAATTTGGAACATTATAAAATTTGTAAGGGATCATCTTTTTTTAGGGACCCTTCATATTTAATACAGTATCTTTACAGTTTAACCTCTATTTGATTGTTTGCCAGACTCTCTACTCATGTGCATTTGTCTGTCCATATTTTCTTATGAACTTAAATTCTCACAGTTCCTCCAAATATAAGAAACTGGATACTCTTAGTCTGTAGGTGTGGGACATATACATGGTCATACTATACTTAATTTTTTCTGGAATTTTGGCTATTTAACATTTATCATTAAGTACAATAAGATTTTTTTTTTTTTAAATTTTGGCATAGGTCAAAAAGGGCAAAGGTCATTCCAGTCTTTTTTTTAACTAAAAAATCTCATTTCTTTTTCAGCCATTTCCAGGATTAGAGAGTCGTCCAGACAGAATACTAGTGAACTCTGAAACAGATGTGATATCTACTAGTTTATCAGGACATGGAACAAATTACAAAAGGCAATACAGCTCAAGTATTGTATTTTCTCGGTTTCAGACTGTATTGAAACAAGCAGCATTATCATACCATTCTATCTCCGGATTTTCCTGTTTTCATGACTGTGGTCCACATGGCTCTTGTCGGTGTGGTGTGTGTGTTGCAGATGGAAATGACAAAACATGCCATTTACCAAATTGTATAGAATGCAATGCAGATATTTACAACAATTACATCATGATGACATGCATTGCAATGTTTGTACTAGTTCATGTTTTCTTTGCAGTTTTAAGTATTCTTATAACAGCTGCAAATTTCAAAGGAGAGACTATTTTCTCATTGTTAGGTTTCAAATGTTGCTTGTGCAATCCTGATCTTTATAAAAAGCCAATATTATTATCAAGACAATCAAAATTTATTAAAGTCTGTCACAAGTGGCCTCTGTTTAGAATACCACCATGTTACTTATTATTAGTCAGTAGTGTTTCTTTTGTTTTTGTTTTAATTTTAATGAAATATCATTTTAGTGATATGATGAAAACTGTAAATAATATTTTAGACGAAGAGTATTTTCCATCAGATCATTTGATGTTATCTGTCACATTAAAATATACAAATAGTTAATTATTCTTTTTTTAGGGCAAGTATACCTACACCATTCTTTCTTATCATAACTATCAGTTTCAAGTAGTATGTTCATCTGGAGTGCAGGAGGTCATGGGTTCCATTACTTTCCAGGTTAAACTAAAAAATTTAAACCGGACAAGTGATTTCTATGCCATTAGCACCCAACACTTGCTTGTTAGAGCAAAGTTTGATCTACTCATTATCATTATAATCCATACACGTATCATGATATGTCCTCCTGCAGATCTCTATATTGTGATCTAGAACATTAAAATCAGACTCAGCCTGTTGGTTTAGTACAGCATAGGGTACATTCATATAAAAGTAAGGTTAATATCTTGAATATGAATGTAATACTTGCCACTGGACATTAAGCAGCCATCAGCTAATTAATCACAATCATATGTTAGGTTGAATATTTTTAAAGTGTTGACTTTACCCTGCAAATTAGAAAACTACTGTATCAACAAGGAGGAAGAACTAAGTATCTGACAAATCCGAAATGCTCACACTTTACAACTTATCACTGTCAAGCTGCTCACCAAATATGAAGTTATTCTGTTTAGAAGTTTCTGAGACAGGTGTAAAAAAAACAAGAATGTGTCCATAGTACACGGATGCCACACTCGCACTATCATTTTCTTTGTTCAGAAGACGGTGAAATTGGGGTCAAAACTCTAATTTGTCATTAAAAGACCATACCAAAGGGAACATGTGTACTAAGTTTCAAGTTGATTGGACTTCAACTTCATCTAAAACTCCCTTGACCAAAAACTTTAACCTGAAGCAGGTCAGACGGACGGACCAACAAACGAATGGACGAACGAACAGACACACAGACTGAAAAACATAATGCCCCTAGGTGGGGCATAAAAATTTGTTAGACGAACAATCAAGGAGATTGAAATATAATTCCAAAGTATATGTGCTAGTTAAATCCAGTGAATGTTGCCTTCTACAGGTATTCTAATAATCTGATAATGCATTCTAAAAGTATGTCAATACTATGAAGGTCAATTATTTATCAAAGTGTCATGCTCACATAAACTGAATTAAGAATCTACAACTGAATTTGGTCACCTAGAAATTTTGCAAAAGTTAATGGACGATAACGGACATTGACGGGTACCAAGTGTTTAGAAAATCTCACTTGGCCCTTTGGCCTATTTTAGTAATAGATACATGATTTTTGGCTTGCCTGTGATAAAAGTCGCAGAATGCGAGACATAGGAATAATTTCTGGCAGTGGCGGTGGAAACTATTTGTATAAAGCTTCATATTTCAGAAGGTAGAAGACCTGGATGCTTCATACCTTGTATGCAGATACTTTATGTTATGAAGTTATATGCAAAACACCATCACTGATCTGATGCTTTATTGTGTAATAATTCATTTAATTATATTGCTAAAATTTTGGGCACTATGATAATAAAAAAGAAATGAAGAATGTGTCCCCATGGACACACATGATGCCCCCTCTTGCATACAACATTATAAAGGGACATAACTCAAGAACAATAAAAGTGATGCTACCCAAATTTGTACTTGATCTTAGTTTTGTAGTAATAAGTATTGTGTATAGGTTTCATGTTTGATTGGGGCAAACTTGAGTTACAGAAAGGCAACTAAAATTTTTGCAATTTTTCGATTTATAAAGGGGCATTACTCAATAATGATTAAAGTGACACTACCCAAATTCAACTTGATCTGTGTTTTATCAGTGGAAGGCAATATTAAACATTGCATTGTATAAAGCATTGATTGTAGTTCATTCAACTATAATCATGGATAAAGGAAGATAACTCCAATTTTAAATATTAATTACTTGAACAATGACATCATTGATATTTTAGAAAAAAAAATTCCATTTGTAAAGGGACATAACTCTAGAACAATAAAAGTGACGCCACCAAAATTCAAATTTGATCTGTGTATTGTGGTAATAAGCATTGTGTATAAGTTTCATAACATTTGGTTGAGGCAAACTTAAGTTAGAGAACAGAAATGAAAATTTTGCAATTTTTTTCATTTATAAAGGGACATAACTCTAGAACGGTTAAAGTGACGCCACCAAAATTCAAACTTGATCTGTGTTTTGGTATTAAGCATTGTGTATAAGTTTGATAACACATTGAGGCAAACTTAAGTTAGAGAATGGAAACCAATTTTGGGACGTACGGACAGACGGACAAGGGTACAACTTAATGCCCCTCCTCTTCTGTTGGGGCATAAAAATCTATGTGCATGAACAACAAGGATTGTTTATGCATAGCTGCTTTTTCACTTTTATACTTGGTACAATAAACTGTTAACACAGAGATATGTCTCGCCTATTTGTTGTTCTGATACATTGTAATGCAAATGTTGAAATTAAAATAGCAATACTTTAACATGTAAGTTATGCAAATATTCAAAGTCAATGAACCATGACTGAAGGTACAGGGCTAAACAATCTCCATGGAAATGAGATGTGCCAATGCTAATACAACTGCAAACCAAATACCATTGACTTTTCATAACTTGTTCCCTTTAAACAAACCTAAACACAAACACAAACATTAACTTGTAAAAGTTTCAAAGTCAATGAACCATAATTAGGGGGTGGGGTTATATAATCTCCATGGAAATGAAACTTGCAAATGCCAATACATTTGTATACCTAGTATAATTGACTTAACATTATTGGTTCATCTTAAACTGAACTAATCACAAACTAATACATGTAAACTAAGCAAAAGTTTCAAAGTCAATAGACCATGACTGAGGGGTAGGGACCAAATATTCTCCATGGAAATGAGATGTGCTAATGCTTATACAACTGCATACCAATTATCATTGACCTACCACTAGTGGTTCCCCTTAAACTGACCTAATCACAAACTTAAACATGTAAACTAAGCAAAAGTTTCAAAGTCAATAGACCATGAATGAGGGGGCGGGGTCAAATAATCTCCATGGAAATGAGATATGCCAATGCTTATACAACTGCATACCAAATATCATTGACCTATCACTAGTGGTTCCCCATAAACTGACCTAATCACAAGCTAATACATGTAAACTAAGCAAAAGTTTCAAAGTCAACAGACCATGACTGAGGGGTAGGGACCAAATATTCTCCATGGAAATGAGATGTGCTAATGCTTATACAACTGCATACCAATTATCATTGACCTACCACTAGTGGTTCCCCTTAAACTGACCTAATCACAAACTTAAACATGTAAACTAAGCAAAAGTTTCAAAGTCAATAGACCATGAATGAGGGGGCGGGGCAAAATAATCTCCATGGTAATGAGATGTGCCAATGCTAAATCAACTGCATACCAAATATCATTGACCTACCACTAGTGGTTCACCATGAACCAGACCTAATCACAAACTAATACGTTGTTGACGCCGCCGCCATTGTCGCCGAAGCTGGAAACAGCATACCTATATCTCGCTTTTTGACTCCGACAAGGCGAGACAAAAACAACATTTCAAAGTAAAATAATTTAATATAAGCATTTCATTCTTACATATTTTAATATTTTTCTTTGCCTTTTTATGTATTTGTCATACAAATAATATTTTTTTCTACATACAAAAGTATAAACAACATGTAAATATGCAAATATGAAGAGATGGTAATCTTGAACAGAAAGTTATTTTATGCCTTTAATTCATTATAATATTTTACATCTGACTTCATATAGTTTAGTTGAGGATACATAGTCATGCTTATTAAAAAATTTTGAATGCCCCCACCAATCAAAAGGGGCATATAGTATTACCAATATCTGACAATTTGTCCTTCTTTAATCATACAATAAACTTTTAAGACCCCAACCATCCATAATATAAAATGCCTCCCATTACCCCATGCAAAACTTTAACCCGACATGGGTCAGCCTCAGACTGTAAAACATTATGGAACACCCTAATATAATAAGCGGGCATCAACACATTCCTATAATCTCATTTAAGACTGGACTACATTGCTTTAAAAAAAAAAATTATTTCACAATTTTTGCTATTTGAAAGAAAATGTACATTTTCAAACAAAAATAAATGCATCCTTCCTATATCAATCAAAAGAAACAGAAAAAAACAACAAAATAACATTTACCTGCCTGATAAATAAAAAAAAACTATGAATTACCAAAATATAGTTCAAAATCTTTTATCGATAGAAAATATTTTAGCTCGACATGTTCATCCATTACGACACATGCTGGAAAAGGAACTAGATCAATGAATTTATAACCAATCAGTGACATCAGTAAAAATTATGACATTATATAAATAAGAAGAATGTGTAATGAGTGGCAATGAGACAACCCTCCATCCCAGTCACAATGTATAAAAAGTTAACAATTATAGGTTAAAGTACGGCCTTCAACACGAGCCTTGGCTTACACTGAACAGCAAGCTATAAAGGGCCCCAAATGGAATTATGAAAAAATATGGGCATTTGAAGTTTGTTTGATGGACAATTCAACAACAAAAAATAAAAATTTAGAAGTAAGTTTTTTTTTATCTCCTATTTATCAGGGCTCACACTACTTCAGAATTATAGGGAGAAGTAACTTCTCTTTTTGAAATTGAAAGGGAGAAGTGGTGAGATTTGAAAGAGAAGTGCTTGTTTGCTCGCTGTGCTACAATGTTTGGTTTTTACTATAATACATTAAGTGCCATAATAATAATATGTATCTTATTTTTTTATATAGTTCAAATTGTACCTTAGGTATACAATTAAAATAACTTGTTTAATTTTATCATATCTAGTTGCACAATCATATGAGTCCTCTTGTCAGAAAAAAAAAAACAATTAAATATCTGGCAATAATAAAAAAGATTTTTTTTTTTATCAAAAAGGAAAAGAAAGTTGTTATATCATTTAAAATTCAATTTAAAAACTACTCTGTTTGCATGTTCATGAAATTAAGTATTTCTCATTAAAAAGATATATAAATTTAACAGTTAAGCTTGGACATAATATAATTATATTAGCAGTGTTCTCCCCAGGATTTTTGGATAGCACCAGGGTAACGCGTGTGGACAGCTTAGTGAAATATTTCATACAATCAGTTGTGTCGCGTCGGGTCGCGTCGCTTAGCTCTTTTTCTAGTTCCTGTAGTTTTTATGTCTCTTGTTTTGTTTTAATACTGTGGTACTGTGTTATGTAGACATTGAGTCAGAAAATTATTGGTAAAAAAGAAGTAAATCAAAAAACAGTTTGTATACTTTAATATTTTTTTAAAATAAATAAATTATGATTCATAATAAAATATTCATCTGAATTTAAAGTAATTAAATCTTTTATAAAATCCAAAATCAATAAAAATAAAATATTATTCAAAAGAGAACAAAAATGTTCAATTTAAAAAACTTTCTAGTTTCTAGAAAGAAATTTGTTGGATGTGAAAGGATTCCTGTCATAAGAAGATATAAAATTAACAAGAACAATTGCAAATATTGTTTTATTATTTGAACCAGTTTCTATCTTAGATTTTAATAAAAAGAAATTTTTCATAAATTTTAGAACATTTTGCCATAGATTTCATGTAAATATTAACCTTTCTTGTCTTTGGTGATAATCAAACATAGATACAGACTTAATACTGCACTGAAATCTAAATCTTTATTTGTCATGGACCATTTAAAAAAAGAATCCTAAATCTATAAATTTATCTTTGGTCTATAGATCTAAAAGTAACCATATTCAATGTCAACAACTAAGTCTCCCTATTTTCCCGCCTAAATGACAGGAAGTAGATATAAATAGATTTAACATGTGCTTATGGATAAAATTTGCAAGATTGCTTCTGTTGTTCATTAATTATGGATATAGATATCCAGTTTGAAGGTACAGTCATGCATTTTATTTATAAAATAGAATAGATTGCAATTAATTGTAAATAAACTTGAATATTCAACGTGAACTATAAACTGGGTCATGTGATATGTACAGACAGATACTACAGTTTGAAACCCGACTATCATGCAATAACTATGTCATAAATAAAGATAATATTGGCCATGGTTTAATCAGAGACATATAATACCATAATATAAGAATTTAGAAATGTATAATTGTCAATTATACGTAATGAGCCACCTTTATGATGTACAAAAAATGTCCCTATCAGGTCAAGACAATGTTTGTGTACAAACTATTTGCCGACTTGTCACAGGTCAGTGCTTGGGTGGTGAGTGAAGCCATAAAATAGTTATCTGTGATCATAAAGTTATGAACTCTTAATTAAAACACAAAAGAATCATGTTACAAGTGTTAATTACATCGATTAAATCCAATCAACAAGGTTAACCTCATAAGGTAAATCGATCACGTGATGTAAACAATCTCTGTTGAACTGGTTTGAACTGGTCAAATTTCACCTGGAATTTTATACCGCACGGAATAGGTTCAACAAGTCGTTTAAAACTTAACCGATTTACGATTTTTTAACTGAAAATTTTAGCACCACGGAGAAAAATTATACATCGCGGTAAGAACGATACCACCACGGTAAAAAATTATACATCGCGGGCCCGCTGTCCTTTAAGGGCCTGGGGAGAACACTGATATTAGTGTAATAGTCCCAGAATTGAGCAACTTTAACTTATAAATTGAAACTATGCATATACATGGAAATATATATACATTAATCAAGAAGATCTAAACAAAAGTATGTTAATGCATGTAGAAAGATATTTTTTTCCTTTTGGGATCAATTTTTGTCTGTCAGCAGTGCCATTCATGTGTCCGTAATCATTATCGTAAGAATCCAGATTTCGGTCAAAGCCGGTCCGTTTCTGGTGAAATCCCGACTCTGATCCGTAGTTGTACAATAATATGCCCAATAATTTAAATGTCGGATGAAGTAAAATTTACAAAAATAAATTATGTTTGACACACTATTTGGAAAGGAATATGACATTTTTAATGCAATACATGGATAACAAATTTACTTCAGGCAAATTTCATCAAGTTCTAATGAAGTAACAACTTATTTTGTTGAATGTTAGAATGATTTGAATATGCTCTCTAGTAGGGGACATGTACCGGAAGTGATAAAAAATTGTTTTTATGAAATAACATGCCACCAACTTAAAATTGATGCTTTAACCTCTTTTCTGAAGAAAATAAATAGTTTATGCCTTGAATTTCTTTACTTTTAAATGAAAAATTGCTGTTTCATCGACTTGGTAAAAATTGAATATTGCCGATGACGAAAGCGAGTATCGTAAACAACAGGGTGAGTTGTTTTCGCTTTTGATGGTCTGGCAAAGCGAAGTGACAGACAGGAAAGCGACTTCTTTGCCCTAGTCGCCTGGTAGCGTGAGCCCTGATTTATATATATTCATTAAAATTTTCCATTTTAAATAACAGTTATTTCTAATAAAATTTGCAATGTTTTACAAACTCAAGAAGCACCTGCTTGTGCCAACTTATTGCTTTAAAAGTTACATGTAGATCCAAAAGGTATGCAAAAATGTTCTACAAGAACACATTCTGACTTTTTCATTAAAAATAAAAAAAGAAAAGGAAATAAAGGAGTTGTGTACATTTGTGTAATATAATCATATGTATAAGATATGATATTAACTTGATCTCAGTAAGTGAGTTAGGAAATTAAACAAGATTTCCCTTGGTGAGTAAAAAATTTCACATAAAACAGTTGAGAGACCTATGCAATAATAAAAAATACACCTTCTCACTCCTTTACAAAGGTTAGGGAGTGACGAAAACCTTTTCGGCCTATTTTTGTACTGATATTTAACATATTCTTTTGTGTCATTTCTAAAGTTGCATGATACAATACTAAAAACAGTTTTTCTGATAAGACATCATAATCAAAATATCAGTAATAATGACATCTTCTTAGCATTTTCACATAAATTACATAAATTTTGGAATATTTTCAAATGGTTTTTATTAGACCCTCAAAATTAATTTAGAGAGTCATGCAAAAACCAACCAAATATGTATTACCACAGCGTTAGTCTGTATGACAACATCTATCTAACAATAATTCTTGTAAAACTTTGTTCTTGCATTGGCTTGATATTTAAAAACTGCATTTTAAGTCTTTTTTTTAATTTGCCATACATGTATTTGTCTTTTTTTTTAATTTGCCATACATGTATTTTGTCTTCAAATTAAATCTCATAGACTATTTGCAATATATGAAAGACCTTAAACAGTTTAAATTTTGCAAATACCTATCAATCGTTTTTATGCAAAAATCCTGATTTTGTAATATTCCAAATTATTAGACCAAGTAATGACTTTAAGGTGGTACATAACACTACAGGGAGATAACTCTGTAAAAATCAGCTGAACGTTTTAATCACGTTCTATTGTTAAGGAAATATTAAGCTTCTCCATGATCAAAATTAGTGTTTTTCAAACTGCTATAGATCCAATGAAATTTTTCCGATGAAGTGTGTGGATCAAGTTTTTTGAAAAATTATTATATTTTTGTCAAAGGGTCAAAGTAAATATTTTGTCAAAATTTAATGGAAATTGAACGAGCCAAATTAGTTTTAGTCAAGGTGTTTGGTACCACCTTAATGCACCTCCTTTGTTTCTTACAAAGACAATATGTTCATATTGAGATCATTTACGTACCATCCTTTAACTTTAAGGAGGTAATTAATAGTGTATTCAATAAAACAAACAAAATTGTTTATTTTTCCTTTATATTGCTTTAAAATTTATTAGTTTGTGTAATTTAAGTGACATTTTAAAATAATTGGAAATAAAAGAAATGATTTATCTCAACTGAATTCTTTCCTTCAAATCTAAAACTTCACTGAATGTTTTAAAATGTGTCAGTTCAATATTATTTATTAAAATTTCAAAACATTTTTTTTTAAAACATGTAGATTTCTTTATGAATATTGCTCTTTGAAAGATGAGTGACTCATTTCACCAAAAAATCCTTATCAGTAAAAAAAAAACACTCACTTTATCAATTTTAATTCTAAAAAATTTAATTTTTTGTTGAAAAGTCACTTTTTTTAAACAAATTCTAATATAAAAATTTGATACCCCTGAAAAAATATGTTATGATAATTGCCTCTACAGCTTTATATAGAGCAAGTAGACAAAGATATGTGTCCTCTCTAATTCAATTTGACTTGACTTTTAAAAACAATTATAACAATAATGTAACAACTATAAAACAATATGAGCTATGAGATTTCAATTACTTTTACAGTTCTTGTAAAACAACAGATATGCGTTCCGCATCACTTCTTGGGTTGTTAGTTCATAGTCCATGTTGACCTCTGTAACCATTTCATCGTCAAATTTATACCATTTGTTACTGTCTGGCTGTAAGGCATAGCTAACATAATGGCCATAATTTGTACTCTCTCCTCCATAGTGAACACAAACACCATACAGGTCATATTTATAACAATTTTCTTCCTCTGATAAGTTTTCTTGATGTGTGACCGTGTCAAACATAATGGACGTCAAGTCTAATGTCTTCAGTGGAATTTTGACAGGAGACAAAAGTTTTCGGGACTGTCCAGTGAACTGGTTGTACGAGAATCTCATTAGCTGAATGACTAGACATTCTGGTAACTGTCGCAAAAGACATCTTCGTTGTATGCTACAAGTTCTGGACAAGACACGTGATGGATTCACATTATTACCTATAGGCGTTGATGTTCTGAACACATTGTCTTGGTAACCACTGTCATTTAAATTTGCCATTCCAGGGATAGGTGACATGACAGAATATGGAGATCCAACTGAAATAGCAGAATCTACACTTGTAAATTTTCTTTCCCTGAGGTTCGAAGGTGTCCGATGTAAATTTTGATTACTTTGTTGAGATATCGGAGATTCCACTGTTTTGTATGGTGAATTATCTATCTCTTCTTGACCACTCAAATGCTCAATATTACAAAAGTTTGAAAAACAATCTAGGAGAACAACAAGACCTGAAACATCTCGAGGCTCTGCTATTGTTACAGGTAACACATTGTATGTCTGAAGATTGACGGAGATTTTGTTGTCTCTCAGATTATGATATGCTGTTACTAATTGTCCAGTGAACAGATTATCTATCACTGAATCATTCTCCTGTTTATAGGACAACCACTCTAAGTCAGATAAACGCTGGATAGGCTCTGCATACGTTTCATTCTGGAAACCATTAGCTGCATTGATCTGTAAAAGATAGGATAACATCCATAATTTCATAATTCAACACCGATTCACTTTTTAATCTGTATTAAAAATAAGTATTTCATTGATTACTCAATATTCCTGTGGGAAATTTGTGATGATAACAATAGATAAGAGATTTGGCAGCCTTTTCAAGTTTTTCATTTTAATTTTGCTGAGTAACTACATTTTTGTATTTTTTGTTGGTGCTCTTTTTCTATTCTCTTTCAAAACTTGAATAGCATTGAATTTCATGATCAATTTTAATATGTCAATCTCCCTCTTTTTCTGTTTTATTGCTGTCCTTTAACAGTGTATTTTTTTAGGAAGATGTATAATATTATGTAGACCCGTCACCAGGTAATCACTGAAATTTGTTCAATATTGTTTTTTATGAACCTACCACAGCTTATTTTTGATACAATTCATTGCTCACTTTTGCACAATTGTATAATATTTTTTTTTATAATAGCAGATGGGTGCTCAACACAAAGCAAATATTACATGTACCCTCAAGATTATTACATGTAAAGGTCATTTGAATATCCCCTTATTTGTACTAGATCGACACACTGAATTAATTGCCCCCTCCCCCGTTAGCTTACAGTCAGCAAGATTATATGTCAACATATAAAGACATTATTATGACTCATAAGCAGACCAATCTTACTCCTTAATGTCACATGCTTCATGCTAAGCAGAGATGTGTTAAATACTTATTCTGAAGGCTCAAATATTTTTACTGTCAAAGAGACTGAACAACTTGACCTTATGTATTCAAGGTTAACACAAAACCATTAAAGTGTTTTCATTGAAAATAATAATTTTTTTTTTCTAAAGTTATTTTAAAGTAACAAAATATTCCATCATTTTTTTCTAAGAGAAATATAACTATTGACTATTGATTTAATTTAATATTGCCCTTTTCAGATATATAAGTTTCCTGTAAAGTCAATTTCTAAAATTATGCAATACATATATCTTTATCATGTTTATAAGGGACACTTTAATGTCAATCAAATTTATTTTCTCAGTAACAAAAACTGTTGATTAAAACCATTTACACATTTTAAACAGTTAATATCCATGTAGACTTACATTCCTCTATTGGAGCTGTTTTGGATTCCTTGCATAAAATCTTTAATGTTATTTGTCTGCCTCAATTCAAGCTTGATTTGATAGTTTGGCATGATATGTGTACCCTTATGGTATTTTTCTTATGAATTTTTTTTTTTTTTTTAATTGGATAAAAAAAAAATGTCAGAAAAACACTGGTGTGCAATCATGATTTATCTCTTACCTCTACCTGACAAGCATTTTTGAGATCTTGAATTTTGGCTGGATTAAGATGTCCATATATAAATTTCAACATATTCAGTCTAGGATTTTCAACAGCTACCTGGCCACCTGTAAATACAAATAATTATATGAATATCTTTCCCATCTCCAATTAAAGTTTATTATTTAGATGAACAGAAATAATTCCATTGATATTCACATAGGACATGTTTGAATCATGATAGAAAGGTCAAAAATTTTGACAAGCTGAAGTATATTTAAACCCCTACACCCCTAAAAAAACTAAAATAATGGTATACAGAACTGAAGTGTATTACAACTTAGCCTTAGTAGTTACTATTTTCTTGCTCATCATGACATTGCCTTTTTGCACTGACATGACCTTAAGCAATCATAAATCAACTATGTTCTTGCACTGTGCAAAAAGTTTCTGTATCATAATATGCTATAAAATTTGAGAATCTTTTTAATACTTTGTGTTCCAATTTCTCGAGAATTTGAGAATATTTGTAAATTCTACTGAACTCTTTGCCGCCATTTTCATACTACATGTATGGCCAATAATCTGGCTGTACATTAGAATTTGTCTAACAGGTACATGTAACTGTATGTACATACAATTTAACCACATATCCTCTATGTAGCTACAATGTACATTATTGATAACTCTTTACTACCATTATTTGTGACTTTGCTATTACTAAAATTGCTACACAGATCTGGTTTAGAAATACAGCCGTCAGTATTGAAGTGTATGAAGACATACTAGATAAAGTACTTTGAGAAGCTTGCTTTTCATTTTCTGTGGATTATTTCAAGTTCGGTTTACTTTCCACTGATCAAAATAATGATGAATGATTTTGTTACAAAACTAGGTAATCTTTGCTAGCTCTTAACAGTATGTGTCTGTAACAATATCTTCAGAAATTGCAAGAATTTCTTTACGCTTTTGTGTACATAAATATGATTAAAGAATTTTTTGCTGATCCCAGATCTTTGTTAATTTCCTGTGAATTCAAATCACATATTTTTCTTGTTTTAGAGCTATATATTAGCTCATGTACAAAAATGTAGTTTTTACCCTTTCCATTGCTTACCTTTAAAATGTTTAATGTCTCCAACTGTGTTTACCTATAGTTGTTGGGTTGCTGTCATATTAAAATTTACCTAACAATCACATATGGTTTTACTCATATGCATGATGATATACAATGTATGTTATTGTATAAACGAGAAAAAAAAAAATGAAATATTACATACAAATGTATATTGTGCTACATGTAAATCTTACATTTATAAATAATGCTTTAAATTTCAAACAATAAAATGTTTATACCTCTCCTATTTTTATTTAGCAATGTATGCACAGTATCCATAAGCCACATGAAAAATTCTGCTGCGTCCTGCTGTACCTGCCGCTGTGAAGGTGCTGCCACTAAGCTACTGTTGAGTGTTGATGCTGCCTGCCTAAATGCCATTGGATCTAAGGATGAACTAGAGATTTCTGCCATACAACTGTTCAAAATTTCTACTAAAGTATTGAGTAAAACAGATTCAGCTACGCTACATTCTGCTTCTTTAGATGTCTCTAAACTTAAATGTTTACACAGATTTGGTGTTCTTGCTATACATTGTAAAATACTATTCATAAAACATAAATTCTGTCCTTCATTTCGTAAACCAGGTGGACCACCGTGATTTCCAGCAAACCCAAAGGTTGACATAAACTTGCTTTTTAATGAGCTGCTGTAGTCCGGAGAATAGTTAGGTGTATATGGCCGATCTATTTTGCGGATTGGCCGCCTTGTCAATTGTTTTCCAAACCATGTTGATTTGGGAGGGGGATGATCTTCATTAGTAACTATTGCAGTATTAATATCATTATGCTGTACTTTGGTAGTACTGGCAGGTAGGAAGCTAAACTCGTTTTTCATGGGTGTAACATTATTTTGTGGCCTCTTAAACACATTTGATAATTTTATCCTCGAAAGTGAAGACAACATGCTTTTGCTAGTTGTGGTACTATCTTTCTTATTAACATTTTGACTTGAAATTCCATCAAACTGGCTTTGAGTTTGACCTTGAGGAAATGAAAAGTTCACATTCTTTTGTTGAAATGTACCAAATCTGTTATTTCTCATTTCTTCATGGCGAATATTTGGTCTTGCATTCATCATGCCTCTCATTGGTGGTTCATTACTTAGCTGTTTTTGAAGGCGAGCCATACTGTCTGTATGCTGCTGATATTCTTCCCATCTTGTCTGAGCAACGCCCCACCAGTGACGTAAATCTGGATTAAATCGCAGCCATGGTAATTGGGTGTAAACAAATGTCACTATGGTAAGACCAATGAGAAAATAAGGTGTATGATCACATAGCTGGATGAGAACACAGGATATAAGTAATGCAGCAGACTCAAAAAGCCAAATTTTCTTCTTCTCCTCTGGTGATCTGGAAAACAGATCAACATTGCAAAATTATATTCATCAGTACTTACAAATGTAGTTATTAACTATGTCTACAAAGTTTTCTATTGCACCTTCAATTTCCAATAAATAACTTAAAAGTGAGAAACTGTATTTCATTAAAAACTTTTGCTTTACAGTGAAAACAGAATGAAAAATAAGAATATGACAAACGTTTCATAACATTTCAAGTAGAATCTTGTCAAGTTTGCAATCAAAGAGTGAGTCATTTTCACATATTTGTTAATACATGTACAAGACACTCTTTGCCTACTAAAATAAGTAATTATCTGAAAAGCTTTTTTATCCCTAAAACGTGTTTTCTACCCGAGGTCTTTCGAACGGAATGGCAAATGAAGTCTAGTGGTTAATTGTCCTGCTATTGCCATTGGCGACACAGGTAGAAAACCATGACCAAAACAACTTTCTAATGAATGGCATTTGCCTAACTGGAAAATGGAAATATTGGTGAGTATCATTTGCTTTCCTAAATTAACTAGTTGTATCAGCCAGGATTTCAATGCAAGTCACTGCTCTAGCAACTGAGATAAAGGAGTACTCCACTAGCACTGCTAATGGAGAGAGTTATAAATGGGTTAATAGACAAGTTTCCAATTTCATTTTGGCATTGTTGGGGGGAAACGCATCAAGGGGCATTCTGACATGAAGATATTTGCTTCATGATGTAAAAAATTTCCAGCAAAAAAGCACCTGTTGGAAGATCATGTATTTGTTTGGCCATGGAAAAATTATTGGTGGTTCCCCTAAAATGTGAAAATTATTAAGGCCTTGCAGGCATGAAAAACTTTTAATATTAATTTTTTTGGGGTGAAAAATCTAATTTAGCTCTAGAAAAAATTGCTGTTAACCTGATATTATATTCTTGTTTTACATTCTATATTGTGGTATAAGCTATGTGAATGCAAATTGTTAATGTTAATTGAGCAATGTTGACACACTTTTAGAAGGTTATCAGACAAATTTAAAAAGCATCATCGTAAATTGTCAAATGAAACCGGAGCATTTTGTTTTTTTCATCTGCTAAAAAAAAAATTGACCCAAAGGGTAACAAGAGTTTACATGCTGAAATATCTCGCCTGTTTTACTTGATTTTTTGTTGAAAGTTTTAAAGATAAAGGTTTTACTAAAAGCATTACAGAAACTTAACATTTATAAAAATCTATGACAATGAGGTCAAGGTCAGATAAATCCTGTCAGACAGACCTTACAATTTTTTTATACACCAAATATAGCGCACCTACATGTATTGTGTATGCTTATTGAAAAACAGACCAAAACACAAAAACTTAACATTGAAAAATGAACCATAAATATGAGGTCAAATTCAGATTATACCTGCCAGACAGACATGTACACCTTAAAATCTTTCCATACACCAAATACAGATGACCTATTGCTTATAGTACTTGAAAAACAGACAAAAACACACAAACTTAACAAATTGACCAATGAACCATGAAAATTTGTAAGGGTTCAGCGGAACCCAGTGTCTCGCCTACTTTTGCTGTTAATCGCAGGCTCAACAAAAGTGAGGAAAAAAAATCAATAAAAATACTCCTTTAGATACTATCTTTTGATTGTAAGAAGCTGTTGTCAAAGTTTGGTATAAATCCTGGATAGTTTATGAATCTAATAAATGTTTTAAAAACTTTAACTGCAGACTGTATTTAATGTTAACAGGAAGAAAAACTAAGTCCATTTATAAGTAAAATACGGATAAACAGGTACAAATTTTAACAAAATTTCCTTCTAGATACTAGCTTTTGATCATAAACAAGCTTCTGTCCAAATTTGGTACAAATCCAGGATAGTTTAAGAAAGTTATTAAAATTTTAAAAACTTTAACCAGAGTGAAAAATATTGTTTCCTGGCAGAAAAACTAAGTCCATTTATAAGTAAAATACGGAAAAAATGAATTTTTTTTTTTAACAAATTTACTTCTGGATACTATCTTATGATCATAAACAAGCTTCTGTCCAAGTTTGGTACAAATCCAGGATACTTTAAGAAAGTTATTAAAATTTTAAAAATTTTAACCACAGAGTGAATGTATTGTTTCCTGGCAGAAAAACTAAGTCCATTTATAAGTAAAATACGGAAAAAATGAATTTTTTTTTTTAACAAATTTACTTCTGGATACTATCTTATGATCATAAACAAGCTTCTGTTCAAGTTTGGTACAAATCCAGGATAATTTAAGAAAGTTATTAAAATTTTAAAAACTTTAACCACAGAGTGAATGTAATGTTTCCTGGCAGAAAAACTAAGTCCATTTACAAGTAAAATACGGAAAAACAGGAATTTTATTTTTACAAAATTTACTTCTGGATACTATCTTATGATCATATACAAGCTTCTGTCCAAGTTTGGTAGAAATCCAGGATAGTTTAAGAAAGTTATTAAAATTTCAAAAACTTTAACCACAGAGTGAATATTTGTGGACGCCGCCGACGACAACGACGACGGAATGTAGGATCGCTATGTCTCGCTTTTTGTCGACTAAAGTCGAAAGCTCGACAAAAATGAGGTCAAGGTCGAAAATAAAACCTGCCAGACTGACATGTACCCATTACAATCATTCCATACACCAAATATAAATGACCTACTGCTTATAGTATTTGAGAAAGGGACTTAATCAAGTAACTTAAACCTTGATCACTGATCCATTAAATGAGGTCGAGGTCAAGTGAACTCTGTCTGACAGACATGTAGACATACATGCATGTGATGGACTGTGAAACTCAGATCAGGAGATTAGGATTAGGACTCAGATCAGGAGGTTTTTAATCGAAATAAATTTTGTCGTTAATGTAACTGTGTGCTGTATAAATTGTCTTTTAAAGTATTTTTTCTTCAACTTTCCATCCGAATGTTTTTTGTTTACAGTACCCTTGTACTTATAAATTTTCCCTATCTATCCTACCAGGGTTTGACACTAACTAAATGTATGTACTAGCCTGCAGGCTAGTGAAATTATTATTCTACTAGTCCTCTTGTCAATTCACTAGTGTTCGAATTATTTTGAAGACCCCTTTCGATCATTACTTCATCATCATCCTCATTTTACTTATCATTATTACTAGTGTCTTTAATGAAGATGGATAAGTTAGGGATTTAAAAATACACCCACAAAAGAGGAAAGGTTTGCCCTTGCTGTATTTTGTCATAATTCTTCATAGACTCCTTCTTTTCCCTTGTTTTTTCAGTTTATTTTATTTTAGCAGGAAAAGATTTTATTCCTAAAAATCTGTATAGTTTTACCAGAGACCAAGGAATTGTATAGTATACAAATCCTTGCAGAGACCTATAATTTTGTTTTTATGACAATAATTAAAAATGATATTGTTTGCCTCAAATTACATTCGAAATACAGCTTTTTCCCCTAGAGAAAATTCCCAATTACTAAAAAAATGGCTTAAAATTCCTCCCAATAAGTTGTACATTTTCCCCGAACAGTGATGGTATCGGTAGTAATGTATGTAAATTTTATTCATGATATTATTTTGATATTATGAAAGCACTTTTGAGATCCAGGTTTCTGGTTAGAATCATCACGGCGTTTGTAACACACGTGGTTTTCAATGTATTAAGTACCATCATTGTTTCCGTTTCTTTCCCCTCCCCAAAAAGTACCTTTCATGTTAAAAAATGTCTGACAATCAAAATATACGTGAATAAACTGTACAATAAAGACAGCAAAGGTCAGCAAAAAATCTGGGATTTGTTGACAATTAAAATTTTGTGAAATTCCTAGTTTTAAACAAAATTTTGACTAGCCCGTCGGACTACTGTGATGAAAACTTTACTAGTCCTACCTAATTTTTACTAGCCTCGGGCTAGCGGACTAGCGTTAGTGTCGAACCCTGCCTACATGTTCAATCTTACATTCTTTATTTTTTAGTATGTTCTTTATTTCTTTATTCTATATCTTTTGTATCATTATTCTATAGAACAATCACTGCAGTCAGAATATTTGTTCATCTTTTGCAATTAGATCTTCTTTGCATGATAAGATACACATTCAACCTAGAAGATGATGATGGGAGTTTTTAACGACCTTGACTGGCTATACAGCCCTCGCACGGTCGGTCAACCTAGAAGCAAGGGTCATAGTTATTATATAAATTTCAATTTAAGCCTTAAAAGGAAGTATAGAACCCTCAAATAATTTTCAAATTATTATTTTTCTATTTGTCCGAAGACATTTAAAATCATTTAATTACCATCCTTTTATGATTATTTGTTCAATTTATATTTTATTTATATTCTTTTGAAAATTAACATTATTTAAAGGAAAGTAACTTAAAACCAGATAAATCAAGGGAAGTAACCCAAAATTTTTAAAAATACACAAAGTTTTTATTACACAACGGCAGTTAGCCTGAGGTAATAATCGTTGATTACCAGTATGTTTGACACCCAAGCTGACAAGTGAAGCCATATAATTATGCATGTTAATTTTTCATTCATGAAATATTTTAAAAGCGGGATTTTTTTCTCTACAACGGGAGGTCGGGAGGAGACCCCTGAAAACAGGTTTATTGTTCTCCCGTCGGGAGGTTCACATGTATGTGTAGACGTTGCAAGGAACCCATATACCAAATATAGTTATCCTATTACTCATAAAAAGTGAGAAATTCACTTGACAAAAAAAATCAATTTTTTTTTCAAGCAGTCGCTGAACAATGAAAATGAGATCAAGGACAATGGACATATGATTGATGGAAACTTTGTAACATAAAATATCTGCATACAAGATATGAAGCATCCAGGTCTTCTACCTTCTGAAATATAAAGCTTTATACAAATACAAATGTAGTTTATTCCGCCACCGCTGAATAGTAATACCTATGTCTCTCATACTGGCTTACTGCAAGGAAAGTTACAGGCGAGACAAAAAAAACAGACCCTACAGGGTAAGGGGAAACAAAAAATCATTTTTGCATAGCTTAGGGGAAGCACCATTTTACATGGGTAGTTGAACGACTAGCTTAGTAGCTAGTTCTAAATTCTATCAGACTTTGACTTTGGCTCAAGCTGCAGATTTACAGACCCTTTAATTTGGGCCTTTGTTATTAACACCGACTGGAAAGATTGAATTTATATAAAATTATAGATTCTGGGATTTACCTGGAATCGCCTAGGAACCATTTCACAAACAAATCAACTATTATGAAAAAAATGCAATCCAGGAGAAATTTAAAGCATTGAGATAATGCAGATTGCAAAATCCACAGCATGTTGGCGTCTAATTTTTGAATCAATCAATTCAATATGTCAGAAGAGCTGCATTTCTTTTTTGTTGTCAGTTCAAAATGCTTTATAGCCATCTTATGCTTTAAATCTCGATATAAACATTGAAAGTTCCCTCCGTTCCATTTTTGTTGAAAATATGGCGTCACTTCCCATGCGCAAGCGTATTACAAACTTAAAGTTCTAGATTTTTGAGTGGAACGAGAGCACAAGTAAATATGATCCAATAGTTAAAGGGGCATTAGCGGCCAAATTCATCTTAATCGATTTGACTCAAATTCTCATATTTGATTTATAACATACTAAAACGTATATCCAAATTATAAAAAAAGTATAATGCACTATTTACGATGCATGGACTCGATAATATGTATCAGCAGTATATCGTGTATATTTTAGTCTATACGCCATCAAATTAACCATCGAGGCGACATCCGAAGACTTCTGACGGTCATATAACCCGATATAAACATTGAAATAGATAAACATAGCTAGAGAACACGCGCAATTGGATTCTTCTAGGTCTGTTTGATTTCATATTATAGTATAAACAAATATGATAATCATCGATTTCATCTGTTTAACGGAATTAGTTCAAGTTTTGTGGATCGAATCATTCAACCAAATGGTTTACCCTTGTTTCATTTTCAATATTGACATTCTTTCTCAATTTTATTTTCCTATCAATAGCTGAACACGCCTAGTTATAGCAAAACCAATCTTTAGTTAAGGGGTTAAAATAGAAGATCAAATGAATACGGATTCAATGAGGTCGAATTATTCACTTGAAAGTGAATAATTCATCAATCTAATTAAAATTAAATCTCCGCACTTGCTCCTCGTTGTTTATATGTCGCGCGTGGGAGATCTAACAACAGCCGCTTGAGGGTCATGTCTAGGGTCAAATTTGCTCTAGCCAATCAGCGAAGGTGCTACAAAGTGTTAGGGTATTGGACTGGCATAGGAGTCTTAGTAGCGTCTAGAGGTCTTCCGAATGTATATAAACAAAAATGGCAGCCCCCATGCGAAAAACGTTTTGTAACATACAACTGTAATAATAGTTTGTATTATTGCCTTCCGAGGTTAAAATGGCATCAAGTGAAGTATGCACACCAAGGAAAATATCAGTATGAACAAACATTTGTGTTTTATGCGGTTTTTCTTTCATCCAGATAGAAATCTCCTCAACGGGAGAACGTGTTGAAAAAAAACTGTTCAAACTGAAACTTCAGCAGAACTCAGAGAGAATCGCAATAATTTCTAGTGTTGTTACTGGTTTTGAAGTTAACGCCGAAGTAGACAATGACAATGGCGTCTGTATTAAATGTTTTAGAAAAGTCCAACAGTCAATCAAATTAAGAAAGATGCATTAAAAATTCAAGAAGAACTAAGTGACTAACTTCGGGTGTCTTACCACCTGACCAATCAGAAAGATTAATTGCTAATAGATTTGTTAATCTGCAAGGTGGAACAAACAATAATATAAGCTTAGATGAATACTTGAGAGATGTTGAACAAGGATACAAAAGTAACATGTTCAGGACATCAGACAAAGGAAAGTATCCTTCGACACTCTAAAGAGTATCCTCACCTAGTTAATTTTGCAAGCAATTTTGATAACATTACCAATTTAACAGGAAAGAAGGGGTTCCACCATATACGGTCATACCAAGCTGATGTTCAGAAAATTGCAAAAGACCTACTACAAGAAAATGTACTACATGTAACATATAAAACTTCAAGAATAATAACAGTTAAGTGCAACGAGCTAAAAAAAGACAAAAACCCATTTGACAGTGCATTTATAGGACTTCGTACATTGATTCTTCTCCGTGACATCAACCAACAGTCCCCTTCCATCGCCTTCAAATCCACATATTTGAAAAATATTGCTTGGAATTAAATTATTGTGAATAAAGTGTGCAGGTTTAATTTTCTCTTAAGTCATAACCTTAATTAGCTGGTACTTTTTTAGTAGTTTGTTGCTGATATTAAAGTGTCATAAGTCAATGAGACATCAACCCAACAAACTAAGTAATGAAATACTTTCAGTTTAGTTGCAGAATATCATGGTCATTTTGATTAGGCAGCATAACTACCTACAAAAACATGTTTATAAAAATGTGGCATGATTTCTAATGAGACAACTATTCAAAAGGGACCAACTTATTTTTCTGTATTAAAGTTCACAGTTCCACCTCTGACTTTGAGTAAAACCTATAGCAAGCTGTACAAAGACCCGAAATGACTTTATGAAAACATCAAGCACGTTTGTACAAAACAACAATGAGATAAAAACCAAACTCTTACAGATTTGTTCACAAGGCGACCAGCATGCAGATATTTACCCTATATGTACATGTAAAGAGCTGTTGATAAAACTTATACAAGGTTGTGTTGGTTAAATGTGCTTTCCTGAGTGATGAAGTTATTAGTGCACATTATTTGGTTCAATTTCTATCTAAGTCAAATTAAACACAGTAACTTAATATAATAAAATGCTCTGCTGGGCCCAGCTTGATACGACTGCAGAGGTCGAACCCTGAACAGTTGGGGCAAGTATGGACACAACAGTCGAGCTTGATACAGCACTGAATTTGGATTGTGATTAAATATTTGACACAGCATAGGTTTCTGACACAGAATAAATGTGGTCTAAGAACTTATAAATTTTTAATTTACCTATTCAAACACAAGTTATTGACTGGAAACTAGAAAAATGCTTGTTTTTTGGCCCCTTTTTGGTTCAAAATTCCTAAACATTTAGGGAAATTATCCCCAAACTCAAACCTAGCTTTCTCTTTGTGATATGGAACCTTGTAGTACAATTTCAGAAAGATCCATACACTTACACACAAGTTATTGTCATGAAACTAGAAAAATACTTGTTTTTTGGCCCTTAATTTCTAAAATTTTGAGGCAATTACCCCCAAAATCAATCCCAGCCTTCCCTTTGTGATATGGAACCTTGTGGTACAATGTCAGAGAGATCCATACACTAACACACAAGTAATGTCTGGAAGTTACAAAAATGCTTATTTTTGGCCCCTAATTCCTGAACTGTTGGTACCATAACCCCCAAAATCAATCCCCACCTTACTTTTGTGGTATTGAACCTTATGGTAAAATTTCATGGAGATCCATTTACTTAAACTAAAGTAAGAGTGCTAAAACCAATGTGTCTTCGGACAACGACGCCAACGTCATACCAATATACGACCGCAAAATTATTTTGTGGTCGTATAAAAAAGAAGATGTGGTATTAAGTCTATATTTGACTGTTTTCTTGATGAACACATTGGTCTTGAACAAAGTTGTAAGTAAGATATAGTCCCACTTCATGTTATTGTCTTGAATATGCATGAAATATTTGCCACTGAAACCCAAGTGAAGAAATCAATAATCAATCAACCTATCAATGTTCATTTTGAGCAAAAATAATCATCCTCTATGTATACTGTTGGTTACACCAAGTTAAATACAATGAGTTTGCTATATAGAACAAATATAACATCATCAAGAACAATGAACAAAAAGGTCAAAGTCATACATGTCATATGAACCATGCCAAAACTTAGCACAAAAGGACATACATCAATAGCAATAATTCTATACACCAAAGATAGTTGACTTGTTGATCAATAAACCATGAAAAGTCAAGGTCAGAAACCAACCAGAGTGATTTTTATAGTTCGTTCCTGTGTTGTACTGTTACACCACTGTCCCAGGTTAGGATCCTGCTAACATGTTTAACCCCGCAATATTCTGTATGTATGTGCCTGTCCTAAATCAGGAGCCTTAGGTAATTCAGTGGTTGTCGTTTGTTTATGTGTTACATATTTGTTTTTCGTTCATTTTTTGTACATAAATTAGGCCGTTAGTTTTCTTGTTTGAATTGTTTTACATTTGTCATTTCAGGGCCTTTTATAGCTGACTATGCGGTATTGGCTTTGCTCATTGTTGAAGGCCGTACAGTGACCTATAGTTGTTACTTTCTGTGTCATTTGGTCTCTTGTGGAGAGTTGTCTAATCATGCTCATTGGCTATCATTCCACATCTTACAATAATTCCACACCAAATATATTTTTCTGTTTGTTTATCATGTTTATAGTAATCGAGATGCAGACTTGACCCCGAATATATGCTTGTTTCATGAAATGAGGTCAAGATTAGGCGAATCTGCAACCATTTCTGACAGACATGGCAGACATGGTTTTCTCTTTTGAATTTTTTCATATTTTTCTGGTCAGGGCTTTTGTAGCCGACTAAAGGCATGGGTTTTTCACGTTGTACTACAATGCTTAAATCAAGTTATTGAAAAGTCTGGAGGGTAGTTGTCTGATTGGCAATCATACCGCATCTCTTTATTTTTAAGATTAAAACAAGTAAATATCTTATGATGTGTGTCAATCAGTTACTGTCTCATTTGTTTTGTATACGCTACATCTCTTTTTAGTCACATTGACAGCTGCAGGCATGACATGAACCCAGATCTAGAGTGGCAATACAGCAATTGTAAGGGGGTTAAAAGTCAAAAAAATTTGAAGAGTCTAAAGTTGAATAAGTTACAGAAACTAGATACTGAAAAATTAAATAAATAAATATCAACTGTTTTAATCATCTTGTATTTCTAATAAAGCCATATCAAGATCTTCGAAGTATTCATAGGCCGACAAATTGTAGTCTTCAGTATCGCTATCTGAAACAGCAGAATCTTCTTGCTCCTCGAGCTCCTCAACAACTTGTTCTGACAGAAATAACTTCTCAAGAGGTAACATATCACAGGATTCACAATTACAAGACTTAGTACACAAGTCACAGCATGAATGTTTCCTGCTTTCTTTCTTCATCAAATCATCCAAGTCTGAATTTCTGAGGAAATTACACATTAGATCCTTTCTCCAACAATCTTTAGCTTTAAGAATTGCCTTAACTTCCGGTTTCAACTTCTGCAAGTGGTATCCATTGTATAGGATAATGGCAACTGATGGATTTCCATCCCTCCCCACTCGCCCTATTTCTTGCAGCAAATCTACCAGATTATTTGGAGGTCCAAATAATACCACTCCACTACACTTTTTTACATCTAAACCCATTCCCAGGGCACTGGTTGACAAAATAAGTATCAAAACA